TTTATTAATTTGTTCTTAATAATATCTTTCAATCCTTTATAAAATTATGATTTTAGATAATCATTATTCTATATAATACACTCAATATATTATTGAAATTTAACAATATAAATTATAACTAATCCAATCTATTTAAATTATCACAATATTCTTTCAACTATATAATTGAGATCTACTTCCTCGAATATTTTATCGAATCCTTATCTAAACGATTCATAATTAAAAAATAAACAATGAATCTCAGATTTCATATTTTCATTCAGTTAATCATTGATAATCTTGATCATTAAATCATTAAAAAATGATTCAATTCAATTGAATACAATTCCTCAAAAAAAAAAGATCAATCACAAAATTCTTTATATAAAAATCAAAAAAAGTTGTTCGTTAAAAATATAATAAAGATCAACTTATACAACAAAAACTCAATATTTATTATAATCTCTATAAAATAGATTAAGAATAGATATCTAAATTATTCATCTATATTCTATAATAACAACAATCTAAACAAAAACCTTGATTGAATTGAATAAAGATAATTCGATAAACTACTAATTGAAGATTATTATATTATATATAACTTAATTATAACAATACTCAAAATATAATAATCTAATTAAAATAACAACTATCTCAAAGTTTCATCTAATTGATAATTATAGATTAAAACTAATAATCATTGATTATCCATTCGAAAATGAATATATTATTAGATCAATTAAAATATAGATAAATTAATTGATAATTAAATTGAATATAAAACTTTTAAATTATAAAACTATTTTGATTATATATTAATGAATATAAAGAAACTCTAAGAAACCTTAAAGCTTCAAAAAGCTCCTGAAGTTTTAAAAGCTTTCAAAACTTTTAGAACTCTTTATCACATAATTAGGATCAGATTATATATCTGAGCTTGCTAAAAATAAGAAGATCATATAAAGCGATTACTATATAAATTTGTATACAAATCGCCTTGCTTTTCGATAAGGCCTAAGCTCATATAGACAGGTTGACTGTTGCCTCTCAACACACTATAATCTTAATTGTGAATCGTGACACCTCCTTGTAAACAACGGTTAAATCACACCCCCCCGGTAATCGGCAACTAAATCACTGATATCTGTACTACCACAATAATCTGAATGATGGTGATTCGTGACACTTTATCTCTATTATTTTTTTAAAAACTAATAATAAATCTAATACTCTACTTTCAGATCATCTTTTATTCAGATCACTTTTTATATCAAAGATTATAATTTTCAATTATTAATAACTTTATAATCAATAAATAAAATTTATTAAAATATGAATTATAGATTTATTATATAATTATTAATCAATTTCAAAAATTTTAAATTTTTTATAATTTTATTAATTGAAAAATTAAAAGCTGAAATTACGATTTTTAATTCGTATAAGATTTATATACAAATTTAAAAAACTTGAAAATCTTGAATAACTTTTCAACAAAAATAATTAAAAATAAATTATAATTAATTATTTAAATTAAATTACTTTTCAAAATATTTTAATCTTTTAGATCAATTATAATATAAATAATTGAAAAAAATTTATAATTTATTTTTAATAATTTTCGTTGAAAAGTTATTTCAAGTTTTAATAATTTTTAAATTTGTATATAAATCTTATATAAATTAAAAATCATAATTTCAACTTTCAATTTCTCAATCAATAAAACCATGAAAAATCCGAAAATTTCAGAATCTCTTAATAATTATATAAAAAATTTACAATTAAAGTTTCAATTGATTTCATTGATTTGTTATTGAATTATTAATAGCTGAAAATAATGATTTTTGATATAAAAAAATGACTCAAAAAAAAACGGTGGCCCGAAAGTAAAGCACTAGACTTATATCTTGTGGCGTACTTGATTCCATCAAATATATAACAGTTGATTGAATCAAAGATTTAGTTATTATTAATACTTATATTAAAAAGAGTTATAGTGATTTGAGATATATATATAATATTGATATTTGTCAAAATAATAAGTCTAGGAGGAAATGTTTATGTTGGTATCACTTCAGTGATACTTATTGCAATGCAATCATATTATTGTTGTATTTGTTCATCGATGATTATTATCTATCTAGGGAAGAGGGTCCTATTTATATTGAAAGGGGTACGGGCTAGAATGCACTAGTCGTACGGCTCCCTTTGTGTACGGCCTCCCTTTCGAGGTTGATCACATGATGTACCGACAGTTTAGTTTGAAGGTGTTGGGTAAATAGAAATATGAAGTAGATATCTATACAGTTGTTGTATCAATATATACAGGATCTTATGCTCAAAAGAGGAGTACGATTCATGAGGAAGATTGTATAGATTAGTCGATTCCTGTTGAGTAGCAAGATATCAAAGTATTTAAATATTTGATCGTTTGAAAGATCCAAACTGTTTCGAAGATTCAGCTCATTTTCAAATTTCAGACCCATTCTAGACAGTCGAACCATAGGAGCATTCGAATCATTGGAGGCATTCAAGCCATCCAAAAGGAAATCTATAATTTTAAAAAATCTAACCCCTTCAGGTAGAATAGTCACTCTTCAAACTTCCAATCTTTCAAAGTGAAGAATATAAATATACATATCAAAATCCTTTTAATCCCTTTCCCCTACACTACATATTCATTACAACAGATTCCATATAGAAACTGCTATATCAGAAATCATATCTTCTAATAATTACAGCTTTGAAATCTAAGTGATACATTCATAGTATAGGTACAATAACATAAAAACAAAGATATCGAAAAATATATAAACACCGGACACTCATCCAATATTTACATCTGTATATATAAACCCACTAGACTATTCTGTAGTACCTAAATAATCTTATAAGATCTTATATACCCAGTGGTAACTAACATCAAAGTAAAGTAGGTATTCGTAGCATCCAAGAGTACCAATACTTGTTTATTGATTAATCTAGAATCTCTGGCCCTTATATATTATATATACCTCCAAATATGAACTCCGCATACAATATTTCCATCCTTGAAGCTACATCCAAACACTCCCAACTAAGGAGCATTTGTAAGATTATCTGAAGAAGATCACCAGAGTATATTCCAGGCACCGTGTTATCGTATTTACTATGGTACGAGCAAGAATTGGCGGTGATGTTAATAGGTTGCATATATAAAGATTTACCACTCGGAACGGCTCGTCAACCTTATATTGTAAAAGTAGTAGGTCGAGATACATGCATCCCGATAGTATATTATAAGAAGGGAATTGAAAAAGAAAACTAAACTAGATTATATTGTAATATATTATTTATAAAGAAAATAAAGTTCACAATAATTTTGGGATTGATATTATATAGATTCAAATATATATATATAGAAGATTGATTGTTGTAAAAAGAAAAAATAAAAGCTCTTCTTTTATATCTAATTACAAAAGGTTATATAATTGATTAATTAAAAACCTCTATGTATTTGGCTTATAATTCCAACTTTCTCATAATATGATTGCCTGATTGCATGATTTGCAGGATCGAATGGTAGGTAAATCGGGGTTGGGGAATTCTGGATTCGAGGTTTCGTGTGAACTGTGAATTGTGAACTGTGAAGTTGGGGTTTTTGTTTGGAGTGGGTTTGGGGGTGATAAATGTTTGGATATTTCTTGGACTCTTGTAAGTTTGTCTTGTTGTGGTTCAAGGCTTTGGGATCTTATGGTGCTCAGATTTGAGTATATAATTATCTTCTTGAGATTTGGGTAAATTCCACTGTTTGATTTGGGCCTGGTGCTGTGTAACCAGTAGTTGATGGATGTTGATGTGCATGCGGTTAATATTGGATGGAGTCTAAGGGGGTAAAATGTGGTGGATTCGGTTCATAGCATCGGTGTGTCCTGGGGTGTTTCTGGCTAAAAGTCTTCTGCATGGTGGATCACTCCTCTAGAATATATCGATACATTATGATAAATGTTGTCTCGAATAACACATAACTCAGAAAGGTGGCGAATCTTTCGGGATTATTCATCTTGGGTGTGTTCATTTTGGCGGATATTCATGCTATAATAGTGCATGTTTTGCGCCATCCTGTCGAGGTGGCTGATCACAGTAGAGTTGAGATTTAGGAGGAAGTATATCGATCGTACAGCCTCAATCTAAACAGCTTGACCGTCTTGTTGCATATCTTAAACTCATGGTTATCGCATGTTGATCGCATGTCCATCGCATGTCCATGACTAAGTTATCATGAGAGATGAATGCTGACTAATTAACCTACTCTACGCTAGTGCTAATGTTCGCAATGGTGCCAGGGGTAAAGAACTACGATGTAGTGTAGTCTAAAAAGCACCGATATCGAAGGAAGCCATCACCAGGAACCCGGAACTCCGTCCACGGTCCGCTACTCGTGATATTCACGCTAAGCCCCCGATGCTACGATTGAGTTTAAATGTTCCATGACCCCTTCGATTCTTCGAGTTGGCTAAGATGAGGGGTAAGGGTCTTCATCATCTCTAATCGTCTCTAGTCACCTCGGATAACTTGATCAAATGTTCAGAAAATCAAGTTATAGGATGAACTATTGGCTACTTTACTAGTCACGTAGTATGGATGCCCCAGTGTTATAACAACGGAGTGTAGTAAATCAAATCTTCATATACCGAGAGAATCGAGAGAAGAACAAAAAGAGGCGTCGATATAGAGTATCCACCAAGTCATAGAGTTTCGCTATTGCAACTAATAACTGCCTTGTAAAAAAAACCTGGTTGCAACAAGGCAAAGATGGTCGAAGCTTCTATTCGACGTTGCCGGACGCAGATCAGTGCAGCTGTGGCTCCATTATGACGTACTCTTCCCCTCATTAGTCTCGATGATTACGGAACACATTCAGCCACATGATCAAAATATCAACAGCTTCATCGGTATAACAATCATCAAAGCACTTCTTTCGCTTTTTCGTTTTCAGTCGTTTTCAAAGTTCTAGACAAGAGTAAGATACGAAACAAAGCACGTGAGTTGAAAGTATAAAGAGAAAGAGGGTTCAAGGGTGAAACGTGATTCATTCATTCATTCATTCACTCATTCACTCATTCCTTCTCCAACTGTCTTTTGTCCCAAGCAGCTTCTCGAAGGTAGGCAAAGGACGGTAGTAACAGAGACACTTACATCATAGGGATTTTATCAAGCAACTCGTTCTTTCTTTGAACCATTCAAATGTGAACTTTCTCCATTTTACCAAAATCAAAAACCACTAGTTAACTACCTAAACAAAACATACGACCGCTATCGTCATCACGGCTCTGCCAAACTTGGTACAACCTTGAGTAACCTTATTAGCCCAGCACACTAATACCAGTGCTGGCTTTTCCGTTTGTTTAATAAACCTTTCTTCTTCTCCATCAAAATATCTATTAAACTACATATTTACATACATATACCACACCTTCAATTGCTTGCTACCCTTCATCTAAACAGTAAGTTGAAATCGGATTCTTTCATTCAACCGTTTCCATGCGATATGTGCCATCTGCAAGGTGTATTTGTATTACTTGTACAACGACGGATATTTCTCCTTACCTTGCATTTGTACCATGCAGGAAGCTGACACGGCATTTTCAATAGTTTTCCATCATTCTTCGCCATAACATTACATTCCTATTCCTCTTGATACCTAGAATTAATTTGACTTTTTCACCATGGCTCTCACTCGTAAGTCTTTATCCTCTGCAAGCCCTTGACCCCGCCAAACCAAGTTTTTTCTTCCGGAGAGCGCTTGCTAATTGTCGATCATGGCAGGTCCCCTAACGGGAACCATTTCATTGATCTTAATCGGTGCATCGATTATGTTCATGTTCTTCGTGATACTAGGTGGCATAACACAAACGACTCCTTTAGACAAGACACAATTTCTCACCGCCGACACTTCGAGTATTGCTGGAGCCAGACCAGTTTCACAATGGAACTATTTTAGAATCTGCGGGGAAGGAAACACCGATTGTGGGAGCTCGGTACCAGCTCTTCCTTTCGGTTACGCTTGGGTTGGTGGTGGTGATGGGGCTCCTTCTAGTCTTCTTGGGTGAGTTATGCCCTGATTGTGAATATGTCGCAACAATTACTGATATTTTGAAGTTCGCACGCCAAAAATACAACGAGCTCTTCCTACTACTACATGTGGAGATTTGGATGGGTGTTTTATCTTATAGGACTTTTTTTCACCGTCTTTGCATTCTTCGCTTCGATGTTGGCTCTGTGCAGTCGACTTGGATCATTTATAGGAGCTTGGTTGACAATGGTTGCCCTATTCTTCTTTAGCATCGCCGCTTCATTAATGACGTAAGTTCCTTCACAGTCTCGTTTCAATCTATCATATAGCTAATCAAAATTCAGTGCCGAATTTGTAAAAGCCCGCAACAGATTCCACGATGCCGGTATAAATGCTAGCCTAGGACGATATGCCTTCGGCTTTACATGGGCAGCATGGGCTTGCTTAGCTATCGCCACAATTTTACTCTGCATTGGAGGAGCAGCTACAAATTCAACGCGTAGGGAGCGTCATAGAGAAAGAATAGCATCTGCTGCTCGTGATTTTCCTGTTACAAGTGCTACAAGTCCAGGTGCGGATGGTGGTAGGTTTGGATTCTATCGCAATCAACGCGAAAGACGCGCTGCTCGTGAGGCGGGTCGTCGTAGCTCTTTCGAAAGAAATGAGAGTCAGCGACGTGTCAAGGATGATGACTATGCTTAATTGCATATCTTCATCATGATTGATGTGATCGAGATGGATACTGATGAGGATGATGATGATGAGGTTGACAATGTCAAATTGATGTTGGGGATATCAATTGCTGATGACTCATGAATGCATGGGGTACAAGTGTGGATGGGATATACACAAGCATTAATTAATGGATACCGTGGATCGGGTTTCTTTGGATTTAATACATACATACATACAAATTCATGAACTTGTAAGCGGACGGGGAATGGGAATGGGAATAGGAGGACAGTTAATTGTACATTAATAGTAATCGGGGAAAGCGGTTGTCCCCGGAAAGCGGTTGTCCTTGTAGCATTATTATAAGAATAAAATCATCGATTTTAAAATGAAATAATGAATTTTTGAATTATTGATATGAGTTGGGTGATATGAAAGTAATAATGAAATATTTTTATTACATTGGGTTAAAAGTTTGTAGTTGTATATTAGAAATAAGATTTTTCTTTCTAAAAGTATTTTTTAAGATTTGTAATGGATTTCGATATGTGTAATACTGAAATAATCTTATAGGAGTGTAGAAGAGAGATCATAAGATGATATGAGATGAGATGAGATGAGATGAGATGAGATGAGATGAGATGAGATGGGATGGGATGGGATGGGATAAATTTTGAAAATACACAACTCAATCTTAGGTACCTATCTAGATACTTACTTCATTTTCGACTCGCTTGGCTCTTTCCTGCCCCTATTCTATTTCTGATTTCAATTATAATGCTGTACTCTGTGCTGTATGTGATTATCAACAAGTTCTTTTATTATTTATCGAATAAGGTGGTTATTTGGTTATTATATTTTGTTGGTGTTTTTACTTGTATGTATGTATGTATGTATGTATATAATGATTTGTAAAAAGATTCTTTTTATTTTAATTTTTGTTTTAATTTTTATTTTATTTTTATGTATGTGTGTATATTTTATCTCCAATGGTGATATTGAATGAATCCACCACCGGTACTTATATTTAATTCTTTTCCTCCTCGTATGTCGAGTGGTATTAATTGTTTTACTTCTTCTGGGACATCTCCCCAGGTGGTCCATTCTCTTCGTTTTCTGATGTTTTCCTCTTCATTTTCGACTTTTTTGGTTTCGTTTTCGACTGGGCTTTCACTTCCGTCGCATTTTTCCCGTCGTTCGAGGCGTCCTAGTCCAGCTACAAATTCTTTTATCCACCAATGTGCTATATAACTACCATCCATTAATTGCATCTTTATATCAATGCCCAATTTTTCTTTCAATTCTTCATATTTTCCGGGTGTCTGGATGAAAACTTCATCGAGCCCTATGGTTCGCTTCCCGTCCAACCCACACGCTTTTATCCTATCCCACCATCCTCTCTCCATGATCATATTCAGTCCAACCCCGTAGCTACTGACATTTCTTCTTAACTGAACACCTAAACTTGCTATCTTCTCATTCTCATTCAGCCAGACCCCTGGATTTTCCGTCCGGCCTAGAATATCCAAACACATGACGCGCAATAATTTGATGGTAGCTTCTTCCAAGAGATTTACATAACATCTTGCGCCCAAATTAGGAAAAGTTAATAAATCAATGATGGGATAAATGACGAGTTGGCCTGGGCCGTGAAAGGTTATTAGGCCGCCTCGAGGAGTTTGGACAACCTCGGCTGTTTGTTCCTTGCTGTTGGAGGTGGTGAATGGTTCGCGAATGGTTGGGAGATGGGTGGTTGAAATGGGGATTAGAGGCTCTTGAAGGGTTTTGAGGAGGGATTCAGAGAGTGGGGTTTGGAGCTCTCGTCGGCCGGTGGTGTAGACTGGAGTTGATTGGAAGGTAAGGACTGTAGGAGTAGGTGAGGGAGGTGTCAGGTGGGCATGTTCAGGACTCGATGCCTCTGTTCGATAGGTTAGTTTTTTGGTGACGGGGGGAAGTGATATTAGGAAGGGAATATGATAGGACGCATACTTCTTTTATGGTCAAGTAGTTTGGATACGAGTGTAGATTGAATGGTTTGGGCAATATGAAAGGGTGTCACGCCTCTGAGATGGATGTGGCGAATGAGATTACTCGGAATGGAAGAAGGGGGTAAAGGAATCATGACTGAGTTATCATGAGGACGGTGATGAAATCAGTGCGAAAAGAAAATACCAAAAGAGAGAATGAAGGCAACACAAGTTGTTGCGCCAACAAGTTTCAAAGGTAAGGAAGAGATTGGACTTGGAATCTTGACAAGGCTGAAAGAAAATGTTATTCGGAGATTAGATAAGAGCTCCAAGCTCGGAATTGCTCAAATCTTATCTCTTCTGTTTACACCTTTACCAAAGTGATACACAGCTGGCATTGTTAGAGGGCACTTCCCTTAACTACTAGGTAATTCACAAAGTCCGGAGTGAAGTGAGCAAATGTAGCTGTATAATAATGCTCTGATTATTTTGTGGTACTGGGTAGGTTTGAGATGAAGTCTGCAGCTTTTGAAATATTACGTAATCACATGCGATCATTGCCCCGCCAATCCCGATCTCCTCTTTCATTCTGACTACTTCCGCCCCTCTCTCCCATCGGCTCTCATAGAATGAATGCCAACTTCAACTCTTCTTAAGGATACTGCCTGCAACAGGATACTACAACAACTTACACCTAAACTACACATTCACATACCAGCACCATGACGGAAGCACCTTTGAATTATGAAGCCTCAGCCGGTGTCACCAATCTCCAAATCTCAAGAACCTTACCCTCAGAAGTCGTCCAATGTTTAGAAAATGCTAGATTTGTACGTCCTCACCTCATCATAACTGCGTCTTGTTCACGGACAAACACTGACTCTACTTGATACACAGTTACATCTCGCAACATGCACCTCCCTCCGCCCTCACGTCTCCCTCATGAACCACACCTATCTTCCCAGTACACCCTGGTCTCCTCACCCTACCATAATAATGACCACGAACCCTTCCTCTAAGAAAACTCAAAACCTTCTCGAAAATCCAAATGTTTCATTATTAGTTCACGATTGGGTATCTCATCGTCCGCCTACTGGAAACAGAGCTTCGAGTCCCCCGAGGAATACTGGAGGTAGAAGTAGCTTAGCGGAGATGTTAATAGGGTTGAATACGAGTGCGATAAGTAGTATTAGTGCGACGATTAATGGGGAAGCGAGGGTGGTGGAAAGGGGAGGGGAAGAGGAAAAATGGTTAAAGGAAAGACATTTGGAGAATTGTGTTTTTCTTGGGGAGGAGGGAGTTAGGGCTGGAGAGGGAGATGGTGGGAGGGTTTTTGTAGAGGGGGAGGAGGTGAGGGTTGTCAGTGTAAAGGTGGGTGATGGTAGGGTTAGTGATTGGAAGGGTGCAGTTAGGGATTGGATTTTGAGTGATGAGGGAGAGGGACAGAATGGTGTGGAGAGTCAGACTTTGTTGAATGGAGTTCATTAAGGTGGTTATCGTGTAGTGGGTAAAGAAGATCTAAATTGGGAGTACATGGCAGTTCATAACCATACTTAAAAACTGGTGTCATAGATGTGGCAAGGATAAATATTTTTAAAGGCATTCTGGGAACTTTCAAAAATCGAGGTTCATTTAGTTCTCCTTAGCAATTGTAAAGTTTCGAATGGCGTTCCCCTAGTATGGAAAGGAAATTGAATGATCAATCTTGCATCAGTTACCTTATTCTTTGGGGTTTGAAATTGATCTTCTCAATATGTGAGAGGCTTGATTATTGGCAATTGAGTACATGCTGCTCTATAGTTATGGAGTAGGACCCAAGAATTTTTTAACATGCACTTTCTATTGTCTTTCTCTCCTCAAACTTTATCTAGTGGAATTTGATACTTTCTACACTCTATCAATTGACATTCGGTCCAAAGCTGTGTGTTTGTTTGTTTTCAATTTGTTGTTCAGCTCTTCCATATCTCTATTTATATAAACCAAAGAGATAGGCCATTGGCGTCTTGTCAAATCACTGTGAAGAGTGATGAGTGCAGTTACAGGATTATAATCAAGAAATCAAGATTAGTTTCCGGTAAATAGTACCTACACCATTTACTTTCTAGCCATGCACATTTCCACGATTCCAGCCGGGAAGGAGCCGGGTGTTTATTTGTGAAGCTTCATCTCAGGTGTTTGAGCTGTGGATTATTCGTAGCAGAACCATATAATACCCGGGTAATCTTACAAGAAGGAATTGCAAATTGCTCACAATCTATTATTACTCGGGTATGGTGGTAATTTTGCCTAGACCTATTAGTCTTTTTGAAAGTCGTGCTAGTGTATGGGCTATTATGGATTATTGAATTGCAAGGAGTGGTATAGAGGGAATGAAATGAATGAGGCTGTTATTATGGATAAAACAAGAGAATGACAACTCCTACGGCATTATCTCATTCATGGATATAGTGCTGAAACACTTCTTTTCCATCGAAGGTCCCTCGGCTATTGAAATTGAATGGCTTGTTTTAGTGTATTTGCTGAGTTGTATAAGTGTATGTACTCGAGATGTTAGTCTGGTGTATATTCATCTATCGTTAAATGTTGCAACTGGAATTTATTCATAAATTTGGCCGAAAGATTATGGATTAGCTGGCAGCATTGTCTATGGAACCGAATTTCTTGGTTAACAATCTTTGCTTAATTCATAGCTTGGTGTAAGGTTGCATAAGTTCGTAAGTTGTGGTAATAGTATAATATTATGGTTTGGGAGAAGGGTGGAAAACAATTTGTTTGGGCGGTATTAATTTCTTTACATTGATACGAGATAGGGATTTCGAAGGACGTTATGTTATCTTGCTGATTTTATTATGTGCTTCAGTGGATGTAATCTTTACATGGTGGTTGATTAATAGTGGCTACAAGTCATGATTCCACCTGAAGCGAGGATTGATCTTTTGCCACTACCTTGACACGGATCATTCTCGTTACTCTGGGATGAGATATTGTCATGCGATCGAATTCAACACATGAAGAAGGAAAATAGTGAGGAAACTCACTAGGTCATCTGCTGGAAATGTACCTCGTGTTTTGTTTGTCCTTCAAGCTTGTCTACAAAGTTCCTTTTCGTTGGAGATCAAAATTCAGAAGTCATCCAACTTTCATGGATACATCTTGCTATTCACTTTGAGCTTTCTCGTTTTTCAACTCATGAGAAAAATCCAGCTAGCTTCAAACAAGGCAATCACACTTATCAAAAACCTTTCCACTGCCTACCATGTAGTTAGCCATCGATTCTGGAGACCACGAACCAGAGTCAACAAGGTATCCAGCAACATAAACACAAAATACATAAATCTACTTATTACTCCTTAAATACTTCATATGGGAGGCGCCTGGGTAAACTGTATATACCGGATCGCATCACACGCTAGACATATAAGCCCTACCGGTCATATTGTTCAACATTGCGAGGTCCTAGTCAACCAAATATAGGGACCTCGGGCCCGATGATGTCTGATTCAAAAAAGGAGATGGTAATATTGATCTGCTTTAGGTAGAAGCCAGAGTGTATCATGACAACTTCCAAATCTTTAATCTAAGATCTTATTTAAAGTTCGCCATATTCCCGGATTGACCTGGCGACTGATAGGCGCTCTAAAAGTGGAAGCTACTTGGAAATCCCCTATAACTCTGGCGAAGGCTATACAGATACTTCTATTCTCTTAAGAGGTGAAAAGATAAATAAATTCATGGCCCGACAGCCTCCTCCGAACTCATGCTTATAAGCCAATCCCCGAAAATTGGTAAAATCTTTAAAGGAGAAACTAATAAGTTCTTTGGAGACCACTTGCTGATCTCTCTGTAGATGCTACATATCTGAAGGAAAGTCTTATTATCGTAACACCTGACAACAGCCACATCAACACGCATCTATAAATTTCCTGCTTCTATTCCCCTCTATTCGGATATCAATCTACTCTTTAGCGCATCTACGATCTATCCATCTTCACAAGAGACGTTTTTTAACGACAAGAATCCAATGAATCTCATGAGTATAGAGTTTCAGAGTTACTATCTCGGATTTGCTGTCTATTCTCCGCAATTTTTACCGTCTTCCAGTCGAGAAGTTTTCAGTAGGAGGTATTTTTTTCTCATCTTCATTCCGTAATCTTTGCTTTTTAGGTCGAGATGCGCGATGGATTTAACAGGCTATTTAATCACAATAACCTCTGCTCTATACTTCATTCCCGGGAATATCTTTCCATTGAGAAAATTCCAAGTAAATCTCGAGTCAATTTTGCAAGTTTGACATTTAGGAATCGAGAGGATGGCAAGAATGGATGCGAGATTAATTTCATAGTATTGCTTACCAGATACACAACGCTTCCTGCTAGTGTAAGTCTTACTCACGAAGCTAGACATGTATAAAAATAATTCCCAGATTAGTTTCTAGAATCGAATAAATACACATCCTCTCTTAAAGGAATGTTTTTTTGTTCTGTTCCGAAGCTGAGATTATAAAACGTAGTCGATACCTTATTGCTAATTTCATACCTTGCGTGTACTCTATGCAGAATATAATGAAGTGTTATAGTAGTAAATATCCTCAAGATCTATATACCACGAAGGGAAGAAAAATATTCATAAAGACATGTTGAGTGCCAAATCCCTACATGCACTACACTCCTATTAATAAAAGTAGATAGATACAAAGAAGTAGAAATATATATATTAAAAAATAAAATAAAAATAAAATAAAATCAAGATATAGCCACTCAAAGACCCATCCTAGGTTCTGAACAGCATTTGAATTCTCACCCATAAACCCCTCACCCCTCATCACCCTCACATCCCACCTCCCTCCCCACCCTCCCTCAACCCCCAAAAACCCCTACCCAATCATCCCCAAAACAAAACTCACAGCCATCTCATTATACTTAACAACATAAGTCAAATGCTCCAGCATATCCCCACCCGAGCAACAAAACGGATCTCCAAAATCACAATACGACTTAAGAATCGACGAATAACTTGCCAAAGAAGACGATTGATCGCTCGAGCGCGGAAAGAGTCCATTTTGAAAACAGGTTCCTACGTGGAATGATTGCTGGTTGGTCATGTAGCGGGGATCGCCCATCTATTTGAGGGGTGGTTATTAGCAGCGGTGTTTATTTTTATTTTTGGGAGGTTCAGGGATTGAGGGAAGGGGGATGGAGGATGGGGGAGGAAGAGGTGAGATGGGGATTCGTTTTTTATTTACCACAATGGCTGCCTTGACGTGGGATCCGTATTTTGCGTAATCGACTGCTGGGGTTTTGGTACCTAGGAGTCCACCTCCGCCTCCGCCGAGGGTATCACTGATGCATTCCGCTAGACGAATCATATTAGTACTATATCCTATATCAAACCAAAACCAAAACCATCAATCTGTAAACCATCATCCTACAACTCTACCCTCCCCCGAAAAAGAAGAAGGAAAAAACACGAAACAAAGAAACCCCTCAACCCACCACCCTGCGAATACCCCAACAAAACAATTTTCTGCTCCGGACACGCTTCTACCGCCGCAATCAAATCAGTCTTCATAGCCGCAACACCACTAGCCACACTAGACGGATAGGGATCCAGCAGCGCAGGATAAGAAACTGAAGTTCGGGTTACGGATTGCTTTGTGCCGAGTTCGATGGCGGAGGCAAGGGTACCGATTATTCCTTCGCCGGGGGCTTCGGTGGATGCGCGGGCGGTTATGATGTGGATGTCGGTGCAGGTTGTACTGGAGTTCATGGCGTTGATGGTGGAGACTTCGGGTGAGGGGATGGGGATGGGGAGAGCAGCTGGGATGGCGAGGGTGAAGGGGAGAAGTGGGAGGAGTGTTAGAAGGGAGATGGGTGAATACATTGCTTGTGGTGGGTTATGCAGGTAGGAATGGATTGGATTAGACGTATGTGGAAAGAAGTCACAATGAGAAGGATTAGGAAAGAATGGGAATGAAAAGAAGGAGATGGATTGAGATGAGACTGATATTCCAAACTCGGAGAGATCCATTACTCATATATACTTCAAGCTACCTGCTAATTTCAACAATATCGTCATATAAACTGGCTACCATCGCATTAAATCCCTCCACAAAAACCACAAAAACAAACGCATCACTTGCTAATATGAAGTTCCCGAGGTTTTCCTGTGAAAAAATATATGAAGGGGTGAAAAGCGGGACTGTCCCTAGCACTCGCTTTTGCACAGAGCTACTGTCCCCGCCGTACTGGTGTACCCAAGTGGGTACCGAACACTCCACTGTATTGCTTTTTCTCGCTAGAAAATTAGTTAATATGATTTCTAGATGCACAAAGGGATGGAGTCACTAGAAGTATGATGCCGAGGTTATTTTGTTTCGTTGAACTTCGCAGTGCCGGATGGTATGGCTTGGTTTCTTCTACACTTTGTAGATGCAGCCTGCATTATGCAAATAACGCGGGGTATTATCCATCCAATGTAATCTTACATCCCCAATCCCTTTTCAACTAAATGCAAGAATCGTATCCCTCCTATCATCATCATCAGAACTATTGTGGATTTGTTCCTATTCCACCTGAATAACAAAAAATACCTCGGCGACCCATTGTCCTAGATAGGATGTAGGTGTACTGTTAGGTGACGGAGCGACGAATAGAAGGGGGATAGTTGGGTTAAACGGGCCATGTGCCATTAAAGGCACAGCAGGAAGGGACTTGGGAACAATCCCAAGGAGTTATTTGAAGGGATTCTTTTTTTCTTTTTGGAAAATACAAGAGCCTGAAACAAGATGCTTCTTCCACTTCAACCAATGTCAGCCACCCACCATGACAAGGTTACCCCATATTTCGCATGATGATCACCATCTTAATATCACACTGCATAGACTTAATTTAATGCTAAGGAGCAAAAGATAAATCGGGGTCATAGATCATTGTCTCTTAGAGTAAAAATTCCTCACTTCATCTCATATAAATGGGGTTTTGTCTATTCTAAGCTATGTCCCGATGTTTACTTCTCGAAGATGTTTTAGTCTAAAGAGTAAAGTGGAGCAAATTGTTTTTTGAAACTGGATCCTGGAGCCAATCGCATCTAAACGAAATGCCTACCTCTGTATAGCTATTGCGGGACGAAAAAGAGAAGGAATCATCTGAACCTGATATGAAATCACTAGCCACCTTTGCCATGCCACACCGAGGTTTTTCAGCCATATCGAAAAATCAAAGTGAAATCAGAGCAATCATAAGTATGATTGGTTCACGGGATTGCTGCATCTTGCATAAGGGTTTTACCCCACAATACGGGTTTCCCTGCAACAGGGAATCATATATTGGATTGGTAAGGCTGGAAGTAGATTGACGATAAACTGTGATCCCGGATCATGGAGCCTTGAAGATTCTACCCGCAGTCGGCGTGCTTTTCTCCCCACCAAACGATAATTTATACCTCATCATTCATGAGCCGTAATTCTCGGCATGTTAACCAACCCTCCTGTTTTTGTCTATCTCTTATTAGCTAGTGGTCGTCAAAATGAGTGACCTGTCATTGATTTATCGCACTATAGAGTGTACGGCGCTCGATTGATTCAAGTGTCCCATACTAACACCATTCATCGAGCCACTGTCAAGCACTGCCTAATGCCCCAGTATGCTTGCAAACCTTTTAGCTGGTAGTGATACGATCTATAATAGATCTGGAAACGTTCTACAGCGAGACATGTTGCCTCCACTGCCATGGAGCCAAAATGTTGAGTACAACTTGGTTGTGGCTAGGGTTGGTAACAAAGCAGGCATGATAAATTATTGCAAATGGAAGAGGATCAATCGATTGCTTCCGTGGATATTATCTTTTAGATCTCTAGGGCTCAGTCTTTCGAAGTAAATATGTCGTATATCTAGTAAGCTGTTCGGTTTGATATTGTAGTTGACAGGTCGGAAATGCTTTAATATGGATAAGTGATCATTCAGAAGTTCAGTATGACTTTGTAACTACGATTTTTCCGACCAGTAGCAACAGTTTATCGTCTCGGTTATCCCTGCACGGCCATGTGTAGACTCTTAGCCGCATATCTGGGTGCTAATTCGAAATCGTGTTCCCGTAATATCTCGATAAGAAATGACCTTCTAGGTGACATTCCAAATCGACTAATCAAGGTGAAATTTCTCTCAACGTAGTGCACTCACGCCGCATGGCTTAAAATTACCTGCCAATAGGCCAGATCTAGAAAATCACTAAGCGTGGCACTGGAAGGTATCACCAGATCTTAACCTTCAATATTTGGGCATCCAGTTCGTACATCAGATAAGCATTTTATTATCGCATGCCAAAGTAGTCGAACCTATTAATGCATCAGTTGTTGCGTATCGCCTACCAGAGGACTTAAACTTACCAGTCTGCGACGTCTAGAGTATTAGGAATCATTTGTTGAAAATCCGGTTGTATCCAAGTGGCCATCGGCCCATTTAGCATGTAATTTATGCTCCCGGGAAAGGTAGGATCCTGGTATTGAACGGTTTGATGGATTGAAGTGGGTGTTGCACCAGTAGGGCATATAGTATCAGGGATGTAAAATTCGTTTTCATGATGCATTGATGGAGCGGACTGATGTTTAGCTTGTGGTTGTGGCGCGGACGGCACATTAGTAGAGGAGATACCGTTGTTATTGCTATCCAACTTTTGACTTTTGTTAGAACTACCTGTCCTCGTACCTGATACAAAACCCAGAGTTGCTTTTTGGTGAGCGAGCAAGGAATGCGTAAGTGGAAGGCGGTTTTCTTTAGATTCTCCAATTGATTTCGATTTATGTAAAGGGTTTTCAACGAAGCCAGCGGGCACTTTAAAATTCTCGAATCCTGCCGCCTTCAAGATGCTTTCGAAAAGACCTTGAACCATTTTGGCGACGAGCCATATATCAGAAAGTTTCTCCAAAGCAGACATGCAGATGGAAACTCTTTTACGCGCTTCGGTTTTTTCGGATGACGAATGGATCTGTAGCTCGTAGATGTGTATTATCAAGGCCGACAGTAAAGAATATATTCTAAAATGCGTTAACAATCACCCAAATTCTGCTTGGGACGGATTTTATCATACAAGAATGGAGGAGCATGCCTCAGTTCGTTCCGTGCAATCATATTTTCTACGATTGAAGTGATTGCTCTTGCAGATTGAAAAGCAGCGTGTGATGAAATATCGAGCTTCTCCTGTAGCTCCGATGAAGATTTAACGGATGGCAAATAGGCGCGATACAAAAGACACCTTGTAGTATGGTAGATCAAGTACAGATAAGAGGACCAGAAGCTATTGTTGTTGGAAGGATTCCATCGGATCTGCGTTGGGCAATTGTGAAGCCACTCATTCAAAGCTTGATCACAATTTTGGAGTATGACAGGGTCGTTGCCTCGCTTCCTGGATTGTAAAGAGTAATGTTGGAAGAGTATCTCGTCCATGATCTCGCATATTTTCACATATTGAAGAAAGAATTGCACTAGTATTTCATCTTCAGGTTCAGTGTGATCATCGGCAAAATCTTCTTCTCCGATCATTTCTAAATCGGAATCTTCCATATTGATGTGTGCCGGGCGTCCAAGTGCGGTTGCTACTGATTGATCTCTGATGTACAAGGTCCACCATATCCTTTTCCAAAGCCTTTTATCAGCTGGACTGAGACGAGAACCACTTGGACTTCGATGCATTCCAAAACCTTGAGCAATCGTGGTCGCGAGTCCATTCCAGTAGAAAACGTTTTTTGTAACCACGCCCGGCTCCTCCCAATACTATTACACAATTAGCATTTCCTTGCTTGCATGGACATTGGGTACCATAAACGCACCCATCCTAAATGAATAAGTGCCTGGACTATGACAACTCTATCTTCCTCATAATCAGCATCATAGAGGGCTTTTGCTCTTTTGTAAAATATTGTCGCAGCGGGAATCGGAGAATCATTAGCATCTAGTAGCATAGATGTAGTGCAAACTCTGGATCCAGCCAACAAGACTGCCTGCATTAATAATAAGGGGGGTGGATTGTCAAGGTCATGCCATCTTTGCATGAACCACGATTTATTAATGACTGGAATGACCGGAGCTACCCATTTGAAATATGCCTCAATCAATTCCTCACATAAATCTCTAGGCGGTAGTTGTAATGCACCTCGCTTTTCAAGGATATCCATCTCTTCCGCGGTCATTTTCGTAGCCATATGTTGATTAGCGGCGACCTCCGGTAAAGGATAGTGTACAGCATTGGTCGTGCCATAATAATCTCGCATGAGTATTGCCAAGGATGATTTTTCTTGTAAGTATGCCACTTTTCCGGGATTTTCAATTGCAGATGACGAGACTGATGGGCTTATTAGTTTGAAGTATTGTTCGGTGCTATCTGGCTGCTGCTTAATATGCTCGTCGGCTCGAAGAATCAGAGAAGCAAAATCGTTGTCATTTGATGCGACTGGTTGAGGAAGCTCCATATTCCCATCTCTTTTGCCGTCACACTTGTCGTCGCCATTGTCGCTTTGATGACCAGGTTGTTTGGCTCTGCATTTTTGTAAGAATACAGCTGTGTAGAGTAGGGTAGCCTCGAAAATATCTAGACCGAACAAATACTGACATTGAAAGAGCGGACCTTTTTCGTCCACTATCGGACGTTCCCTGCCTGCTCGAGTTCTTCTTTCGCGGAGGTATACTGCAGTCTAGAGAGAATGCCTCACAATTTGTACATGGAATTCCGCGGGATCCTGCGTCGCATCGCACCTTAATAGTGTTAATGATATAGTTTGAAGTATCTTTGAATGCGCGATTTCATACTCTTCTCGAATGGCACGTCTATTGATGAGTCGCGTCAGTATCGACTATCATCTGGAGGATATATTTTTGATGGCACTTACCCCGCATGCTCGGCCAGCCCGAGGTCTTGATTTATCTGTCAGCAAGGTAATGTGAAGCAGCCTTTGACAATTGAGCCCTACCTTCGAAAGGTCCGCCGACATGGCAGTGGAGTTGGCTTTGCCTTTATATTCTCTGCTTGATCTTCCACTTCACCATTATTCCACATATACGCATTCTTCGAATCGAAGTTTTGGTGTTCAGGAGCAAACTGGAGATCTGTCGGCTGATTCATCGTCAGAAAGATTATTCTCGAAGACACAACCTGGAGGAATTCTCTTGATATGTTGTCATCATGAATCAGATCCTCAATTGACAATTGCAATAGACGACCAACATGGGGATCCCAGTATATTTTTTAGTGCTTTGTTAGGGGATGATTTTAGTGTGAGGCGTGGGAGTAAGAAGGGCCAAGCCTTAACAACCACCTCCCGGGTTTCATGCATGTCCCGGGGATTCATAGAGTGCAGGAGTCTAACAGAATGAATGTGAAGAGTTTTTTGGGGTTTGTTGCGTGCATGTTGAGGATGTCGTAAGATCAAGGACGCGGAAACTTTCCGGTGCGATTGTTGCAAAAGAGTGATTGATGGTGGATCTACAAACGGATTGTTCCGTGGCTACTCAGTAGAAATCATTCAGCTATTTACCCGTTCGTTACTATACATTTATCCCGTCATTGCCCCTTTGTAACATCTCGCAAAACATTGCACGGATATCATCATTATCATTAGACGTTCTACTCGTATATATTAACCAATTCTAGTTCTCATCCACAGCTTTCCCCTTCTTTGCTATAGGCCATAGATGGCTATTTCCACACATGACCTCAGCCTCTTAAAGAGAGACTCACTTCACCCATTGCTTCTACAGTATCCTCTGGCGTGTTGCTTGGCTATCAATAGCAGGAGGACCCGTTTTCATTTAAAATGCGGCACAACGTCAGGATTGTACAAATGCAACAGGGCCTTACTAATCAGATCTCAGCATGAATGAAGCCTCAACCTGAGGTTTGGATTAATTGATATTTGCTGGGTATCTAAGTACTAGGTAGTGTATAGAGGTATCGAAAGTCGTAGGTAAAAGAAGCTAGAGGCAGGGAAGAAAGCAAAGTAGTATGTATGTGAAATGAACCAAAAGTCCATCAATAAATCTGCAAAGATTTCCCATTCCCACCAACAGAAATCTTACTCTGTCTCCCTCCAATTGCCGTTCTCGCATCTGTTGTCGAAGGATGCATGGTGCATTGTTCCTGGATTGCACCTCCATTTCCATACTCATCTCCATCACTCTGATGCGCGTAAGTCGTCGGCCTATTCATTTCTGTGGTATCCCTAGCAACAGCATATTGATCGAATACTTCCTTGATCAAAGCGTCCACCTCTGCCTCACTCATTGTCTCTCCCCATCCAACGGCTAGCCTAGTATCACATTCTTCGATAAAGTCTTGGACTTTCCGCATCTCAAATTCGTCTTTGCGTAAGCGATCGGGCAGTCCTTGACTCTTCAGTATCCCTAGAACTCCAGCTAAACAACTGTTGGCAACACCCAGTACAGTAACGGCCTGCGGATGTGTCTTTGATAGCTCGCCAAAGGAAGCGAGCACTCCACCGATGACGAGCTGAGAGAGGATGGAGCAATAGTACACGCCCTCGATTAAGTGGTACTGTAAAGAGAACTGGCGTTGCTGAGAAAGAACAGACTTGTAAACCCCGTAGGCATTTTTACGGAGACCTTCCAAATCGGAGGGTGGAGAATCCGCCGGCGAGGTTATAGGAATATTGATGCCGATTGCGAGACGGAATCTGAGAAGTGCGGGCGAAATGGATAGCGTTGAGGATGAGGAGGGTGACTGAAAGCGCATGGGAGTATGTTCAGACAAGAGAGGAACGTTTTCTGAAGCCATTTTGGACACTGTTCTACGCCTCATACTGCGTCTATCTAAGGATTAATTTATACTTGATGATTTACTGAGGCAAAAAATAGATATAGGGAGCTTTCATTTACCTTGCCTTACTTACATTGATAACGATGGAGAAATAAGGTTCACGCGACTACATCATGATTGAATCTCATAACGTGGTCGCGATTAAGGTGGTCCACCTTCCTCAGTATTTTGGAGGAATTCATGGCCCTAACTTCTCAATCAAAGATACCCTCCTGATGTCCTGGTCTGGTATAAATAGAACCAAGACATTCAAAAAGTGGATGATGTCGAAGTGAAGTATTTCTATGATAGTATCAGAAGGGTCGTGACGAATCAAGGCCTAGACAAGCCTATATAATAGCGTCGGCAAATGCCGACCAAAGGTCACGATTAATCCTAACCACTCAAAGACTTTCATTCTCCCCCAGTGTATATATGCAGCGCATATGCAACAAATGTACCACGAGACGCTGAGCTTCTCAAATGAATTTATTATTATGTCTACCTCATGATTAGTACCACTATGTTGTGACGATCACGAGTTGTGATATCTTATCATTTACTTCCAAATGATCATTCTTTGGACTCAGTCTTGTTCCAAAACTTACTCCGCTCATATGACCCGGTTTACTGTCTCTGTAAAACTGGCCGGTTTCTAGGCTTCACCATGGAAACCCATTATTCGTATTGGGAATATTTTATTTCATGGAGCTTAATGGTATGTCGAGAGCTTGGTAGCTAATGGAGATGATTTGACGAGTGGGCTAAAGAAGGAGAGGGAAAAGGTAGGATATGATGATAATGATGTTGAACGTGGGGTTTACGATGTGAATAGTTTCGTTAGGGTCGGTATTGTGAAATGAGTTGGGGATTTGGGATGGATGATTGAACGGATGGAGTTTGTGATGTAGTGGCTAATGTATTATGATCTTGTCTATGCTAAGGATTAGACAAACCCCACGGGATAAATTCGAAGGTTAGTAGGAAGGCATAATATTGCTGGAAGATATTTGATGAACTCGAAGTGTGAGATATAAACGAGACATAAACCTTCACGGCTATATGAGAATATGCTATGTTGCGGTAGGGAAGACCAATAGATATCATATTTAGTAACTTCTGGCCGCCAGTATCTTTGAAACCCATTCAGTTCATCACTCTGCGCATGCGCAATACCGTTCTTAAGCCCAGCCTTGTCTTCATATCGTGAGTCCCTGTCCGATCCGAGAAACCAACATGCCTAAAATGGAAAACGCTACTCCCAGTATGGAACGATGAGAAAAAGCCCTGCTAATCTACGCAGGCATCGAAACTTTGAAATCCTCCGCCAATTAGCACCTGCCATTAAAGAACAAATGCCAAAATGCTTCATGTTTTTCGTTAAAACCTCCTCATGGTCATGGCAGCCACCGAAAAGTTTCAGGGGGAACTTGAAATTCCCATTTATACTTTGCGCGAGAGCGTCGTCGGGTAACAGATGTACAGTACGACCATGGTAATTAGTAACGACGAAAACATAAAAAAGCGATTCTGATCGGTTACAACCGACACTGTGGTTGAAGAACTGGATAATAAGTCAGTGATCTGGTTTCAAGTGGATGATTACAGAGACGAACTGGATGGCCAAGTTTAGCCCCTGGAGACGGACACTGCATCACCCCATCAGGCTCATCGACCAGGTGTACAATAACTGTTTCCCAAGTGGGACTCGGCTTCTTGCAGTTTTTCCAAGAAAGCAACTGCGCAAGCAGACATTTTGACCTCACTTCCTTCGTCCATACATTACGAGACCTCATGAAGAACATTTGCCAGAGCTAGATGAACATTTTGCTCCTCGATTGCCGTGACTATTTTTGTTTGTTGTGCTTTGAAGTGGTCAGCATCCTGAAGTCATCAGAGCGATTCGATGATTAAAAGAAAACTTCTTACAATTCTTGTGAGATTGCTTCTGAGATTGCTTCTGAGATTGCTTTTGAAACTGATGAATGAGATTGATGCTATTGAAGGTGTTCGGTCCAGACTTATGGTATTGAAGCTTCGTAGACAGTATCTATCATGCTGCGGTACTAACGCTCGAATTTCTGATTGAACTCGAGTGTGCAGTTCTGCCAGAAATGGTGTGGTAATTCAGATCCATCGGCCGTTAAGACACATTCACTCACTGATGAATGAATGATTTGAGGTGAAAACTTCTAATGACTCAGTTGGTGTTTGTGATACTCTCGTCCGTACCATTTTGTCGTTTTATTTGCCTCGCTATATCTCTAGATCCTGTACATGGCTCTTCCTAGTTACAGAAAATACTGCCAAACTGCGGGTCATATTTTAAGTCAATATAAGAGCCAACGCAGCTGCCGCTATACTTCGAAGCGTGGCCGTTATCTAGACAAATAGCATTCCAGAATCTGTACAGGTCGACTATTGAACCAAAGACCTGCGTTGAAGCCCTCTTGATTATTGCTTCTTTGAGTCACTCCACCTTGAATGCCCTCATACTCCCAAGATGATTTTTCCGGCTACAAATCCACCCTATCATTTGCTTGTTCCGTGCCTTCTTTCACGATGAGTGCATTGCGGCTGTTGCCCTTGACACCGACCTCCAGGTCCTTGGATTTTTTATCTTCTTTCCAATCATAACCAACTCTCTCAACCTGTTCCCAGTCATCTTTTGCTAGGTCACCTTCTGGTGTTTCTATTGTCTCCCATTCACCGTTGGATCGAACCCAGACAATCCTATCGAAACATGCTGGACAGATAAGACCTCCTTTAGTATGCACTTCGACTTTACCAGTACAGGTTCGATGATCTTGCGTATATAGGGCACATCCCGTTCGTCGGAAAGGACGATGATGGCAGTTGACATAGGTGGAGAAGTACGTAGTGCACATATCGTCGTTATTTGAGCGCCCCAGGATGTTTGAATGATTTTGTAAGCCTCTTTCCTAAGGTGATACTTCCGCAAGATGATAACCTTCACGAACGAGCGTCAAAGTCAATCTGAGGGCGAAGTCGCAAAACAAAGGTAATCCATCCAATATACGTATGTCGCATCCAACCAATCCTTCGCAGATTTATTTGGTTTCTTTCCAAAAGTAGCAAAATGTTGAATAACGAAAATGGCTTAGCTGGGTTATTGTAAGAGAAAGTGAAGAGGTAATAAGTAAGGTTAGGTATGGGATTTTTGTTCAGCACACTTAAGTAATGTGATCAAGGTTACATATGCATGTGACCATTTAGCACTCATGACATGGTATGCTCGAGTAGTCTGGTTGGTAATTATGACCAAAGTTTACCAAGTAGAGGTGTCGATGATGATAATAATGACGAAGTGTTGACTATCTATTCTCCAGTAAAAATAACGAGGTTGGAGTTCTGAAGGAAGTGAAATAACAAGTGAAGAATGGAGTGAAATGACGGGTGAAGGATGAAGGAGTTGAAGAGTTGAAGTCCGTGCCATATCATTCATATCTTATCTGTCGTTTCTTGTTTCTTATCTTGATTACCGTTAACGTTAACCTTACTCCGTACATTCAGTAGGTACCTTACGCTAAGGATAATAATTATGGGTGAGATGCAGAAACAGAAAACGCGCCAACGCGTGCATGAGCGGGCGGCCGCTAGTTATCTTGACAACCTCGGTCAATGTTTCGCGGAAACTCTACCTGTCTAATTTGAAGAACAATTCGGGATTTGCCCATTCCAATCGAATTCTTTTGGGGTTGGAAATCTCATTCATCAGTTTCAATAAGGAAGGCGCGGCTCGGGTAGCCATTTATAATTATTGATAATGGCAGACGAACTTTCTTTGCCACGATTGATAAGAGACAATACATCTTCTACCTTTGCCAAAACAAACTTGTCGCGAAAACGCGTCCGCCGTTCACCTCCCCCTGATTCAAGCGACCCTCCAATATTTTCTAGCGACGATGACCCTTCGGTAGAGAAATATACACAGAAGCGACGAAAGCAAAGATTCAGAGGTCCATGGTTTGATCAACAACTAGCTTCCGATTCTGCCCTTGAGGATGAACCTTTAGATCGCAAAGTTCCAATCAGAAACAAAAGAACGTTCAGTAAAAAGGTGGATAGCGGAGTATTTATGGGCAGTGATGGTACGGACTTTGAAGACATAGAGATGGACAAGGGGAAGAAGTTATCGCCAGCGAACCATGTTCCTGTGCCATCACCACTAAAGCCAAGAATCACTATCAACACACCAAGGGATATCCATGCCCAGAGGAAGATTGAGAAGTGCCTTGAAGATGGAGAAGAGTACATCGACTTATCGTAGGTGAAGACTATCTTGCATTGGCACTTCAAGCTAACCATCATTAGCCGCATGGCACTTGATCATCTTGAAAACTCTACGATACGTCCTCTGAAAAGTTTCGTGAAAACCGCGCGTACTCACTCCGCTTTAACCGATACAACCGCCCATGTTTATGACGGTTTCGAGCCTTCTTTAAGAATCATTCTCTCGGGAAACACTCTCACTAAACTTCCTGCAGAGTTGTTCAACCTAAATCGATTAGTTTTCCTGAGTTTACGAAGTAACGAATTACAAGAGATACCACCTGCCATTGGAAAACTGAAACTTTTAGAGGACTTGAATATTGCTTATAACAAGTTGGGATATCTGCCTTACGAGATTCTTGATCTCCTTGTCGGGGGAGGAACATTATATGACTTTCAATTACATCCGAATCCATTCTACCTGCCGATGGCAAGACCTAAGAGCGGGGAGAATGGTGCAACTCATATTGAGATCGATCTCCAACGCAAGCGGCCATTGACATTGATGAATCAACCATTTCCCCCTCCAGAATACGTTGTAACTTTACATGGGGATCCTAGTATGTCCGGTCTTATAAACCACCAGTGGCATCAACTTACTCCTCTTTCAGGAATACCAATCTCAGGCGAGAAATGTTCCTTAGCCTATCAATACAGAACAGAAGTCAGATTTTTTAATACTTTTGGACAGTGTATAAAAGGCCCTATATTTCCCTCAGATCCTCAATGGAAAGACATTGAAGGGCACATCCAATTGCCCGTCGCGGATATAAGTGATATCCCAGAGCCTCCTGCAGTCCAATCACGCGTTCCGAGCTTGATCGAAAAAGCTTTGCAGTCTTGCATTCGAAGTCCTGAATTCCTACGTCTCGAATCCTATCTGGAATATATACCTCCTACCATGCCTTCTCTACTTCGAAGAGCGGAAAATGTTCATTATTCTGGGCCTACACTATGTACTATCTGTGACCGCAGCTTCGTTGTTCCGCGAACGGAATGGATAGAATGGTGGGAGATTGAAAAGGTATCCAAAAAAGATCGGTTGGACGCAGTGAACAATGCTGCATACCCACGTGTAGAGAATGAGAGGGATACTGTTGAGAAGTTGGTGCCCTTGATTCGCAGGGGCTGCAGTTGGTTATGTCTGCCACCAGAATATTCCAATGATTCGCCTCAGCCATCCCACGACGAAGATGACAATGTCGAGAATTACGAAAATGTCGAAAATGTCGAAAATGAGATGGGCATGGACACGAATGTTTGATTTTTATGCTCTCCATCATTGAACGGCGATAGTAGTCGCTGATTTGTATAAATTGTAATTAAAAACTGTATACTGGCTGCAGGCGACGGGTACGGTGAGCATTTGCTTTGTATTTATATTAGATGGTCTGGCTCGAAGGCTTGAGCTTAACAGCATGTTCAGGTTGACGCCTTGGTAAATGGAATCAATTCAGCGTACATATATTTTAAATGCGATGCCTTTTTCGCGAAGTTCACTTTTTTACGACTGCGTTCAATGAAGCTTAATGTTTATTTACACATGAGCTGCAGTGTCATCTAGTGATTTAGAAATGATGGGTTGTGTGTCTGAATGCAATGCTTTGGCTTTATGGTCCCATGAAGTTCTTCGAGCCCGGTGGATCATAACGGAGATTTCTAGCGATAACCACTTCTTACTCATGGTGCCTCACCCTCTTACTACAGATCTCCTCGGCAGTTTCGGGTCATCCCTACCAATGGAAGAAATGGTGTTCTAAAGCACTAACAAGTTGGTAGATTTTAGTTGTTTTAGATGAATGGAAGTCCAGCTGCTCGTTTGGGGACTTTCTTCCATGGTGCTTAGGTATTAAAGCTATCTCGCTTCTACTTATTCTAATAGTTAAATGTTTAGCAGGCCGAGTGGCCGGACGGATCACAACGAGTCTCCCAGATTTCACACAATAATTCCCGTCGTCATTGGTGAGAAGTCAGAGGTATACTATTTCTTTACCCTACCTCTAGTCATCGAGCTGAAGTATTGAGACAAATTCAAGTACTGGCGACAGCTAAGCTATCACCAGTATGTGCCGAATCATCCAAGCAATCTACGGCAGGCAGACAGAGTACGGCTTCTGCTGTCATGTTGAGATGGATGGTATTTATTAAGTGTAGCATAGCTCGCGTTGCCGAAGTATACAGAGCATGAGGGATTCTAATAACCTTAATATTTTTTTTTGGAAGGGATTGTCCCATCCATCACTATATTTCCGGTCGCGGAGGATGCCGCAAAGTTGCTGAAAAGAAAATTTCCGCATAATGCAACGCGTAAATACAACTTGTTTGCAACTCCAGTGTCAAAACCACCACAATATATCCCGATGTAAGCCAATGCCAGCGCCGAGATTATCCCAACTCATTTCCCACCCAAAATCAAGGAGCAAGAGTGACCAAAGTCGCAACCCAATCCTTCATACGATCATATCCATTCATGTAACCCTCCACATAATACTGCTTAAACAGCATATCCTCATCAGCAAACTCCCAACGAATCTTCACATAGACCCACGCAAAATTTCCCACATCATCATCATTTCTCTCCCAGCCCAAAGTAATCCATTTATCCTCAACCTCAAGCATAAAACCCGCAAGGTGAAATTGCGGACATCGATCTTCCATTCTAGCCGCACTGCATAATTCCACCGCATCATCCACTTCAAATGCAGTTCGCGTCCAATCTTTGCCTTCGTTGATGGAGAGGTGTCCGTGTAACATGTATCCCATGTTGATTTCGAGTTTGGCTTCGCCGCGTCCGAGTAGAATGTTTTCGTCTTCTGGCCAGTGGGGAACTTCGAATTTGTAGGCCCATGGTTGTCCTTCGTGGATGCTTATGTCTTCGCCGTTGTAGATGTCGATTAGTGTTGCGTTTACGACCATGGCGATGTTTGTGTCGTCGTTTTTGTTGTATATGACATCGTCCATAGTGGATGTGAAAAGGGTGAGTTGCTTTTGGGGGGTTTGTTGCTAAGGATGTTTGGTATGGTTGTTATAGTGCAAGGTAAATATTTTTGTGACACTCTATTTACCTCGTGGTAAAGTTCCTTTTCTGTTTGTATCGAATTTGATAAGGATAAGGATTTACTTTTCGACTTTAGGCTAGAGTTGTTATTTATAGAGAAGTTCCTATGGTGAATAATCCTTATCCGAAAAAACTTCTGATCCTCAGTTATTCACAGAATGTCAGAATTATTCAAAACGAGAAAGTTCTCAAAATGAACTCATTCACATCATAAGCAATGCCAAACTATTCTCTAAAACTTAATCATAATGAAATTGAGCACTGCCAAAAACCCCTTCGTCTCTATAAAAGCGCCCTCCCTGTCGTCCTTTATTACCCAACTTTCATACCTCAACTCATCTCCAAATATACATTTTAATCTTCCCAAAATCCACAAATCCAACCTAAATCTTTCTTTTACCACACCTGTCATTCAACTATAAATATCTAAATCCAATATGGCTTCACAACCACCACCTAACGGTCCCGGTCGCGGTGTAAGTCAACTATATCCTACGCCTCCAGTCCTTGGCAGGGGATCACAAGCACCTCCTGCTGATACACCTGCACCTGGTGTAAGCCAGCTTTATCCATCCATCGGTGCTTCTCATGCCCAGACTCTCAAAGCTCCTTCTAAAGCACCATCTGTAAGTGCTTCAAGTCAGTCTCGCCAGCCATCAGTTAGACCTTCTCAGGTTCATCCTCAGCTAGCATCCATACGAGCCTCTCAAGCGCCCTCTCATCAACCATCTGTTAAACCTTCTCATGCCGCTACTCTTAGAGGTCCGTCTCAAGCTCCATCTCGCCAACCATCTATCAAACCTCCTTATGCCGCGACTCTTAGAGGTCCGTCTCAAGCCCCAGTCCCTCAAACATCAACTCGTGTCGCAAGCCAATATCATACCACTTCTTCTCGAATGCCAAATGGCGAACCCTCCATGATGGCAAATAGCTGTGCCACAGAGCTTAAGCGTGATGTTCCCCAGCTACCAACAATTATGTTGCAAGCTCCATCTGATCACAAGACATTAAGCCAACGCGACACCACCATCATCACTCAATCCACACTCCTCCAGCGCGATGCATATAAAATGCCATCCTCCACACCAACTACAAAAGAAGCCAGCAAAGCCCCCACCATCACGCCCTCCAAAAAATTCCAAAATCTCCCCAGCGTCCGGAGTATCCTCCACTCACCAACCGATATACAAATGGCCAGTCGACAAAGCACGATCAACAAAATGAAAGGAGCGGAGCGCAAAGCCCAAGACAACTGGGCCTTGGGCAAACTCGGAAAATTGGATACGGGATGTCCGCAGAATTATGGATGGTCTCGTCGAAGCGATGGTTATATTTGTGATGGGGGTAGTCACTATATTACGGATTTATTGTTGGTTGAAGGTATGGGTGGCATGTTTGTGGTGAAGGATAAAAATCATTGGCAGGATCGGAGTCAGGGGCCTTATTATTGGGCCGGGAAGAATGATCAGGGTAAGAATCTTTTTATGAAGGTTACAGATCATAAAATGGGATAGGGATGGGATTGGAATTTTTTTGGGTGGGTATAGCTTAGGCTGAGGTCTTAGAATGGTTGGGGTTGCATTGGGATAATCGATGTTTTACTAGGTACCTATAGTTCTACTGCTGAAGTGATATGTGATGAAATATGAAAGTTCACAACTTTGCCATGGTACACTGTAAGTGATTCATTCCTCCTCAAGCTAGCTGCAAAAAGCACAAATGCTATTCTATTGTTCTTTTTCTACCTGAATATTCAGAGATATGTATCAATCTTACTTTGAATCTAATTTTCGGTCTGGAGTGAAAAGTTTTATGGGAACACTCTGAAAACCATACGTTTTGAAATCCACGCTTTCCTCCTCCAACTGCTGTACCTTCTCTCCAAGTTTAACATTTTCACTCTCCAATCTCTTAATTTCTTCTTTCAGCGGCTCTGCCCTGGAGCCATCCGTCTTCCGCAAATGCAAAAGCGTCGGCATATTTTCCCCGCATGTGCTTAAGGAATCATTTTCCGCCCCCGATACCTCCACTCCAGCCATGGAAACAGTCTCGAAAGTGCGCTTCAACTCCACTTCTAACTCATCTAACTGAGCTTTGGACATCTTCACTTCCACCTGTAATCTCAACATCTCTTCCTGTAGCGTATGTATACTGTCTACCTTCACCTTCGCCATCTTCTTCCTCAGATCTTGAATCTCGGCTGAAAACATCTTACTTAAAATTTCTCTAAATACTCGAAAATGGCATGCGAGATCGTGTCGGACTTCTGGTGAAAGGGGTAGGTGGTCTGAGATTTCCACTGTGGGATGTTAGTCATTGCATATTGATAATGAGAATTCTGGTGCAGATCACCTGCATATTGTCCTCGAACAGTCTTCTCAACGTTGGTGCATTTCGCGCATTTCTTGTCCCCGTCTTGATGGCCATCGTGCGGCACAAATACCACGTGTCCATACTGGGTGTAGAGACAGCATTTACATTGGCATTTCGCGGGCTGGGCAATATCGCATTTGGATGAGGCGAGACATTTTTGCAAGAGTTTGACTGTGGCTCTATTTTAGTTTGCGAACTTTTCTCCTCAATGCTCATTGAAGACTTGATAGCTTACGTTCGAGATCTCTAGACTCTTCACCAAGCTCGAGAGCAATGGGAACGGTTAATTTCTGAAGCTCAATTTTAGCACCATAAGTTCAACATTAGGCCAAAGTGACTGGTACTCACATTCTCAAAGTCATCTTCTTTGATTTCCGTAAACTTCTGCTTTTTCGATGGAGGCTCATCATGTACCTTTGAAATATCACTCCTCAAATCCATTGTGGACATCGTAGAATTCTAATCCAGGTAGCGACATGCACACGATCTCCCTCAAAAATGACAAACAACAACCCCGAGGATAAATTTCTAAATCATAGTCAACAACGCGTTCGTTTTCCTGAGAAGAAGAAAATACTTAGTTTTCGCGTTTTTGAAACAATCCCACGGATCTCTGCATGGGAGGATTTTGGGCGCCAATCAATAAGGGCCAAGGAGAGCCGAGTTGAGCATGCGGCAAGCCTTTGTGCAACGGTGGATCTTCAGGGTCAATCTGGACCGTGAAATTAAATACGAATTATGAGTCAGCTTATTTTTGATGGAAACAGATATTCAGCCAGGTTGATAGGTCACCTTTTTTAACAAATAGTATTCCAGCCTTATGATATCGTAAAGAAGTGGATTTAGATCGCACTACTTGAATGGCTGCGCACTGCTACTTTTCAGTAGGTTTCTACAAGCCTCAAGCCAAGTATCTTTGTCCCTGACATCCAATCCGCCACTCTCAACTTTCTCTAAAAGTACCTGCACATCATTCATTGTCCCTCTAAGTCTTCGTACCTCACAGTTCAACTGTTCGTTCTTGATGACCAAGCTCTCAATTTTTCTCAAAGTACTTCTCTTCACGGCGTCTCGAAATCTGGTCTTTAACTCATCCTGTGCTGCACCACAATTAGTGTGATCAAGTTGCGTTTATTGCGGTGAGATCTAACTCACAAACTTGCATACCCCAATCACTAAAGCCCTGTTCTCTTTCGTCGTCCGTCTCCTTCAAGGTGTATTCGAGTTTTTTCGGCTCGACTTTTCCCGCACCATTTGTTCCTTTGTCGATCAATGAATCATAATCGCGATTGGGCCTTTGCCCCTCAAGCTCATGAGAAGATTTTGGAATCAATGGATCGGAGTACTCTGGTATATCTTGCTGACTCTCTCTCGATGTCTTGTTCTTCGCCTATTTTCCTTTAGTATTGTGTATAAAATTCCATAGATGATTTATCTTACCCGTTTCTTTGTATTGATACGACTACCTTTCACCTCAGCCATCGAGATCCTGCCTTCAGTAAGTAGTCTTTCGGATTGTATGGTACGTCTCGCACAATACCTACAAGCAAGTTTACTTTCCGTGTAAGGACAAGCTTGTTGACAGTTTCACTGGTATCTCGGATTGACAGTCGATTTTTTTTAAGAAGTTAAAGACAAGATTAAAGGATCACGTTAGTATCTGCTTAGAAACTTAAACAATCGATTCGTCGGGTGATTACTTTTCAGATCTACAAAACAAAAGGAAAGTTGAGTATCGAGTCACTATAAGTTATATGCAGGATTCCGAGCGAATTGCAACCAGAAGAAATTGCTTTTTCCCAGGCACCATCCATAACTCACGGTACGTACTCGTCTAACCCGCTCAAATTGTTTGTATTAATTTCATCAAGTCGCAAAGGTCCAGTTTTCTGGTCAATTCAGCGGTTTGAAAATGGCTACCTGCGGCGGGATGAATCGCGAAAATGAGCGTGAAGAGAAGGGCATCAAAAGAGACAAGAAGAGGAAGTACAAGTCTTCAGAAGAAACGAAACCCAAGACTGAAAGCGGAGATGACGATTTCTACTCGGATGAGGTAAGAATATTTCTCCAATGAAGTAGCAAGAGTGCTAACCCTTTCTCTTGTAGGAAGAAAATCCTCAAGTCTCGAATCTTCGTCCGATGAACGCAAGTAGATCTAAGCATGGCAGCAATACCTTTGTGAAGAGCGACAGTGACGACGACAAACAATTCAAGAAAGCCAAATTCACAGTTATAAGTATGCATTCTATTCTAACATGGAAAACTTCCGCCGCTGACCATATAGAATTCCCACAAAGAAAAGTTTGTGCCGTCGTTAAACCAACTTCCAGCCTCCGTCAACACGAACATGAAAGAGATCTACGGAAGAGACTTGCCGAATTGAAGACAGCGATCCAAAATGTCTCCGAAGATTTGGGTGTAATTATGAGAAGCGATGAGGTCTCTACGGTAGATGCCTTGCACGAGCAAATTGGAAAGAGAGACAAAGAAATTTCAAAATTGAAGGATAAGATTATTACTACTGATGCCTTGCATAAGACAATGCAAGAGAAAGATGGTATTATCTCAGAATTGAGGGATGCGAATGGGAGGTTGCAAAGAGACTTTGCACAGCAGGCTGATAAGGTTAAAGCATTTGAGGATTGGAAGAGTTTGATGAAGTCAAATTTGGATCCTGGAGCTTCTGCAAAGAATTGATCTTAGAAGCGGGTTACTGGGAAGTGGCGAACGTAGAGGAAAGTTAAGAGAGTTAAGAAATATTCTAATCCCATGCCTCTTCCCTGAATTCAATTTTGTATTACTCAGTATGGCTATGAATATTCCAAAGAAAGAAAGATACGAAGATAGAATCTCATAAATGAACATTTCGTAATCACCATTAGTGATCATCAATGACCCTTTGGCATGACTTTTTACTCAGACTTTTGGAAACAAGAGACTTTAATTGTGTACAAGGTGCTATATACAAGTTAACCACAAAAAGAAAGGGGAGCATTTTGCTTAGGTTCAACAATAATGGCTTCCATTGATGCCGAAGTTAAATTACTCGATTTCGACATCACCTTCAAGCAGGATAGGTAGTATGGATGCAGATACTCTTGAGATTGACAAACGGAATGAGCACACAGAGACTTATCTTATGGAGAAAAAAAAGAAGATAACGGGAGCTCATAATGCTTTAGCATCGGCAAGTCCAGATGATAAATTACCAAAAAGATGCTTAGAAGTACTGGTTGGTATAAATAGAAAGATTTGGTAGATTTGGTATGCAAAGCAGTATTCAAGTAGTCCAGTAGGTTCGTATCTGCCTTGTGATATCAACCACTTCAGAACTGATGTATGAGATTCGATTGATCTAAAGCCACTCAAACTAAGGGAAACTCGGGATACATAGAAATAATCAAAGGACAGATTGCAATATCAGAGGCAGTTTCCCGGAAGCTATGCGTGACATCTCTGCTGTGCGGGGGCAATTGTTCCACCGGAGGAAGGAGCAATTCTTGTGGAAATATGCAGGATGAAATAATAAACATTGGGTATTCTCTGAGTAGTTGAGTGTTTGAACAAGAAAAATAGAAGGATCGAGTTGTCGGAAAGGATGTGCGTCAGTACTGCGTGATCACCAGATCACCAGATCACCAAGCGATGTTACAAAGTTTGCGTGTTGGCACAAGAGAGAAGCAAAACATTCTTTTTCGGGTTATAATGGACGAAAAGTTTCAGCATGCCAACGAGGTTCAAAAAGCTGAGGATATCCAAAAGGCCAAAGCCGAACCTTATAGAAGAAGATGGTTGAATTATGATTTACCAAGCAGGAAAGAGCTGATCAAAATGCGGCTTCGCTATTGCTAGTAATCCTGTGTATTTGCTCGAACAATCAGGTGTGAAAAAAGATCGAGGTGAATGAAATGATATTATGAGGCCTAAGTACATCGACGGCGAGAGATGTGAGTGATGGTGGCGTGGTGATTCACCCAAAACATTTGGAGAAGATTTTGAGGTTGACCCATGATTACTAATACTGAGCTACTGATGGTCGGTCTTAGGTTATCTACAGGCTCTTTCTCCCCCATTTCTCCCAATTACAGGCGTTTGAGCCCGAATTATAGGCTCTTCGATGCCCGTGTTGACAACCAGGTCAACGAAACCTCGAGAAACACTGATTTATTTTTATGTCCTCAGTCAGCAGTGATATTTAAGAATTCTTCCGCCACGGTACATGACAAAATTATGCTATTTCATTCATATTAAGATTACTGCAATCTAATTGAGATTTCTACCATTTAAACCATCTCCCTCCGAACATTGAGACAGTAATAAAATACGCCCAAAAATTACGTCCCACAAATGACGGCTCCTACGTCCTGGACCGTCCTTCACACCTCAATCAATAGGAATCTCTCAGACAATAAAACAGAGGATGTCCAAAAATGGCTTGAGATCATCAAACCAGTTACCAAAGTTTGTCAGCCTGGACTTGAGCATGGAGTCTGGGTACGATTGATCGAGCTAGGTGAAGAAGTATGGCTTGTCACTGCTTGGGAAGCCTTTGAAGCTATACAGCAATTTGAGCAATCGGATGCTCATAAGAAACAATTGAACGGGATGAAAGAGCTTTCGGAAGGAAGAGAACCAATCGTCACGCATGCCGGACTGTCAGGCGACTTTTGGAATATGTTGACGGAGTACACTGGGATTATGGATGTTTATTTTCCAGGAGAGATAGATGACAGAGCGAAGAAAAGGGTGGAAGATCTGAGAGGGTTGGTTTACTTCTTTGCTCCTGGGAAGAAGTCAGGGAAAAGTGCATACAGTGGGAGAGCGACAAAGGGATGACTGGATGAATTCGTTGAGTTTGTGAGAGAGCAAGCAAGAGTTATGAGATATATGCATTATTGGAATAGTAAAGAAGGGGAAGAAGAGTTCAAGACCGGATCAGCTTGCATATTCATCTTCATTAAGACGACGCATTGGGTAACGAACACAGTCGCTCAAAAGAGTCCTCCAAAATGCTTGGAAAGCACTTTCGGCTTTCGATAAAATTCTGGGGGCGTACATTAATGTTTTTGACACCTTGAGCTCGTCCGGGATCCATTCTGTAGTTAATTTTCTGTTAGGTATTGGGTAACGTCGATTCACTTCGCCTAGGTTAACACCTTCCACGATCAGTCGATCTTCATTTGTCACATTACAAGTCACACTGCATTTTAGCCCCCCAGCTTTGAATATTCTCCTTTGGGCGAAGATTAAGCGGACGGGCCAGCGTCGTCCAAGGTCAGGAACCCACGATGGTATGCCATGTGTAATGTCTTTGTTGACCACGTAATGTTTCCAACGACTTTGGCACAGAATATCAACATTCCCGACATGGTTGATATAAGCTGTAGCAAATTTTGTGAACACAGTCCTCTCGGTCGCGTCATAATCTGGTTGTAATCCCAAGGGATTTGAAGTGAGCGCCAGGAGAGCGAATAATTTATCTTTTGGATCAGTCGAATAAGTTTTCTGGAACCTCGCAAGAACATCCAATAAATGCGAGTCTTGTCCTGTTTCGATCTTCCCCGTAATAAGTCTTTGATGTTGTATAGCTTGAACTATTGAAAATACTACCTCGCAACTTGGGGCCGACATCGTAGCGATTAGTGACTGTCTCATCAAAGGCACCTGGAAATGTATCCACGGTGATGAGAAGTTTCTCCACAGAAGTCCAAGGAAGTGTGGAATGTCCCAAAATCAGAACAGGATCTGGTGCATATGCTATTTCCTGTATAATCCGCGAAAAGAAACATCGCCTTTAGACATCGAAAGTGGTGGTTATCCGCCACAAGTGCCGGTTCCATAGGTTCCTTAGCTACCTCTTTTATATCTTCGTTCAGTCTTTGCACCAGAGTTTGAGTATCCACAGGTTCGGATTGCTCTTTAGCTTCCCTATGTCTTGATAATAAGCCCTCGACCATCCTCAACCCAAGATCCATTACTACGTTTCTTTGTCCTAGCCATAACAGATCTTTCCAACATTTACTGTAAATATCCTTCATAAAAGTCAATTGATAATTTATTTCCACGACATCCACCTGATTAATACAAATAGCATCAACCCAAAGTGCCCGAACTTCCAAAGGATCCCTGAGATATCACAGGGCCTTTTCCAAGTTCAACGTAACCTGGAAGCTTTCTCCATTTACAATCATTGGGCTTGTTTCTTTTGGGTCACCCCAAACATAAGAAAACGCCTCACATCGTGGAGGATTTTTGATAGTAGAAGTGAAGAGCGAACATTCGAGTATGGAATCAAAGTCCTGTGAGGGTTTGAGATTTAGAAGCCGAAACTCTTTCTCGCGATTGAGCACATGGTATGAGAGCTTGTTCTTGCTGTGGTTCATTTCTTGTTCCCGTTTGTATGATATTTCAAAAGAAGGAAGAATTAAACAACATAATGTTTTGAAGTGATGGATGTTAAGTTCTTTCTACCGAATCTTGGCCAGCGACAAGTGGTGGGGTGTGGAGCATGGCCGTGGCCATCGGTTCGCCCAAATATACCAGATCATCTCGTGCGTAACGAAAAGGACTGCTAGGTGTAGAGTACTTAGACCCGACGGCGGGCGCTGGAGATCGTGATGGGGTTGGGGATTGCCAGTCAGAAAAAAACACTTATGACCCTGGTAAAGTTGTTTGACATCGATTTTGAAGCACAATAACATCAGATAGTAAAACTACTGCCACTTTGCCCGTTTAATTTACTGGGATTCTATTGAAGACCCAATAGATTACTTAAAGCAGAAGTTGGTGCAGTAGATTCTTAAAAAATCGGCTTATCTAACAGGTCAAGTGGCATAGCCCTGTAGCGGTTTTCATTGATTCGAAAGATGGCATGAGATCACCCATGGGCCACAATTTTATTAACTGAGTAATGCGAGGGAGCTCATAGATAAAAGCCCAGTAAAGAAACATTATATACATATAAAAGATAAGTCTTCCACCAATTTTCCTCCATTCCTTTCCTTCAACTAAACACTATGCCTAGCCAAATCCACTGTGCCATCGATAACTTAGATTGCCGTTCTTACTAAGATAGTATGACCAGGTGAAAATACATAAGAATCTGGGTTCACTAAACTTTAAGCACTTCTCTTATAGACCCCTTGCACCAAACATTAAGTTGGTTTTGCTACAGAAAATATCCTTAGCCACGCAAATATTCATTGAAAAATTCTATCGACTTACTAGCACTATTAGATGTACTATCAGCCCCTCGTCCATAAGTCAAATAGATCGATTCATAGAAGAGCGTTAATGATCTCGCCGAAGCATCATTTATTGGTACCGATTGGCCTTGGTCTCGATGACCTAGTCGTGGAGATTAGAGGAGTAGTGTGCATATTCAGCTCGATTCGAGGATTTTCCTTGTGGCATGTATTTGATCAGGCTATCTGTTCTGGTGTCGTCTAAGCCGGTGAAAGTGAGGAAGTTGGCTTTGGTTGAGAAGATGGAAATTGTTGATGAATGAGACCGCTGAAAGGATTTCCGATACCTGAGTTTAAGTCCGTATTTTGGAGAGTTGTGAGCCTGGAGGATTTCGAGTGCATCACAGAACCAATATGAATAAGCTATCGCCAGTGTATACATCAGATGAACTCAAACATCTACTTGTATTCCAATATCTATTTGAATTCAATCATTTCTTAAATAATTATCTACCTAAATTCAACTATTTATTTAAACTTAACCATCGACTTGAACTCAACCATCGACTTGTACCGGTGGTCCAGTACCCTCGAGCCCAACTTGCACACCATCAACGTACACCACAAGTGGAATCACAACGACTGTATCTTGCAAGCCTACTAGCTCAGTTTGTACCCCATTGGCCAAAGATCATGAGCAGTAAAACGACAGTCGCTTCTTGTACCCAAGCCCCTGTAAAACTTTTTTCATGGACTACGAATAAAGTGGAGCAAGATGGAGTCACAGCTACAGCCTTTAGTGCTGCGAAAGCTAGTAGTGTGTCTTCAGGAATTGATGTTCTTCTTTCCGAGTGAAACAATACCGGCGATAATTCAACAGAGACCAGCGGAATAGCATCATCATTCGAAAGTTAATATCCCAAAACACTCCCCAATTCCCCGACGACGTTTGCTACTTCAAGATTCTATTATCGACTGGAACGGCCCTCAAAAGAAATGAGCTTTATATTTGAAGTGTACGGCTCTTGTTGAATATTCGTTTCATTCTCATGTAAATTATCTTGCATTTTATATCTAGATCTGTCAGTAACCGGACCATGTATGTGGGAGTTTGTTGTCGATATAGAGAATGCATGCGTACCAAAATTCAGAAGTGCCTCATGAAAATCTAATACGTGTATCATTTCTGCTGGACCCACGATCGAGCTGAACGAGCCATCTGAGGGGTGATTGAGAACGGCAAGTGTAGCCCGGAACATCATTATGCCTTTGAACAAAACCAGCATGTCTTCCCGCCAATATTGAATTTATGTAAATCGCCGTCGATCATATGACCCTTGTAAGCACAAGCTTTGCGCAAAGTCTTGTACACCATTGTCGGGATAGAAATCCCAATCTTATGAAGAGCCCCAATGCAATCTTCCTGTCCAGGTGTCAGAGAAGAGGCTGGTGCAGAAACAATCATAAAAGGAGTTCTTTTGCTGACATCTTGTATTCCAAAATCAAGAGCTTGAAGCACGTCAAGCGGTTGATTATCATCACTCACTATGATGATGTCCGTTGACTTCAATTTATTCTTAACACAAGCAAGATAAGCTATTCCTTCATTCATTGGAACCATCTGACTCATCATGAGTCTCATGAAGTCAGCCCAGACTGTTCTTTGATAACTGGTCTGCTTTCGCAGAATCATCTTGTGCTCCTTTCGAGAATAAACGGCTCTTTTAGCGTGATAGTGGTTTGCTTTCAAAATTTGTGCAATTGCAAAACACTGCTTCCAAGTGTATCTTCCCCCACCGAATGCTGCAACAAGCCGTAAAGCTAATTGCCAACTACCATTGGCGAACAGAATTATTGTTATATCTCGAAGAAGACCACCATTTTCATCCCGAAAAACCTTACCTAAGCGCCTCACTATGTGACAGAAACCAGCCCAGCGACCAGATATATTTATGCTTCCGTCTTCAATGGTGACTTGGCCACTTTTGATATTTATTTTATCTAGCCCGGAATACTGGGAGGCCTTGTGGCGTGTCTTGAAAGGTGGCATTAGACAGTTTTGGCTTATAGATTCAGATAAAACCGGCGGAAGGAACATCCAGCGATGATGTCCTTGACGTATTGCCTCCTCCCACCAAAGAGCCCAGACATTATCTTGGCCAAAGACGATTCCTGGTTGTATGACTACACCCGAGGCTGCCATTGCACCATAAACCTCATCATCGGGAAAGGAAGCGGTACGATTGCCCAACAGTTCCATAACACGAGTCCGATCTATTTTGCCCGCTCCAGCATTAACCATTCCTGTGTAAAATTCATAAATTTTAGCATATTTCCCACCTATTGTTTCCTTGATGTCGAAGACATCACATAAGTCCGGCAATGCACTGAAAAGTGCATCATCTATTCGAAGACATACACTTTCTTTGCCAAGCCACACAATCTGCCGAGCAAGAATATACTCCTGTAGTGTCCAAATTCGATCAGCCCACCGAGTCCTCGTGAAAAATTCAAGACAATTCATCCCATCAATGATCTTCTGTCGCCCATCACCATGTGCCCAGTATTCCGACATAGATTCTGTATATTCCTCCTCCATAGATATTGCGATGGCTTCATCTAGATCCTTGGTGAGTTGATCCAAGTAATCCTGTGTCATCCAATTTGGAAAATCACAAGTTGTGACAATTACCACCACTTCCGCATTGCCGTATATGTCACCCATTAGAGGTATTTGGCGTTTCTTGTCTTCTTCATTATTTTGATCAATGCAAATTGTATCGATCCAGCAATACTTGATGTCAGGAAAGAGTTTGCGAACGGAAGTATCGATCATCATTCCACCTAATGTGTTTTTGTACTCAGTGTGTATTGCAAACATGTTATCGGACCACGCATGAGAAGCTGCAAGATAAGATGGCATCGAACTAATTGCATATGGCTCAAGTGCCCCGGAGTCCATATTGATCAACTTAGTTCGCGTCATGTTTGTAGTTTACGGTTGTTCTCAATGCGTGATGCGTCTTGCCAACAGGCATCGCCGTTGAAGTAGTGCTTCCGGTGATGATGAAGTCAATCTCGATCCGATCATGCTTGAAATTGAAGTCGAATTGTGGAATTATAGACTCGAGGACATCAAAGCCTGCGCACATAATATCCTGTCATGAGTGCGTTTCGGGGCTCATGAAATATTCCGTGCACAGAAGCTCAGACCACATCCTGGATTAGCCTCACTGACCTGATCAGAATTTATCAATATCACATACAGTAATGATTTATCCGAAAATCATCAAACTTTAGAATTGAACCGAATATTTGGATGGGAGCTATTACGTATTGCATAGTATTTTACACTTCACGGAGCGTCCAAATGAACTTGACTGCCGTTTATCCCGCACAGGTATTGCCCCGGAACGTCGCTGAACAATCTTGACAACTCGCATCATGAGCTTTCATTGCTGGGACCGGTAGTCCATATGCGAGTGGTCAATTTTATAAAGAGAATATTGCGGATAGCATTTTATAAAATTAGACTTTTCATCACCCACTGCCGCTCACATAATGAACGACAATCCACCATTAGCACTCAGGAGACTCCCAGTCATCCACGATGAATCTGGATCGCAAATAATTGCAATCATGCCTGCAATTTCATGATCATAAGCCGCTCTGCCGCCCAGCCGCTCACCTAAGTCTTTGACTTCCGGGCTATCTGTTTCTCTAACTGGCGCTAATGGCGTCAATGGATTCCATAGCGCCAATTCTTGTTTGACTTCCTCTGGAGCAGACAAATACATATCACTCATCACAGGTCCGGGGTTGATAGCATTGAATTTGGCATTCTCTGCCAATTCTCTGGCCCACACACGAGTCATCGCTTCCATCGTCGCTTTCGTCCCCGAGTACAAGGTCCTATTTGGTGTTCCGATCTTGGGATTGATACTAGACATGATCACGACGCGGCCGGATCGATCAGTGGGCAGAAATAGCTTGCAAGCTGCCGTCAAGAGTGTTGGACCTAGCACATTCACAGCGTAGATATGGTGGAATTCTTTCTCAACAACACTTTCTAGCTATTCCAGCACCAATACCTGAATTCTGGTAAAAATTGTATAAGGATTAAAGCTATAAGATGAGAGCTTACTTCTAGCGGATTCGGTTATAATGGCCAATTTACCTTCGTGGACACGCGGCTCTATGACAGGCCGTGAAAGTAATTGTGTTTCTGGCATATTTACTGGCTGAACTGCTGCGACGGGCGGACTGATATGGAGCTGAGCTTTACAATAACGTCATTCGAATGCTGTTGGACTTGAACCAACTATTAGCTAATATTGCGATAGCAGACTTGCGGCTTGGCCCAATTTCCGCTGCTGCTGACAGGAGAACTAGGTCTCCTCCACCATAGCACCTTCATATGCTCTTTCGAAGTGGTCGATGGAGAAATTTCCTGAAGGAACCGGCGATTGAGCGCAAAATCTATTATCTACTTCGTGCCTGGGAAATCGGCATAAGTTCCATGTTCTAGATATCAATCAGTACACATTATACTGCAGACGTTTTGGCCAAGATCGACCTATTAGAGAATTTTTGCAATTGAGTTTCCCGACAGCTGTGGGACGTAGTATTTCAGAAGCTTAAACCTTGTTGTGGATGCTAATATAGTAGTTTCGAACTGCCGACGAGGTTCTCAGGGTTTTGGCACCATCATTTCCATTATTTCCATTATTATTTCCCATTTTCCGTTCTCCATTTTCATGAAGATGGCCTCAAGTTTAGGCTAAAAAGGGGAGAATAGTTTTAGGATTTAGTATGCGAGAGCTGCGTGATAGTGTTGTGAACTATAGCCTTACGGGACTCAGCAAAGAGCTTATTTAGCAGCAAAGCTCAAAATACTTCTCTCACTTTCATTTTGTCAAAAGCACAAATTTAACCTCATTAGGAAACATGAGGTTTATCACACAGTGTTAGGTAATGCAAAAATTCTCTAATGCATATTTGCACTACCTTCCAAAGCACGTTTCATCTAAGGCACAACGATATTTTGGATGACTACTCCTGAGTCAGAAATTTTGGTCATTGGCATGGCTGTTAAAGACCGACCTCGTGAGCCAGCTGCATCCTGGCTTCCCAAATGAGCAGGGCAAATGTTACGGCATTTACCCATCCACGTGCGACCCCACAACCCTGCGCGCCGCAAACGCGCCTCTGCCAGCCCTTTTGTGGATTGCAGTAAGTTGCATTGCAGATTATGGCGGGATTTGGATTAAAGTTTTTTTCATTTCAACCTCGCACAAGTTTTCTACACCTATTTAACGTGATGCTAGGTGAATGCTATGCTACATCTAATTGCAGCGCCTTTCAGAAGCGAGATCCATGCTATTGGTTAAGTGATGCGTTCTCCTTTATAACTCTCACCCGGTAGTCCACGTTCTATAGTATCTAGAGGAACGCACTTAAGGTGGAAAGGCTGCCTCACGGAAAACTTTCCAATATTGGGCTTCATTTAAAGCAGCTAGTCTTTACAAGAAGCTCGTTACAGAAGTGCTGAATGAGGAAATTCAAAGCTGGATTCACCATAAACTAAATGGGGGCTGCTCTGCCAGTATGGGAGGTACTCGGGCCAATCATTGAGGATTCATCATCTCTGCTTCGGAAACCGTGCTTCGGGCAAAATAATTGCCATCAGCTCAAGATAGCCAATTGGGTCTCGTAGGAAAATAGGCTTACCCCTGATGGAATTTCGCTTGCGATCTGGAAGACCTAAAGGGGTGGTTTATGGATCACAGAATCTTACGGCAGCACGAGAGAGATAAAACCTGTACTCATATGCCCCGGCATCATTTCATTACTAAGCTATTAGAAAAAGAATCTCTTTTCGCAGTTTGTGACCAGGTGAATTAGCAAGCCATGTTTGAGTTGAGACACTCACTCAGTAAGTCATCACGCTTTATGAAACGTGGCAAAACATCAAATTGGAATGAAATTCAGACATGCTAATCAATTTAACACTAGTGAAAAATCCATGTGGTGTTAAGCAGCCTCATGATTGAAATGAAGTTGAAACTGGCTCGGAATCCAAACTGGCCGTAAAGTAGTTATCTATTTTTGAATTGCTTGTACTCAAGAAATTGGTAGCATACTCGACTACTTCGCTAAATAGCCTCCGTCCACGGGCAAACAAATACCAGTGACATATGATGCATTGTCTGATGAGAGCCACAAAGAGGCCTGTGCAACCTCGTGGGCCATTCCGAACCGATTTAAGATGCTGATCGTTGGAGCAAACTCTTCCATGGTAGTTCCAACAATTTCTAAAGCGGTGGCGGACATATCACTCTGCCTTGGATTAGCTTTTTGAAGTCTTTTATAGACGGGACATAGTGAACTCACAATGATAGCACCTGGCGCAACAGCGTTCACCCTGATTCCCTTTGGGCCGCCCTCCATAGCGGCATGCTTCGTCAAACCAATAATAGCATGCTTTGTTGCTGTATATGCAGGCATGTTTACTTGTGGTCTAAACGAATTGATGGATGCAATGTTGACAATAGAGCCTTTCGTGCCCTGCTTCAACATTTGTTGCATTTCCCACTTGCAACAACAATGCAGTACCAGTCAAGTTAATGCCTACGAGATTATTCCAGTAGACTTCATCGAACTCGATAAGCTGTGTTCTGTCCGGGGTAAGGGCGGCGTTGTTGACAGCTACATCAAGTTTACCGAACTTCTCTAATGTTACCGCGATAAGATTTCGAACATCTTCTGACTTGGAAATGTCGCATCGCACAAAAATAATGTCTCCAAACTTAGATAGCTCTTTCTCTGTCGCTTGACCCTCAACTTCTTTCACATCCGCAATAACCACTTGAGCACCGGCTCGTAGGAACGCTGAGGCGGTGGCCTTCCCCATACCCCGTGCGCCACCTGTCACGATCGCCACCTTACCCTTCAAAACAGGGTAGACGGTGGCCTCTGGAACATCCATATTGTGCGGTGGTAAAAGGCAAAAGATGAAAGTATGTGCTTGACATGAGTTGAAATAGGGACGGAGTTTTTTCGTAGAGGGAATGTGGATAGAGGCGTCAGTAGTCGGATATCAATTCCACACGTTTACTATCAAACCAAGTGGGCAGCTCAATTGTCTTGGCACATCAAAACTGAAAATAAGAGTGAGATGATATGCTACGTTAAAATCATTGAAATAAAATACAAGTCTTCGAGCTCAGAAGTCTTTTTGTATTGCTAATTTTTGAAAGTGGCTATTCGTGCGGCCAGAAAGTATATCACACATTCCTAATATGGTTTAAACAGGAGTGGGGAAATTCTCCGAGATTTTTAAGGGTTTAGTTTTTGTTTGTGTATACTCAATTTAGCAAGGTCAAACTTCGAAGCGAGCAAATTAAAGATTTTTGACTTCTTTTCTATGGATTTTTAAAGTGGAATTATGAAAAACGAATGATTCTACTCGCTAAAAAACTTTTTTTTAAGGTTTAGCGCTCAAAATCTAAACTAGAATAGGAATGTGTGATATACTTTCTGGCCGCACGAGTACCATTTCAGCGATGTACATGAGGTCAAGCTAGGTCTCCATCTCATGCCGTTAAATCAAATGCCACATTACACCTAGAGTATTTTGTTGCTCCATTTGCATCAGATTTTCTATGGCATACCAAAACCGACGTTTACGCGAAATATTCTACAATCATAGAAGCTTTAGTCACACCTATTCGGTTCCAATCTATCCGTTCTTAAATTTTCAGCAGTGGGGCCAGGAACCACGCTGCTCTTGTACGTTCTGGGGGTAACCAACTGTCTGGATTTCGAACGTTCAAGCTTATGGCATGGCATGGCAGTTTGAGAAATTGATGTGCGGTTTTGTTGTGGGGAGTCGTTAGTCACGCTGCAACATGCAATGTACCGTATAAACTCAGTGAACTCAGCTCAAGCCCATTCCTTTTTGAGAATTAGCTTTCTCGTTTCAAATAAGATGGATTGAATGGAATATATTATAAGGATAAAGTAAGTATAGTGAATGATTTCCCTCGCTTTAGCGACGGAGATGGCACTTAAAAGAGTTTGGGCACATGCTGAGTTAAGTGAGTTTATACGATATGGTACCTGATCTTCCTCATCACTCAGTCCAAGTAAGGGATTCTCGGCACCTAGGCCACTCTAAAATTTATTCTGTTTTTCTCTCATCAACCTCGAAAGTCGGTGGCAACGAAGATCCCGCATTTGCGGTGTAATTGACTCGATCCGAACATCAAATTCACCTGATATCTTTGCAATGGTACTTAGTGCAGAAACTTTTAGTCTTGATTCGGCAATATGGACACTCGAAATCTAGAAACTTGCAAATAGCGTCGGCGACTGCTGCATTTGAAATCCATAGGAAAAATGATTCTTGGATGATACGAGTTAGAAAGCCAGGGATTTCATCTGATCTCGCGGAGTGTTCAGTTTATTGCAAGCTCTTCCCATCAGCTGCGAATCTGTATCCTTTCCAGAGAAGCCTTTCATAACATTCGCAATCAACCATTTCTCATTAGATAGTCGCCTCAAGAAAATTTCTCTACGACATTAGATGTGGCAGAGATAGAGGCTAAAGAACCTGTGCCACACACTGATGAAAAGCCATCCTTAGAGAAGGGTAGTTCCAGCCGGGAAGATGGAATTGAAATTCCAAGACATACAAGCTTCGTCAATGTCATGGTATGAAACTTTGTTTATTCTGTAAATTGGCAATAATTAATGACTCTTAGGTCTTAGTGACAGCTTGTCTTGGTGGTTTCCTTTATGGATTTGCCACCAACGCGATTCCCAGCACAGTTGCTCAGCCGACTTTTATCGCCAAATTTTTGATCACTTCGCAGGCTCTACAACTCATAGATGGAATTCTTGGAGGGTAAGGAAATTAGGTTATTTGCTTTTGGACTCTGCAGCTGACTCCAATTAGACTCTTAGGCGGTTCTATGGTGGGCTCTATTTTGCAAGCACCAGTCTCCAACAAATTTGATCGATGTATCGCCAATGCCGTGGCAGCATGCATTGTAATCTTTGCGGCTGCCATATCAGCCGGAGCTGTCAATGTCTCCGTGTTTATTTCTGGTCGATTTTTCACTGGTTTTGGCGCTGGTATGGTTCTCGCCAACTCTCCAGCGTATATGAGTGAAGTTGCGCATCCTCACAACCGTGGTATGCTTGTTGGACTCCAGGGTATTGATATTTGCCGCATCTATCATGGCTCCAGTCTGCGCACTGGGATTCAATTTTGTCGAAGCTGATATCCAATGGAGATTGGTTTTCATCGTACTCTGCGGAGACTATCTCGGTACACCTGCAGGTCCTGGTGTCAGAGCACTCGTTGCTCTTTACTTCATCATGGGTGCATTCTTCACTTCGACGATCGAGTGTACTTCCTACATTTACGGCTCCGAAATTTGGCCAACGCATTTACGTAGTGAGTGTTCCACCATTGCATATCTCAGTTTCTTTGGAAACGCTATCGCGTGTAGTGCTTCCGTCTCTGTTGGTTTGAACAATATTGGCTGGAAGTTTTACATGATTCTTATCTGTGTTACTGTCGTCACCACCATCATGATTGTTATTTGGTTCCTGGATGTAATGCTTCCATCATAACACCCCATTTTAATTGTGACTAATAAATGATAGACAATGGGCTTAACATTGGAGGAGATTTAATGTTACATTTGGCGAAAAAGCCGAATTGGAGCTTAAGGGTGCTCTTTACAACGAGAATGAGTCGACGACATCTGATCCTTCCAAGCCAGAATCTGCTGTAGCCGCTTAAAACCACCACCACGCCCTAAATACAGGCATACGACTTTTTATGCCGACTATGCCAATCCTGAATGGCCCAAAGTATATAAATCTCCGACGGAACGAAGACAATGAAGACAACCTAGAATGTTATGACGACGGCCTTAATGATTAATTAGTAATAACATTTTTTTAAAAACATTTAACGCGCGTCATGTTCTAGCTTCTTAAAGTTCCTCTGCTATTCTTTCTGTATTTAGATTCAGGTTGTTGCACCCTCGGCTTTTGCTGCCTGGTTCCTGACCGTAAGATTACCGGGCACCAACAAGGTTCTGGGCCCCGAAAAGAAGCTTGAATACTCTTTTATCAAAGTTAAGAAACCAGATAGTACATCCCAAAAGCCTACCATTCTTCTGCTTTTACAAAAATATGGGAACTGGAACCTAGAAACTCAAAAGTAGTCGTTATAACCAACCGAATCTTAAACTTATCATTTTCTAAAATAAAGTGTGCATATCAATGGGCAATGTTTTGACTTACAACATGTCTAACTTTGAATATAGGTATTATAAATATACATGAGCTACGCACTGAAGCAAGATAACAAGTGCCGTCTGTATTTCCGCCCCCCTAACTTTTCTGGCATGACATCCCAGCTACGCGAGGCGAAAAAGCGAACCGGGGTATTCCATGGAAAATTTTTGTCAAGGTCAAAGTACCGTCTTATCTCCTCACAAAACTCTGATTCTAACTAACAGGATTAATCTAAAGCTGGGGAAGCCAAGCGGTGTTGTATAGTTGGAAGAATTGGTAGAGGGGATAATTTTGCCGAGTTTTACTATCCACTTCCCGTTTGTATCTAGGTATGGACATTTTCGAAATTTGAGTGGAAGCGAGAAATGCTAAAGCTAAATGCGGTTAGTTAGAAAGTAAGTTAAGGTTTCTTCTGTGAAATATTTTCTGATATATGTCTATCATTCCCATTGGGGTTGAGCCAAGAGAGGAAACTTCTCAAAGAGCGGAGCAGTTTCTTTAGTAATAATTTACCAATGACAGTGTTTGTATCACTTTGGGTGATACTATTCGCATAGTAATATTATGGGTTTAATGGTTATTCAGTCTTGATCATTATATCTATCTAGAGAGGTCCCTATTTATATTCAAGAGGCGTACTACGGTTCTACCATAGTACGGTTCTATATGAGGCTAATCATATGACCGTAATTACAGACAGATTTCCATCAAAGGTAACCATGCTTCATCGGCAACATTCACTTAAAGTCCTAAATAAGATCTTACAATCTAACTTGCAAGCTTGGTATGTTGTATAGACTTATGAGATCTCTACTCTTCTAGTAATGAAAAGAATTCCCACTTACTCGTTTATACCAGAATGGAAATTATCCTTTTTGTGCCCACGGGTATTATCCATATAGTTTGTAGAAGGCCAAGGGGGGGATGGTCGCTACGTGGGGCCGCCGAAACTACCAAACACCCGCTTTGAGAGCTATTTGACGCTCGCCGCTGTGCTATTCAATACCCGAGGATTCGTTCACTGGGAAGGGCCGGTTTATGAGATTGAAAGTTGGTGCCGTTCACAACATCACCTTCATCCCAAATGTTTTTTCAACCCGATCCATTATGAAACTCTATGGCTTTAAGTACTTTGATACATGCAAGAACGTTACAAGATTTCCAGAATGAAACGTGATCTTCTTATGCTCATTCATCATTCAAAAAGGGCGCTGTCCACTAAATATCGATAGCACCGATCACAGTTTTCGAGGAAAAGCATTTTGAACACACCTTAATCAAGAACTTGAAGAGGCATCATACAGTGAAAAGTGTTACAATCAAGCAAAAAAGAAGCTGATAATGCACTTTTTGTTGATACTAACAAGCTGGGGCCGAAGGTGAACAAGAAAAGAATCACAGGGTTTTTTGACGTTCTTTATCATCTATAAAGTTGCAAAACGTGTCTCTTCCTGCATATTCACAAAGCCACTTGTTTATTAGTTCTTGGCTCCTGACAGTTATGCTTGATCGAGCCCCACAGCAAACATTCTCAACAGTTAAATTTCCCGACGTGCCCATGTGGGTAGTGGATAGCGTCTGCTCCTTTAGTTTGGATTACCTCGCTTTGGTCGTGCAAAGGCAGGTTGTGGCGAGATCCATCAAGGAGCTGATGATCCTAATCGTAGACCTCAATTATTCCTTAATATGAGCAATTCGTGGAAATGCGTGCATCGGATTGACAAGTGTTTGTCCACGACAACGGAAGATTTTCGTTATTATTTCGTTTTCATCTCGTCTATGATTGCGGGCTTGCAATGGCCAAATGCCGCCGGTAGCTACCGTACTAAATGTAAGCCATGTAGGTGACCCTCACTGGCTACGATTGTTCGAGTCCGACTTGAAGGGTAGCAATCTCCCAGGGCTTGTTACGCATAGAAGTTTCTCCAATGCTGGCTTGAGAAATCCCAGTTCTTTGTTTTGAAACCGAAATGATATATAAATAGGACCAAGAAATCGTCACAAGAGAGCCAAATACCATATGTCGTCTTTTCTTTACTAAGAGTGGTGGGTATCGAATGCAGAAACGTCGTCGTTTCGGATAGCAACACTCGTTAAGCACAATTAATACTCACGATCTTTAAAATGACAGTTCCACTCACATCAAAGGGCCTGCAATTATTAGGCGTCCTGTGGTTGGAAGTTGTCCTGTCTCTATTGTGTATTCTCTTCGATTATATACATGTAACTTTGTTGGTGGTACGCCGGGTTCTGATGATTGCCTTTTAATAATCAGCTGGGTGAGCCTCTTAACCTCTTATGATATTGCTTCATTTTTGCAAGTCTTTGCTAGCTGTATTAAAGCGCTTTAACTAGGCTTTGATGACAGCTTTTGCAGCATGCACTTCACGCTCGGTATCATACGGCATGGGAACCCATGCTGCTGAGTTGGATTTTGACGATAACTCTCGTGGCATCCTATGGCTTCTGATAGGCCAATTCATCATTGCAGTTGCCATTGGAATAAGGAAGTGTGCTGTAGCGATTTTCTTAATTCGAATTGTAACCAAAACTTTGTAAGTTTTATCGTGTATATGATATCAAAAGGTAAAAACTAACTGAAGATTCACAGGCATAAGATTTTGCTGTACTTTTGGATTTTGTCCATTCTGTTTCTGAGTTTCTTGCTGGCAATTGCTGTATTTGTGCAATGCACTCCACTTGAGTCTTTCTGGGACTCTCGTATTGAGGGTACATGCACGCTGAGTTTGATAGTCATAGCAAAGGTTATGTGCTGTTGGTTCCCTGCCCAAGTTTGATCGCAGCAATAGTAATGCTAACTAATATCTCTAGCTTGGTCCGCAGCTATGGACTTTTTTCTAGCGGTATTTCCTCGGGCAGTTATTTGGGGCATCAACATGAAACGGAAAGAAAATATCACAATCTGCGTGTCTTTGAGTCTAGGAATCATGTAAGTTCTAATTGATGTTCTTTAATAATACTATATTGACATATAATCTAGTGCTGGTATATGTGGTGTTGTCCGTACCACGACGTTAGACTCTCTGGGGGAGACTGACGACTATTTATGTGAGTATCTACTTCCCCATTCTCGACTCACCATTATATCTGTTTGATTTTAATACATTATCTCTCCAGATGCTGTCAGTGACTCTGTCATGTGGACCATGTCGCAGCGTTGCGCCACTATCATCTGCGTCATCATTTCCACTCTTCGACCCCTCTATAACCGATTAACAGGACGTAGCTCTGCCGATGGGCCCTATCAAAACTATGGCTGCGACAATCGTAAGTCTTTCGGTGGCAATGGAGCTGGTGGCGAGTACAACATGAAATCGGTGAAGCGAGGAAAGAAGGATCCAACTCTTTACGATATGGAAATTACACGAGGGGGACCGGATACCAATTCTGATAGCGACACTCACATTCTCTCACAGTGGCTGCATGATCAAAAAATGCAAGCATTAGCCGCCTACGCGAGGTTTCGGTTACTTATGAAGATGAGCAAAGCGCGGTTAGTAGTAAACAACACGTCTAGATGAATGACTGATGGTTGCTTTCTGACTAAAATATTTTCATGTGGGAACGATACCTATGCGTGCATGGAATGGATAATATCAGTGTTGTAGTTAGTATTTTCATGCAGAGCCAGGAAGGAATTTGAGTCATTCGCAAATTACGCATTAAAAGCTAGGTAGATTTGGCAGAACTGCCTTTCTGATTATTACTTGGTAAGATCTTACCATGCGACAAGGATCTTTTCGATTTGGCTAGGCATGCATTCCTTTTTAACAGTTTGCCGACTCAATTCAAAGCTTAGGCGACGTGTTTAGATATCTCCTTAGGTCTTTGACCTCTTCCTTGATTGCAAGTTCGCTCAAAATTTCCTCGCTCCCACCACCTGAAAATATTAGCATGGCTTCCTCTAAGAAGAAATCGAAGCCTCAAAGATACTTCACTTAGAGATTGCACTTACCAACAGCCATAACTCGTACATCTCTTGAAATCGCTTCGATCCTGGGAGCATTATTAGCATGAATTATGATTTTACAGAAACGCAATGAGCTTACCTTCCACCTTTTCCACCTCGGGCATAACCCAAGCCACCCATAACTTGTTGGGCTTCTCTCACACACTTCTCCAGACAGCGAGTACTAACAACTTTTAGCATTGCCGTCATACCTCCAATTCTCACATTATTATTCTCTCCACCCTTCCTACTCAATTCTATCAACCAAGTTAATTGCTCCAGAAATGCTTGCGCAGGTTCGATCATTCTTCCCATCTTCACAAATTTTGCTTGAATGACTGGGTTCTCAATCAACTTTTCCCCAAATGTTTCACGCGTACAAGCGTGATTCCACGCATCCTCCGCACATACTCTGCTCAATCGAATGGCCGACGTAGCAAGACTCTTGCGCTCGGCGTTGAAATTTGACATGATGACTTCAAATCCGCGATTTTCTTTATGTAAGAGATTTCCAACAGGGACCTTCACATCATCGAATGTAATGAATGTGCTCCCAGATGCATCAACTCCCGAGTTGTGCATCATTCTTCGAAGAACCCCTTCAGCTTTCAAAGGAATGATGAGGAGTGAGATTCCCGCTGCACAAGCACCCCCGGTACGAACTGCTGCTGTGACATAATCGGCCCAAATAGCATTAGTGATCCATTTTTTCGAGCCATTGACAACATAATGGTCGTCTTTCCTGATTGGAGTAGTTTTAATATTGGCTACATCGGAGCCAGCATAAGGCTCCGTGATGCCAAGACAAAATCTTATACTGCCATTTGCAACACCCGGCAGAAATTTAGCTTTCTGTTCTTCTGTTCCGAATTTGACTAATGGAGGGATGCGAATTTCATTGCCTCCTCCGAGGCCCCATAGTACGCCGGTATATGCCTGGGTCGTGTCAGTATGGAAGGCAATGTACGACCCAAAGATCTTACCACACGCGACATTTCATCCGTAACAATCAGACTATGCCAGGAATCCCATTCCTCAAATTTAATATCTCCGGGTAAATTTACATCTGGAAGTCCCATGCCCAAAGCTAGATAACCTAGCTGGGCATGACGTCTCCATGCCTATTTAATTCATTAGTAGCGTTCTAAGATCACGAGCTACACACGTACCGTGTCTGGTACTTTGCCTGCGGATTCCCAATCAAAAGCATATGGCAATATCTCTTCATCAACATATTTGCGCACTGCTGCGCGGAGTTTACGATGAGAAGCTGTGTAATGTGGAGAAACGTTGCGGGAGTACCACAATGGCTCGGCATATGGGGTTGGAGAGCCAAAGGATTCATGCGCGATATCATTTGATGGTGATACTGGAGTTTCCTTCGAGGTTGTCGCCGGAATAGAAATTTTGTGGATATTTCTGTGATAATATAACGGTCTTGATAAGATTATTGATAAATAAAGGAGATTTTGATGTTTTTGACTTTATGATCACAGCAATTGGACCTAGGCATCTTTAGAGTGATGATCTGCATGATGACTCGTGAATAGTTCTAACATATTTCGAATGTAATAGCAAAATTCATACAATAAACCAACGACTTCTATTCTCGGTCAATTGCAAAATCGATGAATATAGGAGTAGATTTATCATGATAACCATTATGGGGCCATTTGAAAGGGATGCACAATGACTCGGATAAAATCACGAGGTGCCGGCTATGTTCAGTTTTCGGACAACGTACATACCCGTCCGGTTTCCGCTGATGATATTTTGATGCCTTTACGTTTCAAGGTTAGGAGTACAATACTGTATATTCCCCTGCAGAAAAATAAGAGGACAGATAAGGTTTAGGCTTGAAATAGGTTTTGATAGCATTCTGACCTTATCCGCTCTGAATAAGTGATGCCTGATAGCATTCTTACGTCCGAAATCATCTCAAGTCAACTGGTCTCACGTCATTTAAATCTGCGTCAAACACCATGAATCCCAAACACATATGCATTCGTAATGTGATCGTCTCTTATTGATTCCGTGCCAATCATTCTACTGTACAAAATGTTCCGTAGAATGCTCAAACCGGCCACCCACCCGGAATAGTAATAACTGAACGCCTGAATTTCTTACAATACCCTACAAAAATCTTTTCTTCCCCATGTCCTGGAAATCATATGGTTTACTCTGTCAATATGTCTCTCAGTCTATCCACCTGATCTTTCAAGAACCCGCCATTCCATGTCCAAGCTTTGAGATAGCCTCTTCTTTTGAACGCTATCAAATCTCTCCTCAGTTTCTTGGATAATTGTATTAAGTCCTCGTTTCCTCCCAGTAAGTCTCTGTTGCGCTCATCTTCGAAGTCCATGAGGAGTGGAAAGGACGATCGGAATAGGGCGGTAAAAACGCTTGTGAGGAGGTTGAGGGAGTGCTTTTGATGGGATGCATATGATGCTGTTGTTTGATGTGACGCTATGGATTGTTAGAACCTTAAATATGTAGAAACCATTGAGGGATAATATGTGAAAGAACACGCACGAGATTTTTTCCTTTCCCTCGAATTGATAAGGTGGCTCGTTTTCAAGCTTTGCAATCTTGTCAGCAACCACAGCACTAGTGCCACTGGGAGAGTGGCATCTTTCGCCAATTGCCCGGACGTTTTGAAAACTAGACGCTGGAGCTCTTGGTACACAAGACTTTCCGCGTTATAGAGGAGATTGAAGAGTTTTGTCTCAAGCTGTGCTCGTAGTGCGGAGTAGTGGGTAGCCATATCCTGCTCTCCAATTATTGCTGTGATTTTCAATCCTTTACATAGCATGTCACTGAAAGCTACGAGCTTGGTTGTGTTTCTTACCAGATCTGCCTTCTCAGCGTTAGTTCCATAACTAATAGTGCAACTAATCGAAATAGATGATACCAACTTACATGGGGCAGCTGTTCCTTAGCGTATGCGACCCCGAATAGGAAAGAGGTGGAATTCGCATCATCTAATTTGTTGTGGTACGTGTATTCCATGACCCAGTTTTCAAGTTCTATTGATGAGCAGAATTTAGAGTCCAAAATAGTAACGGTACCTGGCTGATTCAGGCGGGCATCTTGCTGGGATGAGAACCTGGAGTTGAATATAGTTATTCGGCGAAGTTCTTCTAGTACATCCTCACTCAGGGATGAAAATTGTACTTCGATAACTTTAAGGCACAAAGGAGAAGAGAAATGCCCTTTTCCATCAACCTTGATGGTTCTGCGTTGACCATCTACATCTAAAAAGCCGACATTGAAGTTGGTTATACATTCAACGCAGCCGCTGGAGTAGACTGTGGCTTCAGTATCAGAGGCTTCCCACAAAGATGGAGTTCTTACATTCACTTATCGAGAGTTCAACGAAAGGTGATTTTCTTGTACACAAGGATGCCGCAGACTCCACACTACCAGCCCGTCGAACACATAACATACAAGGCTCGCTTGTTCCGCACTGAGTCATCAGCTAAATAATTTAATGCAAGATCAAGGTCAACTTACAGTTCGTTTTCTAAACTTGCACTGAACGCAAGCACCAACACTTCTTACTGCCTCCACTTTCTTTTTCCCTTCTGGTGTAAAAGCACTACGAGCTTTGCGCTTTAGTGGTTGATTCGCATTCACATGAAAAACTGAACTCAAAGATTCTTGTGATGCTACCGACTGCGACTGTGGCCGAGACGTCAAAGGGATCCTCAAATCCAGCTTGAAGACATGTGCCTGTGGTATGTTTGGTTCTCGCCTCTTCTTGTCTTCAGAAGGTCCCCGTTTCTTACGGGAATGCTCTAGGTTTTCATGGCTACCATGCTCATAATATTCTCCTTCCATCACATGATGGCTTTGTGAAGATCCCAGGTTTTTCCGCGACGTTAGTGACTTTTTCCTATAGTACCCATCGAGCACCCTTGAAGGCTGTGCTTTACTGCTGGACCTGGCTCCAGTGCTACCAGTAACAATTGACCGAGACTGTAACTGTTCGTATATGGGTGCTACTCCGTTGAATAGAGGCTGGGAAGTGTAGGGTTGTTCACCAAGCATTTGAGGAAAAAAATAAATTTCATGGCCGAGGTAAAAGTCTGGAGATGGAGAGTGATTGAAACCAATTGACTCATTGATATCATTCGGAAAGCCATTAAAGCTCGAAGAATAGAACTCGTTGTTCATAACCCCATAGTAAGAAGATCTTCCGGGGCCTGCCATGCCGTGAACTATTACATCAATTGTTAGCAGTAGGTTCGACTGAACAAGGATCGGGACACAAATTGCCAGTCATGGAATATCATCGCTGTGTTGAACGGCGGTAAATTCAGGGAGATTGTATCCTTAAAAGAAGTATGGACATCTGGTCACTTGTACAATGATTGATATCTTCAAATCAGGCAAGAAAGGTTTCTATGCATGGAAGGGAATACACATTGGAACATTCGTGGTATTCAAAGTGCAAACAGCCATTGTAGGCCCCCACCACAGAGCTTGGTTTTCTCTTGGTTACATAGGCCCAGATAAAAGCCATGTGGAAATAATTCTGGTTCTTGTATGGAATATCATGATGACGAGAAAGAACGAGGTACCATCTGGCTGCCATGACGGCAATGAGGTAATGACCCGATACATCTTTAGTAGACCGGGGATATAGAAGGTTTCCAGAATATGGCTTGCCTAATGTAACGGTAGCTACCCTGTCTGACACATGGTGAATTGCCTATCAGGGTTTTACGGATGTGCCTCAGCCTTGCGTGGAAAAATTTGATCTTGGGGCTGGAGTATTTAGCATGTCGCACGGAGTAAGCTGCATAAAAACCTGCATACACGTTGTTACGCGAAACTTTTCGGTTGTAGAACGGTCTCAATTGAGTAAGTGATCGCGATATTTCCAAAAATATAAGACCTCTCCTATGTTCATTTGAATTATTCAGCTTTCAAAGTCCGTCAATCGTTGTCGCGACATGCAGATGAAACACACCGTTAATTTGTGCCGAATCGTTTCAGGTAATTTATCTTCCCCATCCAGTCTCATTCTTGGCTATTTCCATCCCTACGTCAATCTTATCCAATCTACAAAGTAAACTTGGCAATTTCTTTTATACCTGCACCGTAACCCATTTTTAGATTTCCCTTTTCGATCATAAGACCTACCATTCTCATCATTCTCACCATTCTCACCAGCATTTCTCCGTCATACACAAATCTCTCCTGGATTTGCAAGCTTTTTCATGATGATTGAGATGTAATCGATTTCAATGTTGCCAAATATATCATCCATAAATGCCTTCCATCGAAACTTTTCGGCGCTGCTATTGCCGCTGCAATGTCTACGACTGACAAAAGATAATCGATAATTTAATTCCTATTTTTTTTTGGGAGCACCAGGAGCATTGTTAAACCTGACTACATGGATGTTCGCACAGCGTTCATCAGCGGTGTATCTAAGTTTTCACATATTCGTCAAGCACAGAGATATTTTTCATCAGAAATTTAGCATATTCCAGAATGAGCGCATTTTGCCATTCGCCTTGTATTAATTTTCATGCTTCTTCCATCACAATAGTCAGATCCGGATCGTCCATGACTTGTGGGTGATGGCAATATTAACTATCCATGCGTCAAAGACAGGGCGTCAGGCCCTGCAGATTCAACGAGTTTGATTGACCTTCCACTTGGTATAATGGGCTGAAAGAATAAGGAGGTGAGAGATTGACAACGCAAGAAAGGTATGATAGAGTGAAGGTGCCAAGAACCAAGGAAGCTCACATGGGGACTGATGTGTTACCAGCAAGACTCGGGCTGATCTGACCCGGTTCCTGCGGGGTGCTTAATTATAGGAGAAAGTTGGCTGCATGGTTTATTTTCTTGCAGCGGCCTCTTTCTGTTACATCCAAATTTGTCGCCAGCTAGCTTTGGCAATCAGGACGGTCTTAACACCTGGTAGATGTTTGCTGCCTAGAGGCAATTACAACTTTGAAATGCCCCATCACAAAATTGCGGGATCATGGGTTAAGATACAATGCAATGCTTCTTCCACCCATGAATTTGTTGAGTAGCACACACTTATGCATCGCATTATTGATGAGACTATCAGTTATTAGCGATATAAACAAGAGAATAACATAAAGCAACAATATGTAAGCAGTATTTGCATCTCCTGGAGGTAAAAGCTTGTTCTCCTAAAAGAAGATGTGGAGGAGAAATTTAGAAGAAAGGAGGAAGTTGGATTGAGCGTCGATCCGCTTACATAATCAATTCCTGATCCCATGCCTTACTTGTAGCTTGTGAACTCAGCCTTCGTCTGATAGTTTTCCAACCTTGAAGACTCCCATTTCTTGAGGTTGTTTCTGCGACAGTCCTCACAGTTGCGTCGCCATGACGTCTCCGGACTCAAAGCCATACATCATACAATGGCTGCTCGACACAAGGCTATTGTGGCCCCTCCACCGCAAAGATAAGCCGAGAGAGGAGGTCGCAGAACTGAGGACAGCTGTGGGTATATAGTTTGCTGGGCGCTCTGCTTGTCTAAATTGACAGATATGTTAGGCTTCTCGAGCTTTGGCACTCCTCTCTGAATCGGAGCAAGAATCGGTCCTGAAATATTATCACGTCAAAGATGCGAAAATGAGCTTAGCCTCGCACCTCCTAAAGCACCTTGTCATTGCAAAATATTGCAATGTGCCTTGGTCGAAGAGTACAATTTCTCGAGAGTCAAATGGAAAGCCTTGTTATCACTCAACCGCAGATCAACCTCGACTTGAATTCAATGTAAGTCATCAGGCTGGACTTGTTACATTAATTGCTGTGATCGGGGGTGATGGAACAATAAATGTGGGAACGGACATCGTGTGTGCCAACGAACGATTGCCGCATGATTATAAATATATAGAAAAGAGTGGGTTTTTTGATTGGGTCGACATGCACGGAGAAGTGTTCGCAGATTCAGAGATCAACTTTATGAAGCTTTCGTCGCTTGGACTCGAAGAAGTTGTGCCCGGCAAGAAGCTTCATGGATATGGCAACGATGCGCTTTCGAGATGTCAGTGGAGAAACAGGCAATTGGATCTTGTCATCGAGGACTCTGAAGGAAATACCGCACAATCAAGAATTGATAGTAATAAGGTCATTGATGCGAAGCTTAGACGATTCTATGCCATGTGGTGTTTGCGAGAAAGCTATGTCAAAATGACAGGAGAAGCTTTGCTTGCACCGTGGCTTAAGGACTTAGAGATTTGCGACGTTCAAACCCCAATTGCGCCCGAGGTTGATGATCTAAATTCTTTGGAAAGAGGGCAGATAACAAAAAATTATCGAATTATATTCAAGGGTCGCGCAGTTACTAACGTACACATGGAATTAGCTGCGCTAGGTCAGCATTACATGGTGGGTGGTGCTGTAAGGGTGAGAGAGAACGACGCAAAGCTAGAGTTGGGCCCGTGGAAAGAGCTCAATCTTGACACTGATATCTTGGAGGTTGCGGAGGCGAAATCCTAGAAGGCGGAACTATTTCTGTACAAGCCGGATTCTATGTGCCATATAGAGCATTGTCGTGGGCTTTCTATAAGAGTTTGGTGCTTGCAAGTCGACCACCAGAGACGATTTGGCGGTGTTTTCGAAATGTGTGGTGTAACACGGTTCGTGTATTGAGGCTAGCAATTCAAGTGCGCCGTCATTCAAAGCAGGCTTTCAAACACGGTTTTCCCTCAACTTACTCGTTGAGTGTCCGTTCCAGACGGAATGTGGTGGGATCAATTTTGGATTGTCGCCGGTCTTTCCCAATTCAACTTTTTTTATAGTTTTCCCAGCCAGTGGCTAGGAACTCCATTTGTGTCCCACAACTATTTTAGCTTTACTCTGGATCATTACGCATGATGCTTCATGTAATCTCAAGCATGTCTTTTCGAAGAATTTTATGAGCACCGAATTTATGCAGACATTCAGAAACCGTTACTTTCCAATATGTTCACTTCGTTTCCTATTCTAGTTCTACACAAATGTCTCCCCTTTTTAGATACACGTATATACATGGCATATTCATGTGCCTCTAAAGTGGCACTCTCAAGGGAGCAATAATCTCTGATCTTCAAAAACATCTATGAAAGATGAGTGCTATTGAAGGTGAGTGGATCAGATTAGGATCGAGAAATACTCCTATCGCCTGCTAAGGGGCCGAAGGTGCCTGGTATCATTGGTTGACTATCATTTATTGTGACGATAACGCGCACAATGGCGAGGATCTGAATGGTACCGCCGGTTCCCCTTCTGTTTCAAGTGGTGAAAAGATGGCCCGTTTTTGGGTGCTACTTTTGTATTCTTTCAATTTTCATTTACGCATTCTTAGTTTACTCAAGTAGAGGATATTGAATTCTTGGTCTTGGAGCACCGTCGAGGCTCGAGTTTACCTGCACTTGTCGAGTATGTCTAGATATAATTTCTACTCCGAGCACCTACAGTGCAAGGACCACATCTCATATCGAAGCAGCAGAGTTCTGCAATATAGAAATATCTGTTCTCTAGTGAATACATGCTAATCTCGAGGCGACTCAACGATCATTGAGGACTTAATGATGGATTGAAGGCCACAATAAGCATTTGTATTTACGGTACCATTTAGTCCACAACCTTTCGAGAACCCCTCTTTTTCCCTACCCTGGAATCGCTCCCATTGCCTAGATACGGCGATTCGTGATAAGTAGATATTTTAATTAGACCTCTATCTCACAACATTCCCATAAACCCAGCAGTAAACCACACTTCTGATTTCCAACCTTTTTTCTGCAATGCCCATTAACTAACATACACCAAAATTACAACCTCTCACCAATAATAAATCTACATCAAAATCACAACCCATTCCGTAGATACACATTAAATCTATCCACTCCATCTCAGCAACATCAGAACACGCATCATGTACTTTTCTTCTATACCACTTATGTGATAATAGTCATGGCTTTAACTGTATTCCTTGCTATTGATATTATTAGGCCTCCTCTCCTCAAGATGTCAATTTTTTGTGTTTTTTTCTTTTTTTGGGAAGGAATAATTGTATGAGATTGTTAGTTTAATGGTTGAGGGAGAGGTTGAGGACGCATTTTGGTATAGATACATGAGATAATGCATTGGAAGGTCAATGGAACGAGAATGGAATTTGATGGTTAGATGCGATGGGATGTGATGTGGTGTGGTGTTGTGTTAAGATGGATTTAGTGTAAAGATTCTTGGCTCGGCAGCCCACCAGCCTGGATGGGCATTCGTTCTTGTGATAGTTCTATAGCATTTATTTTTTGGAAAGGGGTTTTTATTTAAGTAAGCCTTACAATGACTTATTACTCTAGCATTTATGTGTTTCGTTATAGCTGTGGGTATAGTTTCTAAAAAGTGTTTTTTTAATACATTTTGCTGTGGATTGAGACGGGTAGTTTCTCAGTATGATTGACTTTCATGGTAGAGGGATTCTCAATTTTGGACTCGTATTTTAATCGCGAAGAAAATTTACTAGGATGCGATGTCCCCTGTTCGTCTGTTATAGTCTTCAGAATAGAGATATATTCCTAATCGGGACAACAATCCGTACTATTGAACGCACTGCATTTGGAGGAGTAGTGATTTACATATCAAAAAACATGGCATACAGTATACAGCATACAGCATAGTGAGGTAATTTGTCGGCAGGAATTCATAATCTCATTGCTTGTCCTTTCTAGTTGAATGCCTCAAGATTTCAAAAGGAACTCGCAGACCCTAGTTTTGAGAATCGTTCCATATAAGCCATAACTTTCGAATATTCATCAAGATGCCTTATCGTCTTTCCAATATTGTTCTGCTTGATATGATTTTATAGACTTAACCTTCCTGTTCTGTTATATGAGCATCTTGGTGCATTAGTTCCAAATTGCTATATTGAGTACTTCTCCGTCACTGCATGCATGTACCCTGGCTTCAACCCTGCGAGTTCTTCCTCAATTTTTTGTAGATCTAATTTGATCCATTTTACTGAAAAGTAGCCTGTGATAATAGGACTTAACGGATGCTTCTCTATTTAGCAGGACGTCGCATTGTGGCTCCGGAAGCTTTTAGGTCTTCGCATATTGGTGATCTGTCATATAGTGATTGTTGTCTTAATCGAAGTAGGTTGCATATTAGAGAGTGAAATGTGGATGGAACAAAACAGTGGTACTTGGGCTGACTCCTTGGTTCTTCCAGTAAGCGCCCAAATGTGTTGGAGGGACATAAATAGGCTGCGCAATGGGGCTCCGCGGGGCGGATTATTGCTTTAGTGGGTAATCCGCGGACAACCCATTTGCGGGGCGGGTTATTTGAAAATCTGAATGGGTAATCCGCGGGGTGGTATTTGCGGATTATTTGCGGATAATTCGCAAATAATCCACAAATACTATTCCGCGGATTATTCAAAATCCTATTGGAGAATTCGCGGGGCGGGTTATAGGTTTAATAGGTAACCCGCGGGACGGATAATCTATGGTAGACATAAATACATCAAAAAGGATCCCCATGCTTAGAAAAGACGAAGTTCTCAGTCATTCCACTCTTCAGCGCGTTGTTGTTTTCCAGTAACAGCTAAAGTTTTGCTTCAGCTCATGTCAGCTCCATCAATTGCCCATGTGTCCAATCTTCATAATTTGGTGCAGCTCCATTCTCAATGTCCTCAAGCTCCCAAGCCAATAAATCCTTTCTTTTTATCAAGATATGTGACAATGGAGCAGCTTGCTTTATTCCCATGATATCTGATATGACCCTCAACCTCCCAGCTACCCAGTGACACATCATATCCGACACGGCAGCCGTGCAAGCCGCCGTATACAAAGGCCATAATAACAGATTACCACTAACTGCTTTAGCACTGCCCAAGGCCACTTCTCCACTCTCATCGTATCCGAGCATAAATGGTACGCTAGCACATATATCATGTGACAATTGAATGATGGTTGTGGTCGATGTTTCCAATTGAGAATCCGAGAAGGAAGGGTTTCTCGGCTCCGAGACGAATAAATCCGGCTGGGTATATTTGAGATGTGCAAGCTGAACATAAACAACCTCATTGATGAGGATCCGGACGCATCTATAATGGTTCCAGAGTGCGGCTGCCCAGATACTATCGTAAATATGATAATAATCTGAAAAGACACCTTCAGACCTTTGCCTCAAGGTGAGAGTTTTGTAAAACATACTCTCGGGAGGACAGGTAAAAGCCCACTCTACAAGCTTGGAGTCAATCGTAAGAGCGGCTTTGATAACATTTTCGGCATTGCTATGATCATGAAAAGAAGACATTGTTGCACGTAAGTCGCAAAACTCCATCACTTGTTCCGAGAGCATTGTAGCATGGGCATCATTCGGCGATTGAAACTGGATCGCATATTTTGACCAATCACGAATAAAAGATGGAGTAGAAACATGGCGTTGTAGACAATTTGTGATCTAGAAAAGTTATTATGAGAAACTCCAAAATTGAGCCAGTGGATTACATACTACTTGAGTCCGGAGATGAAGAAATAGATGCCGGCCTATAGGGTTTTCAAGGCACTGCTTCCCTTTGAGTTGCATCAACGATGAAGCTCCGATGGTATGCTTGGTCCAGGATTGCATCGATTGAGGACCGGTACATGTATTTGTCTAATAAGTCCTTAGCGTTATGAGATTTTGCGTCTGTCCGTAGTACCTACTTCGTAAAGGCCTAAGAGCATCACAGCCACAAGGGTTTGGTCTGCTCGTGCTTCATCTTCGTTTCTTAGGCGAGAACTAACAAGCCTTAGAGCAGAGTTATACTTTCTGTTTGCATGAAGTTGGAGATCAGGAGCTTTCCAAAAGTGTGCTAAGCCAACCATGCCCAGGGATTCAATGCTATCAGCCAAAGCGGAGCCGATGAGCTCATTACCATAGATGTCGTGGAGATACTGGAAGCTACCACTTGTCGAGTTATCTTCTAAGACGTAGTTCCGAAAAAAGTAGCATGTAGCCTGCTCGGATGAAGAAGTAGAAAGCTCGATTGTAAGTGGTGTGGTCTGCGTCACAAGCTGGAGCTTAGGTTCGCTAGTCAATTGAGGATCTATAGAGAAATCTAATGTGTCATTTGACGCGTTATTTCTCCGCCTAGACACAGAAGTTCGAGATTCATTTTGATTTCGACGTCTGTTGGCGTAGTGTTTCGTCTGGTCACGAAACATCATGTCTGCTTCGGTTCTGTACCCCGTGCAAAGGCGCCCTGCACGAATACATTGTGAACATGAAGGTGTTAAAGCGTCACACTGGTGCAGATGAGTGATTGTTTCCATATTTTCCACGAAGTGCTTGCTCACCTTGGTTCTACGAAGCCTGCATTCAGCGCAAGCTTTACTTGGCTTACCACAATAAACCATTTCGCGAAAGTAATGGAGATAACGGCGGTTGGTAGACTATGAGTCCAGCGCAATTTAATAGAGAAAAGAGGAAGGCGCTGAGCAGTCTACAAACCCATGCTTTGTAGTTGTATTAAGGAGGAATATTGATCACACGAAAGAATGGAAAAGAAATATATTGAACTTGTTACTTCTTGCTTCGTACACTGTTGCCTCTAGTGACATGAGTGTGGAATGAAGCTTTTTCACTTATCATTCAGCTGCCAAACCACTTTGTAAGGCCTGGCCAGTATGATGGAAGATCGACAATGCAATGCAGATGTAGCTTCGATTCCTTTGGATGGCTCAAACGCCCTATGGGGAGATTCGGAACATTTGATTGCTTGTTCGTGAGATTTCCGTGGTTATGTCATCATGAGCTTTTTCCCTTTCGGGTATCCTCAGCGTAGCGCGTTGCGTTGATTACTCAGCCATGTCATTGCGCTAGCACACACCGCCCACTTTCCGAACCAACATCAGGTTGTTTACTCTTTATTTCTTCCAATTCCGAATGGATCCTGCGACGATCAAATCATTACTAGTATGACTGCGACGGTTGGAAAGGCCTATGCGTATTATGTCAAAGAATATTGCATCCGCTAGTTAATCTAACAGCCGGGTACCAATGTCTTCATTGGATGGATCCTGCCAATATCTCTTTCAGCGACGTTTTCGCTCGACTTTGCAACGAGAGTGAAGACACGGAGTTTGTCGCCTGGTTTCCTTCGTTGCAACACTACTCATCCATTTCCAATTTTCATATCTTCCTTATTTTATGAAGGATTCCATGCAAGTGCGTGCCTTGTTACTGGAGACATGACTATTCGATCGCCTTTACATTTCTTTTGGGCGATGATCAGAAAGCATCACACATGCAGAAATCGATGCAGATGTCGTTCTCTTTCCCCACGCTATTTCATAACATTTTCCTATAATATTTAGGACAGCGGACACTTGTAAGAATAGTCTTTGCTATATATTGAAATTCATGTCAACCAGCATGTTTGACGGCTTATAGTACCTCGCTTTTATAATTACTAAAATATGTTTATAAAGAACTAAAAGAAAAACATGAAATTGATCGTTCTTTCTTATTTGCCTTGGAAAGGGGCAAAAATAACTTAGGGAGGAGATTTGGACACTATCTAAAAAAAATCCAAGGGGAATGAAGGGATAGGAATAAGAATGAGACTTAGATGAGGATAAGTACGAGTGTTTTCTGTGAAGGAGTACCCCGCCATCCAAGTAAGCGAAGATTACCAAAACAGGTAACCTTGAAGTAGCGTGGTTCAACATCACCAAATAACTTTGCGAACATTACGCTCTTCATTCCTAGTCAAGAAGTTGCTTCGCAACTCTCGCATGGAAGAGATCTCGACATGAAAGGATGAAAACTGCTCCAAGGTATCTAATTGTGGACAATCTGTACACTTGTTGCGGAAAGATTTTCGCACCCCTTAACACTACGCTCTCTTTGCTTACCTTGTCATTGATCTCACCTGTCTATGCATTGTTTGGAAAAGAGATAAAGTGATCAAGCACATGTCATTCTTTCGTATAAAGCAGCTACTTGTGTCCAAACTGTTTGTGAATACATACATCTCTCGAAAACACACATAAATTCATTTCCTTCTTCTTGTCACCAAACTACCTATATCCTCTTCCTAGTGCTTTCATATCTACCGAAAGTATGGGAAAAATCGTCGGACTCATTAGTTCAGGCATTGGCCTCGCCATGGAAGCGAAGACGTCCTATGGATCTGGAAGTAACAAGACCTACGTCAAAGATGGAAGTCGTGAGTTATCTTCCACAAATTCATCCTAGAGGTTCTCCAGCAGTGAGAGTCTTGTACATGCATGCTAACCCACAACGGTCCCACTTCGTACATCGCCAAAAACATATGAACACACCAATAACGAAGAAGCATATCGAGATATCCAAGCCTATGCCGATTATCAAAATATCCTTTCTGATCGCATAAATTCAGACATGCAGAAAGATGAGAGTTATCGAAGATATTTAATGGAGAGTCCTCGAGCCCAATCAAAAGGAAGCACATACGAACGTGATATTTCCTTCTATGCTCACGAGCTACCAGATCAAAGAATTCCACCTGCACGCGGACTTTCTTGTCCCGTAATACTGCCACAACGAAGACCTGAAGATCAGAGTCGTGGTATCATCCGAGCGTATTCTCCAGAGCTGGCATGTTGCGGAATAGATCAAATGACTTTTTTAGAGTTCATTGATGATTTTAATGAAGCTCATAAAGTAAGTTCAAAGTTATGCATACCATTTCCACATTACTTACTCGAATTCAGTCATCTCCCTATCTCGATGCTGTTAATGTGGCAGCTCAAGGTGTTGGATTTGCACCCGGCATTTCTCCAATGGTTGTATCCATGGTCGTCCCGATTGCGGTCAGAGCAGCCAAAGGTTACCAAACACAAAGACAGTGAGTACAAAAATAACAATGACATTAAAAGCGGCCAACTAATAATCGCTTAGATCTACCTCTTTTCTAGACAGAGCCAACACAGACCTCTTCATCCCACATGGTCTCTTCGCCATGGTTCTAACATTCAAACCAAACCAAACACAGAGTCCCTATGGAGCACCAAAACAAATCCAACTTCCCCCTTCTGCACCCCTTATCTATCCCGAAGACGAAAGACGAGCCCAGCAAACAGGATTGAAGAAAATGGGTCACTTCATCTCCGATTATGGAGATCGAAGAGCCCAAGCTCGATATGTATGTAGACAGACTGCGTGTTTAACCTAGCAAAAGTTCTCTCTAACAAATCAAAGGCCTCTAACAATCCTGATTCATCACTTGCTAGCCCTCTACCGAAATTTGGAAACCGTTGGGCGGATCCAAATCATCCCGCCAATGGCGGTGGGCTTAAGAGCCTACTCACCGGTGTCCCAGACGATGGGAAATCCCGCAAGCAAGAAAGGAAAGACCGTAAACAAGATAGAAAAGATCGCCATCGCAGAAGAAGCTCAAGTAGTGATTCATCAAAAAGAAGTGGACTTTTGAGCACCGCACTTAGCGCAGCTGGCGAAGCGAGTGGAAGAAACGGTCTCTCCCGAAACGAACGACCAAGCTTAGTAGGGACAGCGAGAGAAATGATCAACGGGCCAGAAAAACAAAATCAGAGTTTAATCAAGGGTGTTAAAAGCCTAGGAATGAATACTAATATCCTATATTTAATGATAACGAACAATTGCAACACCAACGACGAAAACCCCTCAATTCCATCAACGAGATCCCAAATCCCATTCACCTACACATCAACAATCCCACCACATCACACCCAACCCACGCACTCAACCACCCTCCTCAACTCATCCGAACCATCTCAAAAACCCATTTATCCCACCGCACACCAAAATCGCACATTTACCTACACAGCCGCTCAACAGCAAAACAACAATCCCTATATCAACAAACAAACACAAATACAAACACAAACTCAAGTAGCCTCAATTGCAAGTTCTAATTATACAACTAGAGCTTTTGAAGCGCATGATGTTCCACCGCCGCCGGCATACAGAGAAGTTATGCCGATGAGATACTATGAGCGGATGCGAGGAGATGATGAGGAATTTTGTGTTCCTACTTTATGATGATGTTACATGTATGATGTATGGTTGTGCCAGGATACGAGGTGAGGCTTTCTTTTTGTGTAAAAGGGTTATTTTAGACTTGGTTTGGGGGTTTGTTGGCGTAGTTTTTTTATGACTGAGTTTTTACCTGCTCATTGAACTTGCTACTGTTTGATTTACATGGGTATTGCCTACAAGAGAGCGTTCGGTTTATTCAAGAAAATGCTAGTCTCTTTGACTTCGCATCGAACCATTGCGGAAAGACAATAACCTACCTGTCTATGTGCTTTGGCCTGAGACTATGTCCTCATCAAACTGGGGACTCAATTAGCTTCGTCAGTTAGGAATACCACTTGGCAGAATTCACAAGACGAAATAACATTAGAAAGCTTCATGAGCTCAACATTCAAATCAACCAAAGTTATAAAAGTACTTGTACCAATCAATGATAATCTGATTTGTAAACTACTGGAATCTTTCTACATGCATGAGTAATCCATGTTTCCTCAAAATCAATCCTCATCTTCCGCGAAACGGAAAAAGTTCAACTCTGAGCTACTTTTCCAAGTAAGCTAAAAGTTTCCCATCTCATACCTTCACCATTTTCCGGTCCCTCAGCATCCCACCCAGCCCAACCATCATCTTCATAATAAGGTTCAGCAACTTTGCTCCATCCTCGTATAAGAGCTCTCCAATAACAAACTTCAGAAGCAGGGGACAAGTACTTGGTGAATAGTTCTCTTTGTCTTTTAGCAATACCAGTAGCTATCTCAGGATTCTTTCGTAGATACATGATTGTTTCCTCGAGATCTGACCAGTCGGGTTCAACGAATATGATGTTCGCTTCACTTGGTCCGTATGTTTTAGGCCAACGAGTTGCCCAATCATAGCCGGTCTTCGGAGATTCTTCACGCGCCGGAAAAAATGAGCTTGAAAATATTGGACGCATGAAATGTGTATTGTGAAGTAGATACGTTGGTGGTGGTGTGAGGATAATGGAAGCACACGCTTGATGGAAGAGTAGGCGCCCGGAATAGGTTATACCCTCTGTATAAACGATGTACTTGTACCTACAAAAGTCTTCGATTCCAATAGAATTTTGAGCACTTTCGCTGTTTGTGTTCCACTTTAGAGCTTCTATATCTGCCCATTCCTTCTCTTTTCCCGCTTGAATTAAGCCTGGTCGCAAGTCTTTGTTACCGACTGTATTGAACCAACCTGTCCCTCTCCACACTGCTTTATCAATTTTCTCGCTCCATAGTGTGTTCTTCTCTATGTGCTCAATTTTAGATAATGCTTGATCAACGGTACCAATGAAAGATAACGGCCAGGACCAAAAGCTAAAGTGCGGCATAACCCAATAGTTCCCGTTCTCGATATGAGGGTCATTAGATCTAGAGAATGCCCAAGAATTATTCATGGGGGTATCGAGTATATTGAATGCGAAAATAGTGTTTGGAAGAGGAGACGGAGAGGTAATAATGGCACGGTGGAGTTGATGTAGAACAGAATCTCGCTCCTGTAATATGATTATCAGACTATGTACGAAGGATAGAGAGAAACAGGGACAAACCTGAAGCATATTCCGGGGAAGGTTCGCGTCCGTAGAAATTATATATACCTGATCTGCCAGTCAATATAGCTAGCCAGATGAATACTTTAGTGGTCGAATATGACCTTTCCATCCTTTATTCTTCCTTGCACAAGGCCTGTACGGTGATCCGGCTGTTTCTTCAGTGGAAATGGTCCTCTAGCCACCGCATCGTCAATCTCCTTCGTCAAACCTGGAAAAGTTACCGCGCATTGGTCCTCCGTCAAAAAAAGTGACTGAAGAATGTCCACGGAAGGCTTCTGCTCGTCGACTGAGAACTGAAGGATTGATGATCGCAGATTCGTAGACTGCTTATTGTACAGGTAAACGCAAACAAGGAGAGTCAAGAGAATTATGCCAATGTGAATAGGGCTTCTGGAACGGTACGCCATGCCTCATGATTGGCAAGTGTAGACTTGGTACAGTGGAAAAGTAATCATCGCCATCTTTGATATTCCAAGACGTTTCATGATGAACAAGGTTGGCACGGGAATCAGGAACTCGCGCCGATAAGCCTGCTAGGTGGTAAATGTGCACTTAATTCGGCGTTGTGAACAACCATGCCAGATGAGTTATAGAATGAATACATACTCAGAATTTACCGTACCGCACGCATATTTTGAGTGTATCTATTAGCAGAAGTGGTCATGATGACGTCGCCGAAGCGGTTGAGAGAAGGGGAAAACAAAAATGTGGGTGCTGGATCAGAATCAATGTTCACGTGACATGCCACCACATCCTCAACATCAATTTTGATATTTTGGAGGCAGAGCAGGGACGATATTAGTTATATCGCAGACCTCACTGTGGATTAGTATTCGTCTTGATCTCCCGCAAAGCAGACTAATGTTCCCAGCAGAAGCCAAATCCATCATCCGTAGAGAACCTTAATACCGTAAGATATCATCTAAGATGTCTTTTCAGACGATAGTTTCGTCTAATATCATCTACCTTTTTCGATTACCCATGAATACGCAACACCATCGTAACAGAATACGGCAAGACCACACAAGTTTCGCTAGAAAAGGAGGGAATCATTATACTCGAGTATATTCATTAGCTATAAAGTTAGGCTGTACCTATTCCTTCCCAAGATAAAGAATCTATGTGATTTGTACTGGATTTGAACATTCTTTTCACAAATTCTCTGTGTGGTTTTCATCTTGGGTGTATGGTAAGGTTGAGGCTTGATAGAATTATATCCTCAGTGAAAGCTACGCTCTATGAGTCAACGGCTGGCAAGGCTATATATATTCCCATGAACTTGTCGCCCAAATTCATGCGTTCTATTTGAAATGTGATAATGGATGTTCAATACCTAGGCATCTCGTATTATTGTTGAATGACAATAGTCTGAGGCAAAGTACATGCATACATCTTAAAATGCTAAGGGATTATTAAACTTGCTTTTGAAGGATTTTTGTGACAAATTTGTAACAGAAGTTCGATGAAGTCAATGGCACTTTTTGTTGATCATTTGAGCATTTTAAATTGTGTACCTAGTATATAAGTTTATCACGATCAAATATTTCATTGGATATTTATACTTTTATGATCTTTCATTATTTATTCCTTATTTACTATTTTACTATTTTCTTTCATGTCATGTTGTGTTTATTGATATTCTTACAATATGTATGTGTCTTATGTATCTTATGTACTTCTCATGCACTTTTTTTCCTTCTCCCCAAACATAAACAACATAAGCTTTAATATCCGCATCTGCCTTTTCAATATCATGCGCCACGTCGAAAGTATATCGTGGAGGTTCGGGAATCGTAATTCGGTAATAAAGAGCGAAACAAGCTGGGATGGCTCCGAATCCTACAATTATTCGCCATGCTCTATCGGCTGCAAGTTGACATGCTGGTCCACAGGTATCGAATGTGCTTGATGTGTTTGTTAGGGAGTTTTTGAATGCGTATGTAGTTATAAGGACAATGAGGGCAGTGGTAAATTAACCGACGCCTTGCACGGAAAATACTGCGGCCATCATTCCTCCTCTCCATCTTGTTGGGGCAAATCTATGAGAATATCAGTTTTGTATCAAATGAAGTGAGAATGCATAAAAAGTAATGAAAATAGTATCCTGAATATTTGCAAGACTTAAAAGAGATACAAAAGCAAAGGCTGAGTATCAAAGTCCCGAAGATCTATTCAAGGAGTGATATCGAAGGCCTAGACACTTCTAAAACACCAATATTCAATCTCAAAAAGAAAAGATCTTACTCCGAAGTAATAACGGCAGACATTGGACAATCACCACCAATACCAATACCAATACCCATAACCACTCTCCAAAAGATAAACACACCAGAAATGCTAACGGCCGGACTACTTGAACTCAAGCTTTGAGCCAGTGTAGCCAGTATAATAATAGCAAGTTCGACACCATACATTTTTCTCCGACCGATAGAATCCGCTAACCATCCAAATATAATTTAATCGATGACTGCACCACCAGAAGTAGCGGCTTTGATGGCTGTATTGATACCCGTGGGAAGAATACCATAATTCTCTCCTGAACTGGGAGGACCTTGCCAATAGACCATTCCGAGCATTGATGTCATGAGATTGACTTGAGGATGTTAGCTTTTGAAATAATTTTAGCTTCAGTTATAGCTTAGACGTACTAGCAAATATATCATATGAATCTGTGAAGAATCCAATACCTGCCACCACAACAGCCCGAATGTGATACCAACCAAAGGGAACCTATAGTAGATTAGTTAAAATTCCACGAAACGCGTCAAGATGAATTGAAAATGAATGATAGAAACAGGAAAGGACTTCTAGCAATTGCAGGTACCGAGAATTTCAATGCTACATCCGAGCCTCAAGACTAGACTATAAAATTATACGCACCTTATCAATTTCAGACAAAGCTAACCTCCTCCTATAATTCGGATTGACGATATGAGAATAATCATTATTGAAATTATGAAAAGCGGCATTACCTCCACAAGATTTAGTATTATGTTTAAGAAAAGGAAGAGCTGGCTCTGGAGGGACATTCATGATGACTTGACGATTGTCGCCATGAAGAATGAATGGTATGTTTTTGAAGAGAAGCTGTAAGACTAGAAGTTCAAAGTCCTGGACTTAAATCCCGAGTAGCTAGCGAATTGTAGGTAGGCGGAACCAATATGATGTTGATGTTGGGAATAGTGACAAACTGATGGTGAATTTTGAGTACTTAGTCAGAATATCCAGACAAACTTGCGATGGATTGATTGGTTTCGTTGTATCCATACCTACACTTATATACGATGAATACAAAACTTTGATTCGGCGACGAAATAAGACTACAACTCGATTTCTGAGACATGGTAAAGAAATCACAAGTGAGTCGAGTCCAAGAAGCAGACATCGTGATGAGAGTAACTCGGTCAGTTTTACAGGTAGATGAATATGGAAATACCCGTGAATGTAACTGGTAAACAGGTCCCAGGAAATCGGTCAAGGCTGGCGATTAGATCAAGATATGTTTATGAGGAAAGGATATAAGCATCAGATTCATAACAGGATATGCGGTACATATTACCCGCGCTGATTGTAGTTAGATACGTATAAAGCCTTATATTATCCCCCGTTCTGGGCGTGGGGTTTCATGGTCTAGATGCATGCATAGTGCTCTATGCGGGATGAAAATGTTGGATCTTCATTTAGATTAGATGTAATTATGTGGTGAACGGCATTAAGAAGACATATTAAAATCCCGAGTACTCGGTACGAGTACCTTGTCCATCTTAGAAGTATCTTGAGCCACCAAAACTAGATGGGTACACTAACAAGTTACTAATTCATATAGCATAAACTCCAAAGACGTCTGAGCTACATTTGAATTCGAAAGCGATGAATAAATAAACTAATACATATGTAATAAAATAAGGCCGGAAGAAGACTTCCTCTCCAAATCCTTGAGTGGGTAGGTATGAGATACAAACTTCGGAGTTCAAGATGCATTTGATGAGCTCGGGTTTGAGTTCGAACTTCGAACTTCGAGGTAAGATTTAAGTAAGTACAATCATAACAGAGATCCAACAATCCAACAATCCAACAATCCAAACTTCCAAGCTTCATAAATAACCTCAGGACCACAGAGTATCAAAAAAGCAATCTGACTAAGAGGAAATTTCCGGGCCAGGAACCCTAGTTCTATATATCAGAACCCTAACCCCAACCCCAAACCAGCCTCGCCTACCATCTATCCCTACCATCCCTACCATCCCTACCTCCCTCCCTACTTACCGCTACCTATACCGCCGCGGCTGCAGGAACCTACAGGAAGTGAAAGCTCGGCGCTCCTTTTTATTTTCTACCCGAATGTATCTGATTCTCACAAGGGCTATCTATAATGCGGTATATGGTATATGGTATATGGTATACATGGACATTTTATGTTTTATGAGGGAAATTATTTGATTATTTGTATCGTAACTAATATATTCATTCTATTTCCGAGGAGTATGAAATCCTATATTCATATTCTTAGGTTAATTACCCCAGATATCCATTCAGTTAGTTCATCAGCTCGCTAGATTATCAGATTATCAGCTATTATCACTTTGCTACTAGAAATTATCAGCCAAGAGATTTCTCAAACGAGTTGATGAAAGATGATTGATTATAGGAATTCGACGCAATCTAATTTTATTACTTGTGTGTCTAAGGTCTATTGGCTCCATTCATAATGCACTACCTCTTTCATCCCATTCATCCCATTCATCCATCAATTTTTGCTTCTTTGTTCCTCATTCTTTTTCCCTTCCCTTCCATCATCCATTCTATTGTGATGCGACTCTCAATATACATACCTCAACCCAATCTATTGATCAATTCTCCCTCATGGAATATTTCGTCATGCTCTTCATTCCTTGACCTCCATATTCTGCCAGGCCAAAAACGACCCATAATCTAGCCATATCCCCATTTACTTTCCATCGCCTTGTAATTGAATCGCTCCTCATCCACTCACACATTTGCATGCATCAATAGATACCAGGCACAATAACCCACTTAACTTTCTGACAATAAGTTTCCCAACCTTTGCCATATTTCTTCGAACATCTTTCCTCATCTCGCCAGCAACGATGAATCAACAATATCGTCATGAAAATTGCATAAGTCCATGGTAGTAAATTATTGGTCCCACAAGCTGCACACATCGAATAGGAAAGGATGAGATCACCCAGATAGTTGACATGTCTAGCCAAACCCCACCAACCCGAGCAAAGAAGAATACTTTCGTGTTCCTTGCCATCTTTGGTTCGATAAGTAACGCGTAAAACATCAGCTGGAGCACCCCAGAGTTGACACTTTCCTTTAGTGCGACGGGCGAGATCTTTTTGGTGGTTGACGCTGCGGAAGAGAACATAGCCACTAACGCCTAAGGCGAATATCGTCATGGCGGCAAGAGGTGATAAGGAGTGAGGATTTATTGAGAGATATTGAGTTTGGAGGGTATACATAGAAGGTAACCACACCATAGATCCCCAGGCGAGGTAGAAACCAAAGTGATCGTGACAAATATCAATGGTTCGAAGGTACCAATCTTCGTTGATGAAGAAATCCACCACGTACAAAATATGGAGAAAAGTGCTCAGAAGAATTGAATTAGTGATATATCCATGGATTTGATATTGGTATGCGATGAAGGACATGTCACTATATAGAATTCAGGTTAGTGAGTGAATAATGCAGGAAAAGGAAGGGCAGATTTAACGTATGATCAATGTGATTAGATAATGACATACATGAGAGTCCAAGCAATTATCCCAGGTCGACCATTGTGAAACAATTTGAAGTCAAAGTACTTTCCGAATCTAGGATTCAATTCAATTCCCATATATAAATCGTACAAAATCGACCCTGTCACGTGTTAATATCACATTCCAAGAATGCCATCATGGATGAAACTCACCACTGAATTTTCGATCGCCTTCATGCGTTGGACTCAAATGAGCTTTCAAATAGGCAAACCCAGATAGTAGAAAACCATAAACATTGACTGAAATCAATAATGCTTGCCAATGTTTTGCCAGGATTGCCGGATCTAAAAGTCCACAGCATGACGAAATGAGAAACAAAGCATGAGTGACAATCCAAGCTGAAAGACCATTCGTACGATATTTGAGAAGATGTCCGGCTGGAGTGAGTTGACCCGAACTCAATTTTGTAGGTAAAAATTGATAAAGAATTCCTTGAAACAACAACCAAGCGCCATAACCAACATTCGTTCTCATATTTCCTCGTGGTGCATGTTGCCATAAGAAATTGACGGGACCCATCATTGCCATTGTTTTGTATGTAGAAGTTAAAGAACCATCGAATCGTGAAAGTGCGATCCAATAAAATATAACAATTAGAGGACAGAGAGTCATGATACTAGCACACCCTAAGGAATGTAACCAAGAACCATGGTGATGCCGTCGACCCCATGAGATACTCGAATCTCGAGTTGTCGAGAATGAAGCCAATCTTGATCGATTCAAGGTTCCGTTTGATTTATCGGGAACATCTTGTAAGTTTTTCCCAATTACATCGTGAAGATCCGGTGAAGGGAGAATAATTGATTCCATCGTGGACTGGCCCAACGATATTTTGGTATTTTAGGATGGGGGAGGGGGTGAAATGTTGTGGTTGAAGATTTGTGATGCAGTTCGAGGTTGTACGAATGATGTAAGGAAAAGTCAATGATGGTTTGATTGAGGTACCTACTAAAACAGGTAGTGAGTAGCCTTTGTAAGTGGAAAAGCTGAATGAACTAAAAGAAGGAAGAACAAAAAGGTCGGACGAATCAAAGAAAAGAAAATAATGAAATATGAAAATGAAGGTTGTTGAGAAGATTCGAGTGGTAAAAAGAAGAGGAAAGGAGAGAAAGAGAAGAGGAGGAAGAGGAGGAAAAGAAGTAAAGAGGTAAAGAGGTAAAGAGGTAAATAGTTAAAAAGGTTAAAGACCAGACTTCTCAAGGTCGAATAGTAGGTACCGATATTCGCTATGTAGGCGACAGAAGTTTCATAAGTAATAGTAGTGGTAGGAGTAGTTTTTGTTTTTCTTGTGGTGGTGGTTGTAGTTGTAGTTATACCTAGCAATGAGAGAGAGGACAGGACTCATTAATTTTCATATGTTGTGGATGCGGATGGGGATGTGGATGTGGATGTGGATGTTCCTATATAAGTACTCTTAGTCGTACGTCGTCGAAAATGAGGTAGGTAAGGTAAGGTAAGGTATGGATTGGATTGGATTGGATTGTGTTGTATGTAGTAAATCGTCTTATGTATCTAGGACTTTGAAGAAGGAAAGAAGAAATGCTCATCCAAATTGCGAAAGGGAATGAACGGAGTGCAACCGGTAGTCAAAGTATCAAAGTAGTGCAATGCCGGTAATGGAAAGCAAGTCCAAGGCAGGACTCACTTCAAAGGGCCGGTATTGGGAAAGTCTAAGAGAGGAGTTTCCCCCTTTCAACCTCCCTCACTATTTTCTTGTCCGCCCCAAAGCTACTTACTTACTAGGAAGTCTCTACTTTCTAGTTTCTAGTCTGTGACCACCAGTTGATAATCTGCCAGATAACCCTCTCTCGCACCTAGAATTATAGTATACTATGTGAGTAGTAAGCACACCTCTACTGTGCCGTACCTCGATGATGGAAAATATTATATGTATCTAGAAGATAGGAAGTTATAAAGTTAGAGCTTAAAACCTGGCATAAATCAGTGCAGTGAATACATGGCTATCATTTTAATCTGTCCCCCCATATCTTATGCTTCAATAAATCCTTAAAAGTAGTAAATCCGTGGACGAAACCCTTAAAGTAGCCAAGGTAGATAAACAATCAAGGCAATTCCCCCAAGAATCTATAAGATAATCGGAGTATAATAGAAAATGAATTCAAACCCTTATATTCTTGCTACCTTCCTACTTTTTTACCTCCCCTCTCCTCCTTCCACAATTGCAACACATAATAAATATCGTCCTCCTATTGCTTTGCTTCCGTTTGGTGATGTAAAAGAAAAAGGAAAGAAAGGAAGATAGGAAAAAGTAAATCCAAACTTACGATGAGGTTAAGACCTTTAGATCCCTGACTCAGACACACTAGGGAGCTGTCGAGATAGTTGCGACCGCACGAGTAACCAACCAGACGAGTTACGTAGGTATTTGTCGATGTTGACACTGGTGGTCCGAGCAAGACCATCCGTCATCCATCAACAAAGCCGTATCGAATTCCCAAGATGGATATTTCAAATACCTGTAAATGAAATGAAGACCCAGTCAATATTTTGGTATACCTAGCTATAGCTACGAATGAAGCAAGACGCGTGTTGATGATGCACAACATCTTAGTTCTATCGTTCTCTCGAGAGGCCACCACACCACCTTCATAAAACTGCATCATGCAGGATGTCATTATTCCAGAAACCCAAACCCAAACCCAAGCCACAGTATTAATTTGATGAATTTGAGGATGTGACAGATATGACATATATGCCAGTGACGAAATAGATGCCAGCAACGATATAATAACTACAGCCATCAAAAACCCAGATCTTATCCATTAATAAAAAACAGACTTTGAGACATCAAGGAAGGTTGAGAAGGAATAATAAAAAAACAGAAGAAGAACTCTAAAATAGTCAAACTCACGAGTCACGAACCGTTCGTATCGAATCAGCTCCATCATCTGCCGATTAAGCTTGATTTTTAGTTCCGTCTGATCAATGCCAAATACCTAGTACCAACATACTTACCTATGCAAGAGGTTTGATTACTTATCCTCTCATGTTCAGGGACGGAATTGCGTAATATCTCATGCAGAGTGCCGCACAGAGAGAATACAAATACTGGTGTACCTACCTCAACCAAAATAGATTTAAACTTCCCACAACGGTCCCTTGAAATGCTGTGTAACGCGAATACGAGCACTATTCTGGCTGCTTGCGGGACTTCACACTGGGATGGACTAACAGCATATACACATTTTATTGTCAGATTATACACATACAACAACCTACATAACTGTCCTCCGGTGTCGCATTATTGCATTACCTTGGCTTATTATTTGCTGTCTCTCCGCAACCTCTGCAATTACTTCGGCATGCCATCTCAACGCCAAAAGCTTGCTAAATCATTCCATTATATTTGCTATTTCACGAAAGCAACCCTATGTGTTGTAGGAATCATATGATAATGCTCGATCGACAGTTAAGGTAGGTTTTGGCTTCCAAGTTCAATATACAAAACTCAGTCGCAACTTCAAGCACTGTTATGTGGTCAGCCAGATTGCACCACTCCAATTGAAATTTGAATCAACACGGAGTAAAACAGACAATCAGAAGGAAGGCAACGGAAAATCTCCACACGGTTTTGCGCTCTCGGGGACATAATGTTTTAACATCCGAAATATTTCATCACATAATGTCAAAGGAAGGTTAAATGCTGCGTGAACAAGAGGTAAGACTGACCATTGAGTACGCATCTTTGCATGGAGATGTACCACATCAGCAATAGCCTGTAAACATTGTATACGTTTTCAGCGATACTCCATCTACCATGCTGTAATGTCATCCACTTCTGCCTCTCCAAAGGTGCTGCTTTTGGTGATAGCACCTACTCCACTTTCAGCTTCCATATTTTCAATTCCAGGGGCTCCCATAATATCAGGTAACACTTCATTCAAGAATTCTAAGATGTGCTGGTTGACCTGTTCAAACTGTAGCAAGAACGCATCATGACCTTCAGGGGATTCAATCTTCTTCAGACGTGCATGTGGCACCGAGGCTGCAATCTCTTTTTGTTCATCAAATGTGAAGAGTCCATCGCTCTCAATGCCAAGCACCAAGGTTGGTTGTTCGATCTGTGAAAGAGCTTCAGCGATAGGATTTTCCGAATCTACTGGCACTCGATATCTAGAGACATCATGAGTGTCGAGTTTGCGGGTTATGGCAATGTAACAATTTCCATCAAAACGTTTAACAAACTTTTCACCCTGGTAACGAAGATACGATTGTGCAGAGAAGTAATGAGAGGTTGATTTGTGCTTGGGGCTGGCGCGCTTCGGTGGCGGGGATGAGGAAGGAGTTGCGCCATGGAATTGAGGATCGGTAAAGTTTGCAGGATTACCGCCATTTGCCGTTATGTTTTCGCTAGCCATAGTTGAAATTGCAGCGGAGCTCCCAGGCCTCGAAGAAATTGGTGATCTGGTCTGCCTGTGTCCATCATTGTGAATTGCTCGGTGTATATCCGATGCTGTAGTGGGTTGTTGATTTTCGCTGATCGTCTGTCTCTTCGAAGCGTCGGGTATGTTTCGTCCAAACCTTGCCTCGAATGAGTTCCGACTTCTATAAGTAAGTAATGCAGACATGCGTGCCGCACCAAGACCTGCTGTTGGAGGATCGGAGAACGGGTAATAGCCGTCATCGTATTTCGGGTCCGCATAAATGCTTTGTCTTTGTGCTTCTCCCCAACTGATACCCCAAGCACTATGCCTGCTGGATGTTGCAATTGGAACAATAGCTCGAACATATTCCTTGCCAAAGTATGCCCATTCTAGTACCAACATGCCTCCCATAGATCCGCCAATGACCACGGCTACTTGCCGAACTCCTAAGTCATCTAAAAGAAGTTTGTGAATGCTGAAAGAAGTCAGTCTTGTGCCAGGCTGCTAGATAGTTAACCACTTACTTGACATCATCTCGGATAGTTGTCAGAGGGAATTCGGGGCCATATATCTCATTTTTCGGGTCTCCATTCTTACAAGTGACTGGACTTGCACTCCCGTAAGGGCTTCCTAGACTATTCATGCATATCACAAAAAATCTAGATATATCAAAAGCTCTACCAGGTCCGCCTAGAAGAGGTCCCCACCAATCGCTGACGTCTGCACTGCCGGTCAAGGCATGACAAATGACCATAGCATTATCGCGGTTGGGTGATAGTTTTCCTCGGGTGCTGTATGCCAGGGGAACATTTTGTAAAGTTTCGCCAGACTCTAATGTGAAGGATGGGATGATCGCAATTGTTTGATCGGGTATGAGAGATGCAAATGGGTTCTCAGGTTGTTGCTGCGTTCTTTCTTGTAGTATTCAGTCACTTGCTTCTCATCGGGATTGAGGGGTAACTTCTGCAAGTCACCAGAGATCTAATTACTGACCGAATCTTGGTGAACGAAACTGGGAATTACTGACTTCTATTGAAGTTGCCATTTTATGATTGACTGATTGATCGTTGATGCGGGCGCCCAAAAGACGTCATCAATGCCAGTAATGGTAGAGTTTGCGAGTGAGAAGATTTTGAAGATTTTGAAGATTTTGAAGATTTTGAAGATTTTCTTTGCAAGTCGGAGAACGGAACAAAAAGCAATTCATATTGTGTGACATTAGGTAACCACAAGGGTACAGCAAAGGAGTGGGAAACCCGTTTTCGTGGATTTGGTGATGAGGCTGAGGCTGAGGCTGAGGCTGAAGCTGAAGTAAGGCTCAACACTGAAGCTAGGGACACCAGTATTAATACAGTTTAGTGTTAAATTTATCTCACGCGAACGCGGGATACCTTTCATTGTTTGGCATTTAGAAGAATTTATGATTTGATATTGTCAATTGACAATATTCAATTGAAGTTAAAATAAATTTTATAGACACTTATTTTTTTATTGTCGCACATAACTTATGATTTATTTCAAAGTCATTTAATTATCCAACAACCACGGAATCCGACCAAAACTCAACTACGTCAACGCTGACAACATTTCCAAATTCCAAATCAAAAAATCGCAAGTCGCAAATCGCACATCACACTTTGCCGTTATCAACCTTTCAACACACATGTGCGCAGATCTTTGAGATTTATCCATAAATTTGGAGATGGCTCCAGCAGGGAAGCGAAAGAGGAATGATAGAAATTCCGTAGACCAGGGTGAGCCTCGACCTTCACCTCATCGACCGGGAAATACTCCTTTAGGTCAGCACGAAAGAGATTCTGGTATGCGCGAGGGCGGTAACAGAAGGAGTAGCAGGGGAGGCCAAGGTAATCAGGGTGGAAGTGGAGGTGGAGGTGGAGGTAGAGGGCGCAGAAATGATGGTCGCAATTTGAATAATGCGAGTAGTGCGAGCAATCCTAGTAACCTCTCGATAGCTACCAGAGCCACCCCAACACCAGGACCTATGTCACCACCTCCCAGACCCTCGAGCGCTACCCAGACTCCAGCGCAAACTCCAACTCCAATGTCCACGAGCGATATGGTCAGTCCCAGCTGGAACCCAGACCCTGCTCCCTTCGATTACGTTTTCCTAACCGACGATCAAATGTATTCATGGAACACAACTGGCCGGCAAGAGGTGATAGAAAAGGGCATTCAAGCTCGTCAGGACGAAGATACCATGGATTTGGCCACGGTATGTCAAGAATTTATTCGAGCTACTCTCGACGGCCGCATCGATGCCGCGGATGCGGGCAGTTGCATCAAAGAAATATTGGGCCCAGATACCTCACCAGCAGATAATGTCCCAGGCACCCTGGAACCGCAAGCTCTGTTTCTTGATTGTCTATCCATGATGTTTGAGTTAGAAGATTTGAAATCACCGAATGCGGCACTTCGCACATTTGTTTTCTCCACAGATATATCACCAATGGTTATGCGACAAAAGTTAGACGCTACTCTTCTATTGAACCTCGGGCTTACAAGAGATACCTTTACACGCATGGGGATTCGACAAGCTACCCACCTCCTTTATCGTCAGGCAAACTACAATCTTTTGAGGGAGGAAACAGAAGGATACTCGAAACTGGTTACTGAGCTTTTTACTACCAGTGGAAGTGAGCCACCTTCTAGTGAGGTTGTCGAGGATGCCTTTGAGAAGGTGAAAGGTCTTATCGGAACATTTGATCTGGATGTAGGAAGAGTGCTGGATATTACGTTGGATGTGTTCGCGGCGGTACTAATTAAGCAATTTCGTTTCTTTATTAAGCTTCTTCGGGCCAGTTCTTGGTGGCCGAGAAGCGGCGAATTTGATAAGATACCTCGATGCGGGGGTCTTCCACCATGGGCTTTACCGAGCGCCCCCGGTTGGACTTCCACCGATGAAGAGGAAGAACTATGTCAGAGGCAGCAGTTAGAGCGCGACAAATTGTTTTGGAAAAGGGCTCGTGAAGTCGGGATTGAAGCGTTCTTTGAGCTTGGGGGTAGGCAGCCTGTGGATGAATACACGAAACAACGACTTCTCAAAGAGGATGATGCAAAACTCGATGCAGATTATCAATGGATTAAAGCCACAGGAACGTATCCACCTTGCGGAAATCGAACGGCAGCTCAGTTGCTTGGGTTCAAATTACGTTTTTACGCTTCCCCCGCTCGAGATAACGAGGATGTATTACCTGCGAATCTAATCTACCTGACAGCATTATTGATCAAAATCGGATTTATCTCACTCAAAGATCTGTACCCTCATTTGTGGCCTCTGGATGAGGATATGGAAGCTGTTCGTGATGCTAAGATGAAAGAGATAGAGGAGAAGGAAAAGGCTAGTCGTGGAGGCACAATGAATGCATTGATGATGGCTGGCGCTCTGGTAGATGACACTTTACCAAATGGAGGACGGACTCGCGAAACCACAACTACCAAGGCTGATGCTTCCGGGAAACAACCAGCAGAGGTTGATGACAAAGACAAACTGAATGAACCTTCAGACCAAAAGGTACAACTCCTCACTTGTCTCCTGACAATAGGAGCAATTCCTGAAGCTCTGTTTATACTCGGCCGCTTCCCTTGGCTACCGGAGGCTTATCCTGAGCTTCTTGATTTGATACATCGTATCTTAAATCATTCCATCCAGCATGTCTTTGATATGAGTCGACCATCCACTTCAGCGATACCCGACTGCCCGGCCAAGAAAGTCCTGGATCCCGACCAAACTGGTATGCCGAAAGGCTCAATACGTTTGCTCGCTCTACCACCTCGAAAACAACTAAGATGGCCTTTTCCAGATAAGTTTGACACAAACGAGAACAATGCTTACAGATTCTACTGGGATGAGTGGGCAGATAATGTACCTGTGTGTCAGACCGTAGATGACATCTTCACTCTTTGTGGATCTTTGCTTAACTATTCTGGTGTTAATATTGGTAGAGATGCCACTTTACTGTCGAAATTGGCTAGGATTGGCACACAAAGTCTTGCAGAAGATCGCTCAACACAAAATTTCGACCGATGGCAAGACCTTCTCAAGCGCCTCCTTGTTCCAGCATTGAGTTTGACCAAAGCAAACACAAGCGTGGTCAATGAAGTGTACGGTATGCTTCGCTTCTATCCTCTATCCATCCGATATTCCATCTATGCAGAATGGTTTGAGGGCCAAATCTCTCGGTTGCCACCAATGAGAGCCGCATTTGCCAAGACCAAATCCGAGACTATCAGCACGATGAAGAGAATTAGTATGACTAATCTCACTGTTATGGCACGTAATCTAGCGAAGATTGCGTATGCATCGCCGGGCATAGTCTTTAGCGTGGCCTTGGGGCAGATTGAAGCATACACCAATTTGACTGAAGTCGTTGTCGAATGCGGCAAGTACTTCACCGACTTAGGATACGATGTTCTGGTATGGTCATTATTGAGTTCATTGGGAGGAAAAGACAGGAATAGGAACGATGCAGAATTTGCGCTTCTTCCAAGTAGATGGCTTCTAGCATTATCAAGGTTCGCTGGCAAGGTCTTTAAACGATATTCTATTATGAATTTGATCCCTCTAATTCAGTACGTCAATGATCAACTACACCGAGGCAATTCTACCGACTTGGTCATTCTTAAGGAGCTCATCGCTCAAATGTCTGGAATTGTACCCGACACCGACTTCACCGACGCTCAATTAGCTGCCATGACCGGAGGCGAGCTCCTAAGGCGCCAGACATTAATCAACCTTCAAGACAAACGTTACGAATCGCTAAAGACAGCAAAGCGACTGATGAGAGCTTTGACTGATACTAAGTTAGGTGGACAACTTTTGCTTTCTATCGCACAGCACAGACAGTCGGCCATCTATACTGTTTCGGATGATGAAGCTCCTATTAAGTTATTAGCTACGATGGTTGATGATACTCAAATGATTCTATTCCAGTTTCTTGATCTTCTTCGTAGCAACCTCTCAATTGAAGAATTCGATGATCTCGTTCCAGGAATTTCTGAACTCATGAAAGATTTTGGCTTAGACCCAACACTTGCTTTCATGATCGGTCGTCCAAGTATTTCGCATCGTATTTCCAAGTTACTATCCAGACCTTCATCATCATTGGCGGAGGCCACAGCTATAGAGGCCGATGCAGAAGGTGACGTTGGTATGAATAGCGATAGTCAAAATTCTGCGGCCAAGGAATCGATTGCAGTGAACGGCACATCCGCCCCGAAGGAAGATGTACAGATGTCAGATGTCGAGGGAGGAGATTCACCCCCTGTAGCGGCACCACTTGAGACGGATCCACTTCATGATCTCCTGCTACCATATATTAATACCGTTGAACAAGTCCTACCCGAAGGATCTTGGGCGTTTCTTACTTCTGAATTTTATGTTGTGTTTTGGAGTTCTACTCTAAGCGATCTGGCTATTCCCAGCCACAGCTATGAAGCTGAAATTTCTCGCCTTCTCAAGGAACAAGGGGATGTAATGAAGGATCGCTCAGACATGAGTAGAGCCGGAATGGCAAGAAAGGAAGAGACTAAGAAAGCATTAGCCACAACGAGAGAAAATTTACTAGCAGAATTTGGCAAGCAAGTAGGTGCCTTTTCTGGAAAGAAAAGTCGTCTTCTAAGACGCAAGAATTTATGGTTCAGTAATGTCAAGGGCGATCTCGTCAGTGACTCATTTCTTGAGCGATGCTTACTTCCACGATTGCTACTCTCTCCTAGCGATGCAGATTTCTCCTTCCGGATGATTAAGTTCTTACATGACAATGGCACGCCTAACTTCCGGACTCTTTCCCTTTACGGCAGACTTTTCCGAACAAATCGTTTACGTTCAATGATATTTACATGTACGGTTCGCGAGGCAGAGAATCTAGGTCGTTTCCTGAGATTGGTCTTATCAGATTTGGCCCGCTGGCACGCCGATCAAGCAGTATATGAAAAAGAAGCTTGGGGGCTAAGCAAAAATCTCCCAGGCTTTGCAAAGGCTATTGATGCAGACGGATCTGTAAAGGGGCTATTGCAGCATGATGGTAACCCTGGCTTCAAAAATATCTTGTATTCGTGGCACCAAAAATTGAACGGGGCGCTGCGTGATTGTCTTGAAGGAACAGAATGGATGCACATTCGGAACGCTACGACCATTCTTAAGTCCGTTGTCGATGTATTTCCAGCGATCAACTTCATGGGCAACAACTTCGTGAAGCAGCTCGAGACAATTGCTGCTCGAGAAAAGGGATTGCGTGAGGATCTTTCTCTCGCTGGTAACGCCATATTGGTACAATTGAAGAAAAAGTCCAAGTCATGGGTGATGGTTCAAGCATTTGGTCATAGTCTAGTAAGTGAGAACGAAAACTGCCATCTAATAAAACTAACACTATTATAGGAGGCCCCTGCGCAAGCGAACAACACTTCCCCTTCGGATGCTTCTAGGCAAGTTACTGCTACCAAAACGACCCTGAAGCCCACAGCTCCGGAATTCAAACCACAATCTCGAGCTAAGTTAGTACCCTTAAATCAATGTATATATTCTAGTCTAACATTTTGAAGCTCTATGGGAGTCTCTACGCCCAAAAACCCCACAACTGAAGTCGAAGATGGCGAAGTTGACGATGCAAAACTGGCTTCCGCAGCCGATAAAGGTAACATGTTGAAGGATGCACCCCTTGATAGTAGTAGCACTAAAGATAGGATTTCGTCGGCACCTACTGAAGGGAAGAAATCTGAGATCTTATTAAGACGGGAGAGGATCTTGCGCGAAAATGCAGCCAGGGCGTCAACGCCAAATCCCACGCCAGCAAGCATACCACCACGACCTGATTTACAAAGAAATATGCCGGCAAATCATAATCTACCTAATAGACCCGATGCTCCCATACCTGGTCGCCAAATGATGGATCGCCATCCCGCTAGGAATGAGGATAGGCGAGATATACGAGATCCTAGAGTTACAGAGTTGGTTCGCGATAGGACTAGGGATCGTGGACGTGACTTTTCCCCGGGTGACAGAAGGGCTATGGATACTCAGCCAAGAGATTTCAGAAATAATGATCGCGTACCAAACAATGAACGTGACCGCCCTCGAACAGATGCAAATCCGAGATGGAATGCTGAATCAGGCAGAGATGGCACAGATCGGGCTCCGTCCAATGGATACCGTACTCCTGATAGTGGTGGTCGTTTGTCTCGTGAAACAGCCATACCTTCACCCAAGGCATCTGCCACATCGGATCGCGGGCTAGGCCCCGCAATCAATCCTGAACGATTGGCACTAGTTAACTCGGAGAGACAGGAATTGATTAATCCTGACCGAGCCGCTCTGATATCTGGTGGAAATGAGCCATCTCGTTCCGATTCACCTCGTCGAGCTAGAGATGATGCTAGAGAACGCTCATCAAGACAGAACTCACCGCCTCCAAGACGCCATGATTCTGAGAAGGATCATCAACATCCAAGACGTGATGATAGGTCGAATCGGAACCCACCCATTGATCCCCAAAATACCTCAAGAGGCCGTGCTGATGAAGTTGCACCACCACCAGCCGGGCCAAGAGGAGAAAGGCCAGGAGTACCTCCACCAGAAAGATCAAGAGATACTTCCTCATTTCAACAATCACAACCTCCACCGCGTCCTGTGGATCCCGACCATGGCAGACTTAATAGATCACAAGTGGATCCTAACTTTGGTCGGTTGAATCAGCAACCGGACATTCCATCTGGGCCTCGTGACAGGAACCGCGGTAATAATCGAATGGCGAATGCCCCGCAAGGACGACGTGATGGCAGGCCGACGAATGCTCCTGTAGTAGACATACCTCGACCACCAAGTCCAGACAAGCAACCTCCGACTGGTCCCTCTGGTGGTCGGCATCTGCGACGGTTAGACCGAGGACAGATTGAACCCACAGCATCTTCACACACTGTTCTACCAACTGCGCCGGTTGTACCAACTCCAACATCTGGAGTGCATCCAGATCGATTGAAACATTTGGGTCCACAAGCTTCTCAGCCACCTGTACAGGCACCACCAGTGGCTAGTGTAACCCCTAGTGGGATGCACCCAGATAGAATAAGGAGTTTTGGCGGACAAACAGCAGCGGCAAATATCTCACTGTCTCACCAAGATAACGCACGTTCAAGACCTACTGCACCACCTCTCCAAACACAAGTTGCTCCTCTTGGCCCCAAGTCTCAGGCTCAAAATAGCCCTGTTTCTCGAATGAATGGAGCACCAACTGGACCTGCCTCATCGAACGAGCGTGCTCCACGTGGTGGTAGACAGCCAAATTTAATTAACAATATCAATCGAATGCTTGAAGAAACCAAGCATCCACAGGGGCAGGAACGCCGTGGAAGACGTCAAGGAGGTCAACCACAAACTCCAATTTCTGGTCCTCCTACACCAATCCTACCACCTCCGCCACCTCCGCCGCCCGGTCCACCCCCTGTGCAAGCCAGAGATTCTGGAAGAGACCTGATAAATCCTGCTCGTGCTGATTTGATTGGTAACACGGCTCCAGGCAATGATGACCGCGGTCGCAGTGATCGAGGAGAACGTGGTTTGAGAAATGATCGGTCTATCCGAAGTCGTCGCAGTTCACCTAGCGATCGCAATAGGGACCAGAAACGTGTTGGTCCTCCAGAAGATGAACGCTCATCCAGGGGTGAACATAGGAGCCGTGGAGGCGATAGAGAGTCGAGAGATTCTGATAGGCATTCAAGAGGAGAACCTTCTGCAAGCAGAGACTTATTAGCTGCCAGTGGAAGGGGGGATAGAGAGCACCGCGATAGGGATGGTAGTCGTCGGGATGCACATGGAGGTGATCGCGACTCTCAACGTGATCAGCATGGTGGTAATACCGGTAGTGGTAACTGGCCCAATGGCCCTGATAATAGAGGAGGTGAGAGGGGAGGGGATAGACGGAACCAACGATCAGACAGATCTGATAGAGGTGACCGCGATGGACGAGGTATGCGGGATGATGGTAGTGGCAGTGGCAGGAAGAGACGAAGCGATGCAGATGGTTTGAGAGAGGGTGGTCATGATAAAAGACCCAGGAGATAGAGGAGAGAGATTCCAAAATCTCTAATGGCATCCAAAAGAGAGATTATTGTAAAGTGTAAAAGTATTCAAGGGATGTTTCACGAGGTTAAACATGCATACTATTAGGCGTTCTAAAATCTCTTCCCTTAGCTTAGCTTCTTCCTTTGTCTTGTTAGCAAGCACATGTCTATGATATATGTGGATTTCACTCCATGATTCTTCTCGTTTGTGTATTTATGACGGTTAAGATAGCGAACCAGGAATAAATTTATATTGCACAATTGACTGGGTGAATAATATATATAAAATTTCTTTCTTATTAGATCAACTGTATTTATTTCATTACACGACCGGGCACCATATCATATCTATTTAGGAAACCCTCTCCACAGACGATAATCAAATCTCTCGCAGCAATTAACTAGGTATTAGAATTGCCACAAGCCTAGCTCCGCGATCATGTCTCCATATAGGTGGTACTCGCCTGGGATTATCGTTCTCTGCCACACCCTATCTTATTTCTCGTTTTGCCCTGACTCTCCTTCATGGAAAATTCTACGGTTTTTCGGATTCCCTTTCTGCTACTTATTTTTGTTTCATCCTATTATCTTTCCTCAATATGTGGTTTTTCTTTTCATCCAAACTGTTAACATTTTGGCTACAAGAACACTCAAAAGTGGTGTGCATACACGTTCGTGTAGATATATGATTAATATCGTCTGAAAGAGGCGGGTACGGAAGTAGAAGGCTCATGTTGACGTCCGTTTCGTTTCTTTTGGGGTTTAGAGAAGTATGTGGATATTGGATTGCTTTTGGATAATTGGGATAAGGTCTGTTGATGATGAGGAGTTTATGGGCGAGGTCTTGCGGCGACAGTGTGGTTTAACTGGGTGGTGAGGGGTAGAGACTAGAGTAAAATACGCTGGCTAGGGGTAGTGGTATAGTGAGAAGGTGGAGTGTAAGGGTTTATTATCGTCACTGTCTGGCAGTTTGGATGGAGAATATCTAGCAAATTTTGCTCGGTTTGATAAGTTCAGTGGGTTTCTAGTTCTACGATCTTTGAGAAATCTTGAGCTAGTAACTTTTATAGAACAGAGGTTTGTTGTTTTCGCGCCATAGTGTTAGATATACTACCATATTATAGAATAGACAGGGTAAGGAAGGGTTGGAAGAGGGAGGTCGTATGTATACTTGATGAACAAGCAGACGGAAGTTTTGAGTGAACGCATTACAAGTCCTGCTCTCTTGCTCTTATTTCATTTGGCAGATTCTTGCATTTCGACTAAATTTTTCGACATTTTCGTGGCGAGAAAAGAATAAAGCAGGAGTAGGTTCATGAAGAAGGAAACAATAGAGGAGAGATTGGAATGGAGTGGCAGGGCCAAATACATGGGCAACAATACAATGGTCCACTCGGAAATGTACTTTTCCGCCGGCATCCTGCCTAGACAGTTACAAAAGAAAAAGTGCGATGATATATCGAAAACAATAACAAATTGATAACAAAGTCGATTATTTCGAAATTCTATTATGAAGATCAATTTGGCTTATTCTGGTCGACATATATATGTATGTATATGCATGTAGCCCATCGATCAGATAGTCTTACCTGCACTTGCAAGTTCCCCGTCAAGAAAAATCTAGATTGTACCGGGGCAGAGACTTTACGAGAACCAAGTTCATGGTACTCTCAGGATTGTTATTTATTTAAATCGTTTTTTGATCTTTTTATTATTTCAATTTTGATTGTGCGGCTGTGAATTCGGAAAGAAAAGGAAAGCTTGCCGCACCAATCTCGAAGCATGACTAAGCACCCAACGATAAGCAATACAAAACCTGCTCGTACTCGAAGATTTCTTTTTCTTCTTTGGTCAGATTCTAATCAAACCACAAAGATATTCATCATCATAAATATCGTATTATTCTTGCCCGGATTCTTTGAATTTCCAAGGATTTCTGCGTAGACTTGGCAAGTTCAAAGTTGGCGTAAGGGATACTTTCACCTCCTTGATCGAACATTTATCATTCTCCGTTGTCTTGATTTGAGCATTAGCGTTGCCCTTTTTACCATAACGCGACCCCCTTCAATACTGCTCTCGCCTCCTGCAAGAAGCGCGTCTCTCGCCAATCGAGGGCTGGACTGTCTTACTTTTTCACGGGGAACTTTCCGTCGACTCCCTGTTGACAAAAAGCTACATTGTGAGGATATGATGAATCTACTGCGCTCAATATGTACTCCTTACGCAGGTCCGATATTTTTCTGCTTCCGAGTGGATTTGCAAATACAGGAGAATTGTCGAAGGTTTGGATGAGGATGCAGGATGCTTGTAGTTGATTATCCTACGAATAATAGCCATTGTTGTGTGTGCCTACCCATCTAAGAAATTGCGCGATTTCCAACCTGCCTAGTCAATGCTCATAAAAACAATCAAAGCCAAACAACCTTGTTGTTTGAAGCTTCTCTTGTTTGTTTTCATTATGTGATTTTTGTTTATATTTTGAACAATTCGACCAATCAATAACTCGGAATCTCACGACCCGAGTGACTCTCGATTCGGCACAAGGGATGGACGTGGCTGGCATAGTTCAAGGCCTTTCCTGCAGGCGCAATGTGAGAAAATCCTTGATCCAATGAACTTCCACTTTTTGAAACTGACAGATCCGATCTACTTTTGCCTTCATACCTTTTGCATATGATAACATCATATTATATGCAAAGAATGAACTTCCAGCCAGCTTTTTCCAGCCCAGCAGAAAAGCCTGAAAATCGTTTGACTCCAGGGCTATAAACACCACGTTGTCTCGTCAATATCCCTCGCAAGGAAACCAGTTATCGAAGTGTCAGTCTTTCAATCTATTGCAATTTGATGTTCGCCGGTTTCTACATTTGACTCTCCCGGGTAACCGACAGGAATTTACCTTGCCTACATTCCTCACCAACAATGCGTGCTTCTAGCAACGGATATTTCGGCCAGTGCCTTCCTATCGATAATGATATGATTGCGCTGTCTCCACACAATGATTCATGCAACGTTTGGTTATTACCATCATCCACAATGGTCATCTCAAAGTCAGATATCAGTAAACCTTACCAAAACTCTTCAACTACGTTCAATGGCTGGTCAAAAGCTCACAATGACCCGCTTTCGGCGAAGAAATGGCAACAACTTTCACTAGTCGAAACGGACCCGGGTATGATGGAAGATCTCTTTGGGGCTTCTGACTCCGAGTCCTGTTCTGACGACGATCCGTCATCTTATTATTCATCATCAACCTCAAGCTACCCTCCACAAAGAGAAGAAGAAGAAGTCTGGAATCGATACTTTCACGCAGAGCCAGATTACCTACCGTCTCCTCCTCCACCACCTCCCGTCTCTCATCCCGTCTATTCGCTATTCCCGACAACGACACCACAAGCATCTCAAGAGTACAAACAACACCTAACTCACAAATCTTGGCCGGGCCAGCCTTGGCCTGAACGCCTCGATTCGCGTCCTAATCGTCCTAATGGCCGCGCTCGCGCGCAAACCACCCCTTCTCAGCCGAATACACCAACCAATCTCAGTTCCTGCACAAACATCAATCATCCACTCGCTGGATCATACGTCCCCGCCAACTATCGTCACACACATCCTCCTTTACCCCACTGCAACTCTTCTACGCCTCTAGTCTTGAAATCGGAATTCGAAACCGATTCCGATGACGAAGATGAGAATTCCCCTAGCAAGATGGCGAAAGCTATCGAAGAGATGTTTGAAAAGTTTCGTTCGAACGGAGGAAGCTCAAATAAGAATGGGGGCGAAGAAAAGCGAAGAAGATCAGGTGGATTTAGAAGAAGTGCAAGTGAGGCTTGTGAGGCCGTGAAGGGTATCTTCAGCAAGAAGTCCCACATACCTTCAGAACGACGTCTTTCATGAATATCAACCGAATGAAAATTTCCTTTGTGCGAATAGCTTCACGGAAAATGATTGACGATCATGATTGTGTGTTGAATGAGTATGAACACTGAACTGGGCTGCTTAGATATTGGTTTTTTTATACTTTTCCTTTGACTTGGCTACACACAAAAGGTCGGTTAGGAAAAAAAGATGGTCACGGAAACATTTCTATCGTATTAAAAAGTCTGCCTGTTGGAGTATCATGAACCTATACTAATCTTTGCTCTGAACTGTATGCTATCATCGCAGAGCACTCTTTATGTATAACGCGGTGTTTAGGTCGGGATTGGAATTAATGGAGGAAATGGGGAAAACGGAGAAAATGATGGTCATGACTTCACGACGAAAGCAACTCAAAGAGTTAATGAAATATATTTCTTATAATCCTATCATTTATTATATACAAACCCTCTTGAGTCTTATAACCTTGTAATTATCTCTCCACTCTCAATTTCTCTACAAGATATCGATGTAGTATGTACTCCTTACTCGAGCTCCCGTTCTATGCGCAGAAACTCTAATATCCTAAAAGCCTCTGCTTATGCACAAAATAATACATCTACATTTTATGTAACCTAAAAATGTCTTGCAAATTTGTCATCTCAGGAGCTGAATATTGAATATTGAATCGAGGATCCGTTTCCCGAATGTGAAATGTGATATTGTAAAAGTGGTAGGTCGAGATATGTGTGTCTCGATAGTATATTGTGAGGAGGGAATTGGAAGAGAAAGCTGAATTAGATTATATTGTAATATATCATTTATAGATAAAACAGGGTTCACAATAGTTTTGGAATTGATATTATATAGATTCAAATGTATATATATAGAAGATTGATTATTGTGAAAAAAAGAGGTAAAAGGTTTTTTTTTTATATTTAATTATAGAAAATTATATGATTGATTAATTAAAACCTTTATGTATTTGGTTTATAATTCCAATTTTCTTATATTTTTCTTTTTCAAGATATATATATCCCTTTTTGTTTATTAAAGAAAATAATTGATTAGAATATAGAATATACGAAATATTGTTATTAATAACTTTTTAGAACAAATATAAAAATTGAATAATGAAAAGGAGATTTGTTAAATTTGAAGATAATCCTTTATTCTTCAATAGATAGTTCAATGAAAGTTTTGTCTTTATTAATACTCTTATTAATTTTCGAACATTTGGGTTTTGATTTTGAAAATATATCCAAGAAGAGAAGAGATTCGTCGGATTCTGGATAGAGATATTTGAAAGTTTGGGAAAGCAAAAACGGCTTTTTTCTTGATTTTGAAGATAGTGTAGAGGGAATTAGATTTTGTTGTTTTTAAACAAGAGAAAGAAATAATCTTTGTATATCAAAAGGATTAGTAATAGATTCTTCTTATTGTAAAGTCTTTTTTCGCTTTGATTGTATTTTAAAGATCGAAGGGAGATCTTTCAGTTCAGATTCAATGTAATAAGTAGATTCCTTTCCTTTCCAAAATGGTTTTCAAAGAGTAGGTAAAGGAGTTTCTTCTTTTTGGATAGGGGTTTCTAAATTAATAATTTCCTATTCTTTTTTTGAAATCCTATCAATAAATTCAGATATTATTAAATTTTTAATTTTAAAGATAATCTGTTTTTGTTTATAAATTAAGTTTTGTATAAGAAAAGAATATATTTTTTAGAACTTCTTTTTCTGTTTTAAGATTTCGAAAATCATTTATACTCTTTCAAATTTATATTCAAAAAATTCTGTATATATTTCTATGAAATCTTCAGATTTATAATCGAATAGTATATAAACTTTGTTTATTATTGATTTTAAATATTAAGAGATTTTTTTTAAAAGGGTTTATAAAACGGAAATTAAAAAAGATAATATTTCTATATCGAAAAAGAATAACTTCGATATATAAAATCCTTCTTTATTGAATTCCTAAAGAACAAAAGGGATAATTTGATTTTGAAGCGATTAAAGAAGGTCTTTTTGAGAGGTATTATTTTCTATCTTATTATCATTAGTATCTATAACAAGGTAGATGATTGGTATTACAATCGAATCATGATTCTTAACGACACTAATAAATCAAAGGATTGTATTGATTGACAAAACGATTATATAAAAATCTTCTTTAACTAATATTTATTAATAAAATTTATTATCTTTTTCTACTTGTTAAAAAGCCTTCTTTTGTATAAACCAATTTAAATTATATTAAAATTGATAAAAGAATGAATACTTTTAAAAGCTTTTGATTAAACGGAAACCCTTATCAGGATTGATTGATATCAATATTTAATATTCTTGATATACTTCAGTTAATATCTTATCAGATTTGGGAAGATTTATTAGGATAATAATCCTTGAAAACTGTTTTATATCTCGATATTTGGATATTAATCTTACAAGATTGGCAAAAGAATAATACAAAATTGTTTTTTAATTACAATTTGGAAACCAAAGAATAAAAAAAGGAACAAAAACAAAACAAAACTTCTTATCAATATATAAGAGTATAACAATTCATTACAAAATAATATTATTTCTCAAAAACATTTAAATTAAAGAATAATAACAATTTGGAAATGGATTTTCTTCAAATTTATTACAAAAGTTCTATTTGTAAATAATAAAGGTATCTTCAAGATTAACTTCAAAACCTGGAAAGTCTTTATATTATAAAAAAAGGACAAATTCAGAAATTCTTATAAAGATTCGTTCTCAGAAAAGTACTTCGAAGATAGGTTTTTTCTTAACAAATCTAATTTTGAATTCTAGAATTATACAAAAAGAATATATATTTGGTTTTGAATCGAAACAATAAAACCTTCGAGTTTGTTTAATTCGTTCAATAATCAATTATATATAGAAACGGAATTAGAGGTAAAATTGAGTAATCAGTTTCATTTTATTAATACAATCTCAATTATAGATTACTATAGCTAATCGATTCCGAAGTTCTTTGATAGGAATATACTTAATCTTTATATTAAGTAATCTGACTAAAGTGTACAAATGATATATATAAGGGGTTTTTTCAATAATATTTTTATCAAAAAATATAATAATTATCCATCCCATTTGATTAGTAATATAACCTTCATCGATTAATATATATTATTCATCTTCAAGTTGAAGATTAGATTTATAATTACAACTTTTCAACTCCCGAAAAGAATTTAGAACGATTCTAAAAAGTTCTTCGGATATATCACTATCATTATCTGAAACTGCTTTTGAAATGAAATCAACTTTTCGATAATAAAGAACGAACTTATCCAAAATGAAAAAATAAAAAAGGGTTTTCTTTGAAAGATCGAATATATAGTTTCGCTTTATCTATTTATCAATATTTATAACAATAGATTCAGAAATTGATATAATAATTTGTTTATAAAGAAAACAGAAAATTTATAAAGAATTAAAAACATCAATAGTTTCTGGCTTCTTTTCAACATCTAGATCTATTTCTGATTCCTTATTATCAACCTTTTCGATTTTAGCTTTATCGGCCCTTTTGAAACTTTCAGATATAGATTTTTAAAATAGAATGAAAGGGATTTCATCAGGTTTACATTCTTTTAGAAATCTGAGTTTGTTGATAATAAATTGATATTTCTTGAGGATTAGATCTTTTTCGAAATCAAAAGATAAAAATTTCCAATCCTTTTTTGTCTTTGAATCCGAATTTGTAATGAAGATATATATATTGTAGAATTTTACTGAAATATACTTTTTGTAATTGTAACCTTTCTTTTTAACAAACCTTTAAATTATAAATCCATTTAAGAATTTGATAAGGATTTAAAAGCTAAATTGTACAATACAAAAGGTTATATCAATTTTTACAGTATTTTCTTTTAACTTTTTGTCTTAGAATCATAATCTTACAAATTCTTTTCCTTTAGAAATCATTCAGATTTTCTTTAAATATTTGAGACTTTCCTTAATCCTATTATAATATTATTCGACTATTTAGATAGTATCATTATTTTTGACAAAGTATATAATTTTGAAGAAATCTACAACTTTGTAAAGTTTTGTTTTTTCGATCTTATCTCATATTTCTTTTACAAAATCCCTAATATCTTTTATTAATTTCAAAATAATATTAAATTATTATTCGAGAGTATTATATTGATTTACAAATTAAAAGAAATCATAGAATACAAAAGTTTGTATAACATTAATGAAAAATTTTTTTTTATAATAAAAGAAAACTATTACAAAAATTTCCAAACAAAAAATTACTTCTTTATTTTGTTTTTCAACTATTATAGAATTTTCAAATAGATTTGTTTGAAAGAATATATTATTTCTTAAAGAAAAATAATTATAATAAAAAGGAAATGAATAAAATTCAAAATATAAAGGAAAAGGTAGATTTATAAAAAAGAAATTGAAATGTTAAAATATTGTTTAGAAATTATTTTTATAATTATTCAAAAAGGAATTTGAAGAGATTATTATAATTTTTCTAAAGATATATAAATATTCTTTCTTTTTTTAAAACTTAGAACGAAATATTAGTTATATTCTTTAATCGATAAATAAAGGTATATAATAAAAGCTTCTTTTTGGTATTTTGTATATTATCTTATATTTCAAAATCTTGATCGATTTGTAATTATATAATAAACAGTCTTTGATTGATAACCGATATTTGTTTAAAGGAATATAGATATTTTGAAATTTAGCTTTGTTGATTTATTTATTTATAAAAATCCTTTGAATTATTATTAATAAAAAGATCAGAATATAAGATATACTTTTTCAAACAAATATTTGTATAAATTTCATCAAATGGAATATTATCCATTTCTTTAAATATATAAATAAATAATCTAAATAATTTTTTAGTAATTTTGTAAAATTTATATTATTTGAAAATTAGTTTCTTATTTTGTAATATATCGATTTTTGATTAAAGATTATGATATAAAACGATATCCCTAGTAAATATATTCTTATCTAAAGTTTTATAATCTAAATTGTATCAAAGCTTTCCATTTTTTCTGTAATATCGTTTATACAGAATTGTTTTTTCGATATTATTATCAAGTATTTTTAATTATTATATCCTTATAATTAACAAATCTTCTCGAATATATATATTTCCCTAATCAAGAATTCTTCAAATAGTATATATAATTTCTAAAGGTAATACAACCTTACATCTATAAATTAATTCAAATAATATTTTATTTATCAATTTGTATATTGAAATATAATCAGCAAATAATATAGTCTCTAACCATTTTGATCATTTATAATCTCCTTTTGAAAGGTGGGAAAGGGTTTTGATAATCGAGTAATGATCTTTTTCTATTATATTATTTGTTTGGGGGTGATAGGTTGATATTCGGATTTTATCGATACTATACTTTTTGTAATAAGCAAATATAATGCCTTTGTT